TGATGTGAAACATCTATAGCCCACGTAAAACCGATTTCTGGCGTGGAATGTGGAGGGTGGTATAGATGGTATATATACATATATATACAGTCTATATGAGTAGTGTGTAGGTGGGGGTATTTAATAATAATTTTATAATAAATATCATTTATTGAAAAAATCTAATATTTTATTTTATATTATGAATATTTAGTTCTATCACAATATTTTTGACATTATTTTAAAAATAATGATTTTATTTTAAATTAATTTTTTGACTTTGCATCCAAACTTGTCTATATCGTATCGTTTCTTTTATAAAACTACTTATTTTTATTTTAAGTCATAAGGATCTTTTGATTGTAAAAATATACTCTCTTTATTCTATAAGTGAAAACTTCCTTAGGCTTCCCTGTTCTATACTTCTTATTTCTAAATTGTTTATCACTGTAAGCCGTTAAGTTTCTCAAATTTAATAAAAATTAAATAAAGATAAAACATGACGGACTCTCATAATATATCCTATATTATGAGGCTAAATATTTTGTTTCTGCTCTGCATAGCCGATTATCATTAGATGATTAAAATCAACTGTTGATGTGAATGCATACTAGACGCAGGTACACGTCCGCTAGTTGTGACGAGGGATTGTGGAAAATCGTACTCCACCTTCTATTTTCAACCTGGTAATACCGAACCCCAGAGGCGATAGTCGAGCAGAAAACACCATTACTTGGAAGCACGTTTTTACGACTCCAAAGCACCCAGCACCAATACCTACTTCAGACAAAGAAGCATCGCCACTTCCATTCTCGTCTCGCTGCTCGATTTAAATATCACAGTCAACCTAGCCTTTTATTTCCGTTCTGTAATCTTTCTATAAATTATTGACCTACATTGGAGCTGTATATAATTTGAATATTTGTAATTTTTACATATAGGGAAACATAAAATTGTTACGGTCGGGCAGGGCATAGAAGTCTGATCTAATACTTGCCCGTTAAAAGAACGGATCAGTGAAACGGACTCGTTCGCCCCATGCTCCACGACGGGAAGACGGGCTTCCACACATAAAAATGCTTACGTAAATTTAAAAGTATTTTTAGGTAGAAGATCAGCGTGATACAGTCATGAGTTTGATTCGACCTTGTCAACAACAATCTCTGTATATTTAAACAATGTTTTTTTGTAGATTTGTTTTCAAAATATATTAAATATTACTAATGGCTACATAGAATAACTAAACACAAACTTACCCTATATTAGTTGCCTATGATGAAATTACAATAGCTTTGTTTCCAATACCCTGAATACATTTTATACAGCGTTACAATGTATCAAACCACCCTTTATGACCGTCATAATACAGCGCCCATAAAATATTTATCTTACCATTAATAAATAATGTCGATAAGTGCACAAGTTATAAGTTTTCAAAGTTTGGATCGTCAACGTACATTATAGTCCTAAAATAGAGTGTTTTTTTTTAAGTATTAAATATACTTATTTAAAAATCTATTTAAATAGAAATCAATTGACGACCTGCGCAGAATTCGCTTCAACGACCACGGCTGATTTTTTTAGGGGAAACAAGCAAATTCGCAAGTTATACCTGCTAGCGATCCATAATAACTATAGACAAACGATTGTCAGTTCATATTATTTACTAATATATGGAACCTCATTTTAGAAATAACATTTTGCTGCCTATTTTAAATGGAATTTAATACAGCAACACTACTAAAATGGTATAAAAGCTTATTTTACAATCTATTGTTTCAAATCATATAATAAAGTGATGGGGGGGGGGTTAAAAAAAAAAAAAAACAAAAAAAAAAAAGGGGGGGGGGTTTGGGGGTGGGCCCCGCGGGGGGGGGGGGGGGGGGGAAAATTTTTTTTTTTCGGGGGGGGGGGGGGGGGGGGGGGGGGGGTTTTTTTCCCCTCCTTCCCTCTCCCCCCCCCCCCGGGGGGGGGGGGGGGGGGGGGGAAAAAAATTTTTTTTTTTTTTTTTGGGGGCCCCCCCGGGGGGGAGGAAAAAAAGGTTTGGTTTTTAAAAAAGGGGGAACCCCCCGCCCTTGCCCTTTTCGGCCTTATAAGAAAAAAAGAATAATCTGTATAACGGAGATACCAACTTAAGAATATTCGGGCTTTATCTAATAGTGGAAGACAACAATACCTCTATGTACACAACACATGTTGTAAAATAACATTAGGAAGCCTTTGGGACAATGTTCACATCACATTTTGTGAAAGAAAATTATAACATATTTTGAAATAAATAATCAGAAAAATTTACGTTACATTTACACATTACATGTTATGAAATAAAATTAAGAAACCTTTAGGACCATGTACACATCACATTTTATAAAGAAATTTACGAAAACTTTTGTATACGAAAGATGAAAACATCGTATCTTTAGTACTTGACATTAATTTTCCAATCAATACGGTATTAAGGTCGTTAAGATTCGTTCCTTCAGATTATTATTTACAGCCTAAGATAAATGGAAATTTATAACTGACATTACGGATTTGAAAGGAAATTGAAGACGAAATTCGATCGTCGAAACTAATTTGAACGCCTACTTTCAATTGTTTCAGTCAATAAATCATTTGAATGCAAGGTAGGTCATTTAGTTATTAAAATGATATTATAAAGCTTGTTGTTAAGCGAAAAGATATATTATAGATTAGTACTGTAGTTATAACCCAACTACATATGAAATAATTGTAGCCCTGTAGGTATATTAAGTACTTAATGGTAACCCGTGGCAGATGTGTTTTATGGCAGAATATAAAAACACCTTTATAACATTGTAATACAATTTTAGCCCACAACAAGTCATTTTGTTTTATAGCTAAAAGTATATTAAATTTAAAGCCTTGAACCTTTTAAAAAAATGCTTTTGTTATTTCTAATTCTCCGTACATAGTCCCGGCCAACCGTAGCGAGGTTTCCTGAAAATCTGAACTTTTTTTTAAAAAATTTTTTGAAAGTACAGTTGCCGAAAGATTACAAATTGACAGGAAGTTTAAATCAATGTACCTGGAATGTTACAGGTCAAACATCATACTCATATTTACGTTTGAAGGTCAATAAAAATTTGACACGCACCAATCCCTAGTTGTAGTACGTAGTAACCCACTCGCCACCCACGAGAACCGAAGTGAAACGGGTCACAGTACATTGACATGAAGACAATGAGTAACTTTAAAAACATGAATTAAAATATGTTATAAAATGTAAACAGGTCAGCTGAAATGAGGAAATCGAATTGAATACGTCTTACAAAATACCGATGCTTTAAATTATCATGTCAATTTTCAAGAAGCGCATTTCTTCAAAATGACAGAATCGGAACGGAGAAGAGCTGTGCTGCCATTAAGTTCAGTATTTCGTGATTTCGAGAAGTCTTTAGGTTTCAAAAATGACGTAAAGTGGACTACTGCGATAACGATAATTTTGTACCACTTTTTGGCGGTGTATTGGTGTTACTATTACGCATTACCCGTCAAATGGCAAACTGTGTTATTCGGTAAGTTATAAACAACGTTTTTTTAATTGTTTAAAGAATAAAAAAAATATATATATTATATGCAATAAGCTAAATCATTCCTAAAACATGGCTTCTAAATGTGTATCCACCAAAATTATTTATTATTGTGTTAGATTCATTTTTTAAGCGAGAAATGAGTTTAATAAAATACCAATTTAATATTTACTATAGATGTATGAACATGGGGAGCAACGAGGGCAATATATTATAAGAAAAAACTTTTTTCAAAGATATTATTTTAAGGATTCTTTGTAATCTGGTTAATGTAACCTAAACAGGTAGTTGTTGGTGGCATATAATTCCAAAGAAGTTTTGATGTTTTTAAGAATAAATAAATAAAATTAGATTAGAGTTAATCAACTCAAATCATATTCTCTGTTATACTTAATCATGTGCTTATTATTCCAAGCAAACTATCGACAATGCACGTCCACTATCATAATTTGCATTTAGGAAGGATAATTCAGATATTCATTAGCATTTCGGGGCTATCATAATGTGACCCACGCAAGGCCTACATTATTATAGTCTTAACTAGCGGCCCTGTCCCGGCTTCGCACGGGTAACTAACTAATAAATAAGTACAAATATTTAAATTATAAGCATGCTAATTAAAACGACACGAATCACTAAATTAGAAAAAAATTGTATTGCGCGTCCTCTCTGTTAACGACCGTGGTCTATCTCACTGGTTCAGGAGCCGCTGCGAGATTTCAGTGTTAGTGTCTCGTGCATGCGTTCGCAAATTCCTAGCTCATTTCCTTCAAGTCGCTGCGACGATCTTGCATTTTGTTCTGCAAGACGAACCTGAACGTTCGACGATAGAATCTCTTGCTTGCGATGGGGACGCGTACACTCTAATACTTTCCAGCGTTTATTTTAGGAAGTAGACTCTCCAATACGACAAACTTTTGCTAATCTCGCTTAGGAACTATTCTTAGATAGCTGCGACCTTCCTCTTCTAGGCATATTGCTATGAAGGATATTTATTTTAAATCAGAGAAATTAAGAATAAACTAATAATAATACAAAGGAAATATTCCAGTTCAAAGCGATAGTTCTGCAAAGAACTTTGAATTTCTATTCTACCCGTTCAATTTCCTAAAAAAAAAAACAACGTAATATCGATTGCCAATTAGAATATAATGGAAAAAATATAATTGTACATTATAAACACCTTACACGTGATCAACAATCTACGCCTTACCTATTTGCCAATTAAAACTAATTTCTTACGTGCTAGAGGAAGGATACAGATAAGATATTATATTTTTGCCAATGCGACCAGTCGTGATTGTGTTTATTTTCCTCTTAGCCTTAATCATAAAAACCATATGCCACAATATATGTACACGACAAAGAATAAAAACAAGGAAACTATTGACTTCGTTATCATATGGTAAATTCAAAAAATAGTTTGTGGAATTTGCTCATGTCGATAGGGGCGAGTTTGCCACGATGTCAGCCGGGTAAGGTGCCTTCGGTGCTTGTAACCACTCGATTTGAGGGGCAACGATGGAACAGGAGGCAGCAACCTTTGCTGCAACCATAAAACTCATCAAAATTGTTACTAGGCTCATAGTGCAGATGCTTCAGAAGAGAGGTATGGAACTTTTGCCGTTCCGAGCCACTCTTAGAGTCCCAGTTGACCAGATCGCAGCAAACATCGCTGTCACGATTACTCATAACGATATTAGTATAACATTTAGCGCAACTAACGTCGATGGAACGGTGGTATTCACGCAGGTATGGCGAGAACCTCGGGGTACACGTCGGCCCTTGGTTCCTCAACCTCTTAGAATGACTGTGAGAGAAGGCAAAACCACAGAGGCATATAGTTGTTCGCTCTGGGATTAGAGTCGATGGACCAATCAGCTCAAGGCCGTAAGGAATCTGGCGTACACGATCGACGGAAATGCATTGATGCGATACAGAGAAATGGCATTGCAGGCACTGGTGTATTTTCATGAAGCGATCACCGTTGTTCATGATCTGAGACATCTTGCGACATATATGCATGAACGACTTCTGCAGTAACGCCTTTTGTTCTTCAGTGAAGTCTGTATCTATCAGCATCTTGCTGTCCTCACACTGATCTATGTTTTTCTGCAATATACGGAACCAGTAGTTCGGATCGGATATTGACTTTCTTGACTGGAATTCATCTGCGCCCGGTACACTGAGCCAAGTCTTTTGTTGATGCGGTGCTTGCATCATCGCTGCTGGTGGTTCTTGCCTTTTTGGTTGCACCTCCTGTTGTTCCATTCGTTGGCGTTTCTTCCTGTCAACCGACTTCGCGACAGACATGGCTTCCGTCTGCCGCGGTCTCTTAAAAGCGACCTTCTCAACTTGTTCCTCGTTCATAGGTACACGGTCTTCATCCGCAGCTGCGTAAACGTAGCGCCGCTTCTTGATTGACAGAGCCAACAGTTTAATTCCTTCAGACCCTTGATCGGGGCTTGACGGTTCTTCTTTGATCTTGGTCTCAGTATATTTTGGAACTGGATCAATTTTCTTTACTGCTGGTGGACTCCGTGAAGTCTTTCTAAAAAACAGCAGCGGACGATCTTCACTAACTAATTTCCACACTGCATCAGGATTGTTGGAAATTCTTTCCGCAGCTCCGTATGATGACAGTTCCACGTGAATTGCGGTTTCTCCAGTTTAAAACATATCAACTTGGTGAGAAAATAGAAGTATAACGTAGACGTAGCGAGACGAGTGAACGCTCCAATATTGTATAAAATACTGTCTGTGTTATATCAGTTCGCGCGGGGAATTACATGGTTTATTGTTCCGGTCACGTACCGATGACGCAACCGTTTCCATTATGTTAATTGCTCCGGGAATAAAAATCTCCACACTTTCTTGATGCTAGCTTATCGCGTGAACTTCTGCTGGTTTTTCCGTTTCGTACGGTAGTCCTCGAATTCGAAAGCCAAATTTTCCAATTATTCTAATTCGAAAATTGAGGAGAATAGAGTAAACGCAACACTTCCAAAATAGCTGCCAACTGTTATCCTTTATATACGCGTTTTGACAATAACAGGACACGATTATCGTAAAATAGTTGTACACCAAACGCGGCTAGTGTTCCCTTAGACCTATTGATGATCTATTGACCTTGGTTTCGCCGAGTATATTGATGTTATCAGTAGCATTTGTATACATCGTTTTGTTTTCGTGCCAACAGCCGCGCCGAATGGGCCCCAAGAGCGATAACGGAATGTTTATTATTATATATGTATATTATTTCATGATATCTTTTGAATGGCATGTCCGATTTCAATAATTAAAAAAGTAATCATCAGGTATTGAGACAGTCTTGAATATTAATTTATTTGGGTAAAAATTTATAAATGGTATATGGATACCACGGTCTCATTTTGATCGGAAATTCTAATAATTTGTTAAATGTAAGAAAGTAGTTGTAGCGACGTAACTACAATAGTTAGACATATGTTCTCGCGATGTTTTTTGTAGATATTGATATATTATATAAAATTGTCGAACTGTTTTTTGGCCTTTTAGTAAGAATTTCTATAGATGCCTATAGTAATCAAGTACTAAATATAGCCTATGTTACTCAGTGATAATGTAGCTTTCTAATGAAAAAGTATTTATTAAAATCGGTCCAGTACTTTTTGAGTTTATCCGTTACATACAAAAATACAAATCTTTTCTCTTTATAATATTAGATAGATTGTAACTTACAAAGTAAGTTACAAATTGTATTTAATAAATAAAAAAGGGTACATAATAATTAATAATTTAAATAAAAAACGGATTATATATTGAAAATATTTACGACATGGGCAGGAACGGCATCCACGGCAAAATAATTTTACGCCGATCTAAAAATGAACGCTGTCAATTGTCACCAATATACAAGGATATATAGTATTGATTGAGAGAATTTAAATGTAGCAAAAAATGTTTTCCAGCTATATTCATGTATATTTTGACGGGTTTTGGAATAACCGGAGGAGCACATAGACTGTGGACACACAAGGCTTATAAAGCGAAACTTCCAGTAAAAATTCTGATGCTGATTGCTTTTGCAGGCGCCGGGCAGGTAAAATTTTTCGTACAGGCCAATTTTAAGTTCCGGTAATTTGTGGTGTGGTGTTTGCATCATCATAGATTACATTTACATAGTTACAGATATTTAAATATAGTAAATATTCCTACAGATACAAAATACCCGAAGTTAAAACATAGATAATAACAATCTTTCATAAGGTGCATCGCCATCTATTACACAGATTAAATGAAAATCCCAAATTGACTCTAAAGAACGCCAAATTATGCATTCAAAATTTAATGAGCGTTATGAAATCGGCCGTTGGCAGCAACAGCTGCGCTTACAATTTAATTAAATAAGAAATAAACCCACGTAATATTTTTGCGAGCGTCCTTACGTTATTACATGCAAAGTATTCCACTCGACAGAAAATTTAAGCACTTTTGTGGACAATGATAAAATCATTTCGATAATATTACCTGCTTAAAAGATTCAATATCAAATTGTACTGACAAAAACTAAACTTTCAGATATTTTGAGAAACGATAGTAAAGATTAGAGATGGTGTAGATAAACCTTTTCAATTATTAGCCAAAAGGTTCCATTTACAGATTTTTAAGGCTGTAAAATATACATCTTTCAGAATTCCTTAGTACAATGGGTTCGAGATCATCGGGTCCACCATAAGTACAGTGATACAGACGCAGACCCACACAACGCCAATCGTGGTCTCTTCTTCTCCCATATCGGATGGTTAATGCTCAAAAAGAACGACCAGGTCATCCTTAAAGGAAAGCAGCTTGATATGAGTGATATCACTAATGACCCTCTGTTGAAGTTTTACAATAAGTAAGTACTTTTATTAAACCTGTTTTCATATGTTCATAAAACATGCCAATAATTGAACAACAATTTGGAGAACAATCTTAATAATATTTTTTTTGAAAAGGGAATTTTTGATATTTAACCAAAAAGCCATTAATTCTTTTAAGTATGACTTATATTCGCCGTATCGTATATTATTACGCCGTATATTTTCAGTAATGAATAGCAAACCATTTTTTTTTTATAAATTACCCTCAAATCTAAGTAAGATTTATATGTATTACATCTATTTTAAAAGCAACACAACGTATTCAAAATAATTTGTATTTTTCTAGATACTTTACATACTTCAAATTATTGATATGCTTCGTATTACCACTTACAATATCGACGTACTTCTGGCAAGAAAATTGGAAGTGTGCGATAGCATGGCAGTGGTTTTTGAGATATTTAGGCATGTTCCACAGTGAGCTAACAGTTAACAGCCTCGCCCATACTTATGGGTACAAGCCTTATAACAAGTAAGTTACTATAACTAAAAATACAATTTTAGTAACATACACATATGAAAGCTTTAATATTTTTTACATGTTATTGCACATGAAGGCACTATATATTTTTAAAATTACACATATTTTGGGCTGTATGTAATGAAAAATTATTGTTTGTATTAAATATAATTCAGTATCTATTTATCTTGATTTATAGACTTTGAACGCGAATTATGAGAAACATTCTGTATTCACAATAAAAATTTGTTTCCACACAGAAGGCACGAACAGACACGTCTATGACTATTTATTGATCAAAATAATGCCACACTAGTATTTGTCTGACTTCTGTGCCATGCCCGACCGAAACTATTTAATATGTTTCCTTAGGATTAGGGCCTAGAAATTTGGGCCACGCCCAAAAGCAGTCTGAAGGCCAACGTAAAGTTATTGTTTAAAGTTTCTTGCTTGTATCATATCATTGATATTTTAAAATCAAAAATTAAAACATTTTTAATAAGTTCTATAAGTATATAAGTATTAGTTTTCTGTATATATATAAACCCGATACGATAATTAAACCGAAAATAGATCCGTATTTTCCTTTCCCTTATTAGATTATATGATCAATTCCCCGCTGTATCCAATTAATTAATAAGTTTGGACATTTCCCAGGAACATAGTCCCAAGGGAGAATCGTTTCGTATCAACGGTGACCCTCGGTGAAGGCTGGCACAACTATCATCATATGTTTCCTTTTGACTACAAGGCGGCTGAGCACTTTGATTGTTTTAACTTTACCTCATATTTCATACGATCTTTTCATAAGTTGGGGCTCGTGTACGACTTACGAGAGGCCACTCCGGAAATGATAAATTCTGCGGCTAAGAGATTAGGAGATGGCACGCCAGTACATTTCCCGATTAACACAGATTATTAAGCTTTAATAAATAATTAGAAAAATGTGCTCGAACTATCAAAGTTTATTTGGACTAATGTATTATCGTTGTGTATTTGTTACTATTAATGTAAGGTAATGTAATTCTAAGTAGCATTTTGATGTTGAACACGTTTCTTGTTCGTGTTTTTATGACAATATAAGGATATAAAAATATTTTAAATTTAGTAGCTTAATATACTATAATTATAGCAATAATCCATATAAAGGCTCCTAATTTTTTATAGTATTATTTCATTTAATAATATGATGAAATTTAAATTACCTGACATACAAGTAATTTAATGGCTCTGTAAAACATTTTATAGCATGCAAAACGGCAAGAACTACACGTGAAAATGAAACGTATGTAAATAACAGAAAATTATGCAGCTATGATAAATCGCTGACGTGTCTAATTTAAAATCTAGTTACCGCTTGCATTTAAATTAGCCACACAGTAGAAGTTAGATAGAATTCATAGTCCTACCGCGGGTAGAATATGCAAGTCGGGAATCGTTTTTATACGGCTTTCCAGAAATAATATATTAGCTAGGGTTATCTAGTTTTGTAATACAAGCGAATGCTATTTGACTTTATAATAATGAAGCTGGTCATAAATTATAACGGTTATTTAACACACACTGTCATGTCATAAGTAGGTTAGTCTTTTTTGACAAATATTGTCGTTTGGATTGGATGATTTTATTTTGTTATAATTTTACTTTTATCTATTTAATAAAAATGCCAATCGACTACACAAATCCGGATACATTAAAATTCCTGATAGAAAATTTCACAAAAGAGAATGAGCGACGGATTTTATGGTTCAACAAAAATAAGGAAAAGGTCTTGCAATTGGCTGTCTCAACGGGGAAAAAGTGTTGCACTGAAGACGTTTATAGGGCCTCTGTTGAACCATGTATGACATCATTAGCCGTTCATCACACAAGCAGCGGCGTGAACCGACGACGTAAACCAATTCGTGATGGCCTAATTAACTTATCCGCAAAATATAATTCTCGAATAAAAGCCAAGTTGGGCGAAGGCGCATTAGTGGAAACGGGAGAAATGCCTAACTCACTTATGAAGCCAATCGAAAGCGACGTGTCAGAAGTGCTGTACGAAACTAAACCTGACGGCGGCCGTATTCAATATCTCAGACGAAGAGCGCGAAAATTACCCGAGGAGCGATATTTTTTCTGCGAAACTAGCAATAACGTGTGTGGGTGGAAATTAAATGAGAGTAGGATGCAGCAAACGACGGAGTACAGACGCGTTTATACTTACAAACGCGATGCCCTTAGCCGCTCCGGTCCCCAACCAGATCCGCCTTATTGCATTAAGCCGCTGAAGGAGGAAAATTTTAAATGCTCTTAAATCTAGTTTATACTAATATTGTACTAATAAAAGTTTTATGGCATTATAGCTTATCATTTAAACTATTTACGTAAAGTACGAATAAGTAATATTTGAGGAAGGCGTTGATTCAATACAATAAAAAAAATGTTCGGGCCAACGAAAAGTAAAGCTTCTTAAAGAAAAAAGGAATTAATTTCACATTTTCAATATTTAAGTTCAGACATTACAAATATCCCGTAAGAAGTTTAATATATTTTATTTATTTATTACAAATATACGCAATATATTACAGTGCTAGGTTACACAGTAATATATTGCGTACATTTAACTTCTTCTTGGATGGCGGCCTCGCAATTTACAACATTTGCCGGGCACGGGCACCTGTGTAGTTGAATTAAGTATGAGATAATGTGAACTGTAGAAAAAAATAGTATTGCATGACAGCATGAAAAAGTTAAGATATTTAAATAAAAATATATATAGGGAATTCGGTAACATTTCTTCCTTCTAAATAATAAAAATTTATATCTTGCTTAGTTACTTAATAAGGAATTAACTTACCTTTAATAAGGAAATTTAAGTTAGATTGGAGAATTATCTTTATACACATCTAACGTGATTGTCACATTTACCCTGTAATCTGTCCCTGTTTAAAGCAAATCCAAGTTCAACTCCGTCGCTGATGGCTGAACAATCTTTAAGTCCACTTACTCGCCTCTGAAAAGCCCTAATTTGCATTTTTATGTTAGTTTTGTATTGGTGTCATCTCAACTTCCTTCATCCTTAACCCACTTTGCTTTTATGAATTTCTTATCTAAGGCATTATAGTTGTCGAGTTTTATAGCTAACGAAACAGAACGTAACTCTATAAATTGTTCCTTATCAGCATATTTTGGTATTATTATACAAAGCATAAAGGACGATAAACCTCGATTCTCTAGTAAAACAAAATGTCCTTTAAAACAGAAAATTTATTAAATCTATTTACTAATTCAATACATTCTTTAACTATAAATATATACATGTGTGGAGATGTCACAGTTTATCCTAATACCCCATTTATGATCCCTAAGAAACATACTGTAATGATCGAGCAGGGTCCAAAAAGTTACATCCACTTGTTGTCTAAGAATGGTATATCGCTAAGCGGTATGTTTCCTCTTAGCGGAAGGTTTATCGAACACTTGTTTCATGCCCCCTCTGAAGTTAGTCAGCCTAACCGCCGCACCTTCGTTGCTCCAAGCCGAGTCGAACTCGGTTGTGTCTTGATCTACGAGATGTGTGTACTTTGTGCGACCGGAGCGGCCAAACTTTTTCACTTGCATAACCTACAAGAGATAATGCAATTTAAATGGTTTGCCCAAGTAAACCCCCCTCCCCTTTCACCAACGGAAGGGGAGGGGGGTAGCATATAATATTTTGACAAGATTTGCTGTGGACCAAATCTGAGCTTTGGACATTTAGACCCGAACGGAATTTCAATGTCTTACCACCTTAACAACCAAATTTTAAAGAATACTTTCTGAACAAAAGTTATTAATTGTGTTTCTTAAGATGTGGAAAACGATGATTATCGATATAGATTACTACTATTGCACTAACGAGCCCATGAAATATATGTAGACGCGTTAATTTCTCATATATAGTGTGACAAAATACAATGAAGAAATAAATATAATTTTATAACGCCATCAGTCTCAGATTTACTAATGTTTGAAATTAATTAAGTTCATAACAAGGTAATGTTTAATCTAGATTTCGGAATCTACCGATATGTGCTATCTTCACTTACCTTTGGCAGAACAGTCTTATCAAAGTGGTCATCGAGCGTGGCACCCGAGAAATCTTGCTTGAACACTTCTTCCTCTTTGTCTAAATAGAAAGCCCCTCTGCAAGAACATTGTGTTTCAAAAAAAGGTATCGAATTTTATACATATGTATCAGTATCACAGAATATAGGAAATTGACTTATGATTCAAAAAAATACTCCAAATTAATATACCTGTGGTAGTATTTCTGCAAGAACTTGTACTTCCCCTTGACCGCTTTGTTGGTGACTACCTTTGGGTTCACTCTCTGTTCTGCTCTTCGCTCTTCTTCCGTCATATTGCGAAGTCTTTCTATTTGAAGCAACTCCTTTTCTACACTGTAAAAGTAAGGAAGAGGATAAAAGACCGCTACACAAAAGAAAAAATATTAAAACATAAAGTAAATTAAGTATAGTCTCTGGTTAACGCAAGTAGTACAAATTTAAATAATATACTTTTAACAGTTTTAAACACGATATATATTAACTCATTTTACTTTAACTACGGCCCGACGGTTTGGATGCTTTGCAGCAGCCGTGATCACGGGGAGACCCTTTCAAGGTATTTTATTTAGAAGTAGTACAGTAATACGACAATATTAGTTGTTGGGTATGACATGATAAAAATGAATAATATTCGAACGTGATAAAACTGAATGCAAAATCGATAACTTAGTAAAAAGCGATACTATTTTCATGGTATGGTATCCCTGAAGATTTATCTAATTAGTGAATGATAATGACTTACGCTTCACGCTCCTCCTTGTCACGTTTGATACGCTTCATCTCTCTTAGTTTCCACGCCTCGTATTCCAACTCGTCGTTTTCGTCATCCGTGCAAACGTCTTCGATATTTGCTTCTTTAGCTTCAGCCTAAAAAGACAAATTATAATCAAAACTCTTTTTAAAAGAGTAGAGCATAAACTTAAATCTTATCGCCATTTCAATTGTTTATTATTCTGTTAATAAATATATATTGGTATATATAAAGCTGAAGAGTTTGTTTGTTTGAACGCACTAATCTCAGGAACCGCTAAATTCTTCGAATTAAAAAAAATATTTTAGTGTTGGTTAGAGGATTTATTGAGGATGGCTAAGATGGCTTAGAACATCGCGATGTAACTAAGAGGAGCGAAGAAACAGCGGAAAATGTGGAAAAAATGGGGAAAATTATTCATACTAGAACCCATGGAGGCAATGGACCTGCGTTGACAGTTAAAGATATCCAAAAAAACATGTATGAAACAATGATTTCTCTTTTCGCGACAGTATATTCTATCTTGTAAGATTAACTTGCAAGAACGACGGGAGCGCGGACTACGTCGTGGGTAACAGCTTAAATTTATTGGTTAAACAGGAAGTTTAAAAAATAAAAAAATGATACCCAAAATATTCTACGCGTACGAAGGCTGACTGAGCTAGTTAGCTATATAGTGTCTGGTTGACTACAGGTCTTCGAGGTTAATACAACATCTTTATTTATTTATTTAACATAAAAACCTATAGATATATAAAATATTGTTTATCTTAGGATTAAGCCCATAGACCAAGTTCTATCATACCTGTGTGTTCCTCTGCTCTGCCCGGATTGTTTCCTCTACTAGCTTAAGTGCTTCCCGTCTCCTCTCCTCTTTCTCCCTTCGAGCTTCTACTTCTTCTTTCTTTTGCTGCTTTACTTTTCTCTCACGTTCAGCTACTGTCATCCGGTCGGAAGCTCGCACGAACACTGGCTTGACTCTAGGACCTGAAGGACAAGGCTCATAAAATTACATTAAAAAATCCAACCTCTTCTTTCTTGGTAAGATTGTGCTGGAAAGATTTGTAAGCTTGATGAATTTGACTTTTTAGCTTGTGAGTTCCAAGTTGTATCTATAGCCTATACAAAGCTATAGATACAACAGGCTCTTATTGCTCTGGCCTATTACTACTTAGCTTCTAACCTGCTTCCTCCTCACTATCAGTGTACTCTGTATCGGAGGAACCACTCTCCTCTTTATCACCTTCCAACATTTCCTCTTCTTCATCTCTACCCAATGCTTCTTTTTCAGCTTCTCTGCAATTTAATTACATACAATGATTTAGTTTTAATTAAATTCATTGAATTGATAAAATTATGGAAAGATAAAAAAGCAATATGAAAACCTTGCAGCGAGTTTTGCTTTAACAGCCTGTCTACGTCTCTCAATTTCTTCCTCATCAAGATCATCCTCACTCTCAGAACTGTGGCGAGCCTCATCTTCACTTGATTCTGGCTCTGGTTCTTCTGGTTCGGCATCAATTATTTCAGGCTTATGTTCAGACCTACGAGGTGGTGACCGTCCAGCAATTCGTAGCCTACGTAATCTAGGATCATCTACCTACAAAAATATTGATATAGACATTACCAGCTACTCTTCAAGAGAGTTAATACTAATATTTGTAGCAACTGGAGTATGTCATTTTCAAATGTGCTAATAATGATTAAAAGATGTTTTAAAGGAAAATTTTAATACTAACCTGACTAAATCTTTTTCTTAGCTTCATAATTAACTTTACCTTTGTTAATAAGACTGTAGTTTTGCTAAAATTTTGCAGACTTTGGGTTTTTTGAGCTATTTACTCATTTTAATTGAGATATTGTTCTTGATGTTTTGCCATCACTCTCATTACATTACAACGGCTTGAAAACCCAAGAAGTTAATTGTTTACTCAATATTTAAGAAAATCAATGTAACTTACTTCTTTTTCAGAATCACTATGTTCCTCTTTACTGGTTACAGCAATCTGATGTCGCCTTTCTGGTCTCTGTTGTTCAATGAAGTCTTCTGCGTCTGAATCTTCAGATGATGACACACCTTGTGCATATTCTGGTTTTTTTCCCGATATATACCTTTGGACTTTCACCTTTTGCATAGATATTTCCCCTAGAATTTATAATACAATAAATTGATTTTACTAAAAAACAAAATTAGATAGTTAGCTTTTGATGAACAATCTCTCAACATACTAATATAATAATAATTGAAGCAACCACTAATTTGGTTGTCTAATTAGTAATCTATCCAAGGAATAGAGGTGTATACCATTGTATTTAGTTTATAATACTTATCTAAACTGACATCTGTTAATAAAATATTTATTATTCAACCTTCTATTCAAATATTATAGATTTTAGTTAAAGTGACCTAAATTGTATAATTTAGGTCGCTTTTAATATATCGTAATATTAGATCACACTGTAGCACACTACAGGTATTGATATTTGTGAAAATGTCTAAGCATACGAACCTTTTTCATTTCGGATTGGGACGGCTCCAGCAGTACTTTGTATACCAGTCGGCTGTGCTGGCAAAACGTTCATCGACATTGTGGAAAAAAGATACCTTTTCTGCGATTAATTTAACCTCGACAGCTAATTCTTCTAAGAGATTAAAAGTAAAACAATATCCTAATTTTTAACTTCTAACGATACCTATTCACGTATAATTCGTGTTTATCAAGACATCATATTCAACAAATAATTATAAAGTTATTACTAAAAGGTCAAGTAAAAAGTACAAAGTTAAATTTCTGTGATTAACATTTAATAATTTAATATACGAAAGCAACTCAAATAATAAATATTACAAAGCACTCGAGTAATTTGACATTAGCTCGTAGTAAAAGGTAAATATATTATTTGGTTATGACTTTTAAGCTAGGCACTACTCATCGCTACTCTTTTTTTTTTTTAACATTTAATGGCCTGGTAACGAGACTTTTAAGCCATCGCTCCAAACTATAGACAACTACATGCTAACAGGCGGGTAATATTGACGGCACCTGGCCAAAATTATAATAAAATAAACTATAGAGTTTTTATCTAACTTGAGAAAACACCACAACAAATATGTAGTGTACTTTTTAACTGAGCAAAATATATGGATTATGGAGTAGGTATTTGAAAAGATAGCGAACTAGTGATAAAGGGATAAAGAAACATGGATTATATATGGACCAAACAACCTCAATATTCAAACACCTTTTTCTAATCTTATTATTATATTTAATTATTATTTACCTCGTCATTACAAGCAGGCAGAGGGTAAGGAATGAGTTCTTCTTATTATCGTTGATCCTGCTTACATCCCGTCGCTTATTTTTTTTTTTTAGTATTGGCTTAAAAGTCTTGTTACCAGACCATAAGATATTATACATAAAAAAAACATCCCATCTCTATGTAAATATCAAGCTAAAGATATTTTAATCTGTCCAATCCTTTCTTAGTGTCGTCCTTATAGGTAAAGTCATTTAAGTATTTTATTAATTTAAAATGAAATTGTGGTTTTCACCAAGTGAATTCGAGGTAGTTCCATTAGTTTTACATGTAGTCCATTGTCTTAAAATGTTTTTAGTGTAAATCAATGTAAACCTCCTAAACTAAACTATTTGTTTGTTTACAAAAAATGTCAAGTTAGCAAAAATACATGAAACTGAATTATGGAACGATTAATAATTGCAGCTTTAAATTATTAGATAAAGTGCGTAAAAAATTACAAATAAATGCTATTAAGAATCAAATTTAGTTCGATTTCCTAACAAAACTACCGACATTTAATCGATAATTCTTGCGCTGCTCTGTAATACTTGTTATATATTAACAATGTATAATATACTTGTTATAAATATACTGGTTGTATAGACTTTTATATTATGGTTTGTCTTATCACATTTTTATCATAACATATACATTTCGTCATATTAAAATAATTATATTTTCTAGATAAGGTATCATCCTTATTTAATTTGTATTATTATTGTCGAGTATTTCTGTTTTGGTACATGTTTAAAGTTTAAGTGTGCTTAATCAAAAGTTCATTTTAAATCACATTAAAATCCTTATTAAATCTAATTTCTATTTTGTAGCAAAGAAAATGGCATCTACTCTACAGATTAAAAGTATAGAAGATGTTATTATACGATCTTTAAATGACGACGAATTAAAGGAGTTTAACAGAATTCATTATGGTAGAATAGATCATTGTAATATTTCTTTAACGGAATCCAGTGTAAGAGCAGCTTCTGCAAATAATTTCGAAATCGCTGCCTTTGATTTTCCAGCTCTTATAGAAGAAACTAGGCCTCCTCGTATTGTTCGAGTTGGTGTGATACAGCATTCCATTGCAAGTTCCACTTCTAAACCAATAAAAGAACAAAGGGAATCTATATTTAATAAAGTTTCAAAACTGATAGATGCAGCTGCGACAGAGGGTGTTAATATCTTATGTTTACAAGAAGCATGGAGCATGCCTTTTGCATTTTGTACTAGAGAGAAGACCCCATGGTGTGAGTTTGCCGAAAATGTAAACACTGGACCAAGTACAAACTTTCTAATAGCATTGGCTAAGAAGTATGGCATGGTAATTATATCACCAATTTTAGAGAGGGATGAACTGCATGGAGATCTTATTTGGAATACTGCCGTTGTTATTAATGAAAAGGGAAAGGTGATCGGTAGCCATAGAAAGAACCATATACCACGAGTGGGTGACTTCAATGAATCAACATACTATTACGAAGGCAACACAGGACATCCTGTATTTGAAACTAAGTTTGGAAAAGTTGCTATCAATATTTGTTATGGACGACACCATCCTCTGAACTGGCTGATGTTTGGGCTCAATGGGGCTGAAATAGTTTTCAACCCTTCAGCCACAGTTGCAGGTCTTAGTGAACACTTGTGGGGCATTGAAGCAAGAAATGCTGCTATAGCCAATAGTTACTTTACATGTGCTATTAATAGAGTAGGGACAGAAGTCTTCCCAAATGAATTCACTTCTGGTGATGGAAAACCAGCCCACAATAATTTTGGTCACTTCTATGGATCCAGCTATGTAGCAGCTCCTGATGGTACCAGAACTCCTGGTTTATCCAGAACTATGGATGGTTTATTGATTGCACAAATTGATTTAAATATGTGTCGTCAAATCAAGGATAAATGGGGATTTGCTATGACACAGAGATTAGACATGTACGCTAAAAGTTTAAGTGAATATGTGGGGGGCAAGGAAGCACAGCTAATTAAAGATAAATAATGTTATCTAGGGCGCCATTTTCTTGTCATGTATCTTATCTTTCTACTGAAGCTAGGTGCTATGTTAATTTAAAAAAATATATATATTATTTTTTAACATTGATAATAAGTGTAATGTATTGATGTCAAAAAAATGATTGAATATTTTCTTAAGAATCTTGTATATTTTATATTGTTTGTAAGAGGTTATACTATATATTTTACTATGAGATGGTTAAAATAAAACAGCTTTTGTAAAAACATTGTGTATTAATGAGAATATTATAGAAGGGAGCTATACAATAATAATTAATATTATGTAGTAGATTATCATGGGGTACATTAGAATCTTCGCCTTACGATTTTTATAAAGACCAATCATAAAATACAACAGTTTTATAGGTACAGTTTTCAATGTCTTTTTAGTATTGTGATATATAGACATTTATTATTACAGATGATTCTAAAGTAATAAAAAATATTGTATAAACCTTAATACCACATTAGCAAGACTGTATAAAGGCAGTATATTTTATAATCATTGGCTAAAAAGGCCAGTTTTAAGATTATATAAATACCTGTTTACAATTATTCTATAAAAATCTTATCTGCATAGACAATTAAGAACACACTATAAAGCACCTGGCTGAGAAAACTAATAACAATAACATAATTATATAATACAATTTAATGGAAATAAGAGAAGTTATATGTACCCCAAATCCAGATATTAAAATTTAATTATTACTAAACACTAATATTCTATGCAGTCTTTGCACGCATTGCTGCTCTCTTGCCAGTAACAGCCTGGAAACCAGATTTAATACTAGCAACAGAGCAACGAGAACCACATGTTTCACACTGAAGAAAGAACAATCTAGTATCCTTTTGCAAAATAGTATCAGGAGAACGACATGTATGACATGTAACATATTCCTTTATATATCGGCGTAACACATTTTCAATTTGTTTCTGCTGAAAACGACCTTTGATTATAAGTTGGCTGTTACCATCTACTGAGCCGCTTGTTCCCAATTCAGCTAGAAGAAAATCTAACAAATGTTTTGGCTGTCTGTGCAATGTTTTGCATATTTCTGTGAAGTTCGCAAATGAAGTTTTCTTAGTTCCAATTCTAACCACCTGTGGAGGGCGCATTATAAATTTCTGCTTCTTACCAGAAACCATACTGGGATTTTTCTCACGCATTATATCAAATACTCGCTCTAAGAGTTCATCATATGTGTAGTCACGATCGCTACCATGCCATTCACCATTCTGGTCCTCATCTCTCTCTTGCTCTTCCCCTCCTCGCACATCCTCTTCAGCGAAAATTTCGTCCAAATTTTTCTTCTTTTTCTTTTTCTTAGTTCTCGTGAAATCAATATCAAGATCTAAGTCATCAATAAGTTCTTCGTCTTGATGCTCTGGCTCTTCAGCAGGAGGTGCTTCATCTTTTGCTTCAGGCAAAGCGCTCTCTAATTCCTCTAAATTAAAAAATGTCTTCTTTTTCTTTTTCTTCTTTTTACCAAAATTGTCTAAATCCAGGCTATCGTCTTCGGGTACGTCGACGTCACCTGTCTCAGCAGGCACCTCCGCACTCGTGGTTTCGCTTGGCTCCCCAGCTAATGCTGCTTCCATATCGAAACCAGTCTTCTTTTTCTTTTTCTTCTTTAAAGAAGGATCAAAAATCATTTCGTCATCCATGATTTCGTACACAAATTCTCACAAATTATATGAAAATAAATCTTGGTTATAATCGTATTCGTTTGGCAAGTGCTTCTTAATATAATATGACAAAATGTTGCATCAGCATCACAGATAAACTATCAAAGTATAAATTATTCAGAAAAATTTTAGTCATAGATATAACATAACTATACTATCTGTGATGTAACATGGGTTGTCATTTTAAAAGTTTGACACAAGCCCTAATAAGTAATAACCTTAAAACAGTGCCCAAAACGCTCAAACTGTTTCCATTTGAATAATAGACTAAGACTTCTGATGGATTGTATGTTACCTTAATATTTTATAAAAATGCTCGCTCTTAGAGGACAAAGAATATTGTCAAAACCAAAACTTCTTGCTTTACGAAAATATGCACAAGTGGCTTTACCAGAAGAAAATGAGTATACAGACACTCCTGTCTATCCTGATATTCAGGATGCATCGTTGCAGGCAAGAAAATTACGAGAGAGAGAAAGTGTATATGCTAACATCAGGAATCTAAATACCGTAGAAGAAAAACAAATCGGCTTAAATATGCCTCGTTATTATGGATGGCCTTGTGTCCAATTTAAAGAAGATCATATAATGTATAACGCAATGCCTTTAGTTCAGTACTATACAAGAACTTATTTTAAAACGACAGATAAGCTTCCTGAACATTATAACCAATTTTCAGAAATAGCAAGCTCCATAGTTAATGAGATAAAATCTCTGATTGAGGATTGTATTGTTATTGAAAATGAAGGTCTTAAGTAAGTTTACTGCCTTTCCTTTCCAAATTGTTCACATAATGGGACAGCTTATACTTGTATTAAATTGTACTGTATTAAATTATTAATGTAAAACTTATTTTGTCTAGGAGAAATCCTCTAACTGACGAAAGTAAAGAAGGATTACAGCAGAAAGAAGATAGTTTATCCAAGAATATAGTAAGACAAATAAATAGGATTATTATTAATAATATTGCTGACAAAGTTCCACACATACTGTCATCACAGGTACAACATTCACAATCATTTCTATTTTATAGTTCACTGCTCAGAATAGGTCCCTTATAGAATAGAAAGAAGTTTTAAGACCTTAACCTTGTGGTGAGTCCACACATTTCAAATTATTTAAATTTTGTTTTATAAAAATACATTCTTCTTGAATATTTATAATTTCTAGTAGATTTCATATAATTTTAGGTAGACTATGATCCCAAACATGAAGCTTTTTGGTTTATGGGGGGTACTGATGTACCAGCTAAAGTGGTCAATTGGAGAAAACAATTTGCTTGGCTTAAAGACCGTTTGCACGAGCCTATTGATAGACCAATACAATATACAGGTAAAATATATTTTTATTGTGTTTACTCTCATTGTGCATTTATGTTACAATAAGGTTACATCTTTACAGGTTCACCTATTTTGACAATAAGAAATCATCTTCCTTTAAAACCTTTTATTCCATATAATGAGGCTGAAAACCCAGAATTCAAAGTGGAAAAATTTACATATGTGCCAGAGAGTGTTGGATATGGGGTTACTTTTAGACATGGCACCAATATACCAGGTTCTTATTGGTTTTCTTACTTCTTTAGTCAAACAATAGTAATAAAATATCTATGACATACGATGTTCTCTTATAGGGTTTTGGCCTGGTGATCTTGATGAATTTGGGCTGTTATCATATCACAAAAGAGGTCATATTCTCAAGAGGAATGAGCATTTTGGTACCCTAGACAATTTGGAAGCTTTACACTGCCAGGCTATGAAAGCCAGTTTTGGCTGGTTATTAGCGCAAGCTAATTATCAAGGGTTTACAACGTATAATGATATTACATACCCACTAACAACACAAACTGTCATAACAAATGGACATCTTATATCATTTTATGCTTACCAATTAAATACAATTACTATGAATAGAGACAAGATAGAAAATAATCCTAAGCATAATATCTGCTTTGGAACTAAACCATTCTTATTATATGAGAAATTAGAAAATGGAAAAGTAATGGGTCTTAATGAGGATGTATTGAAAATGCTTGTTCAATTTTATTTGAATGCACCAGAAGAGCGAGAACATGAATTAAAACCATATCTAGGTAAAGAAGAACAGGTAATTGCTGACATTGAAGACGATAATAAGAGGTGTTGGCTTGAAAGCAGATACAAACATTTAATGTCAAATACTCCTAGACATAACCTTCTACCAGAGGTCTATCACTGGGAAAAGATTTACAAAATACAACACAAAACTCGCTTCTTTGAAGCTAAGAGAAGGCCATTTGAACTAGGAATCAATCCATTTAAACGACGTTTAGATGATCATCTACCTTCATATATTCCTAAAGTCTTAAGGCCATATCCACGATCGAAAAAGAAGTTTGAAACAACATATTATCCTAAAGTTTGAATTACATGTAAATAGTTTTGTAGGATTCCTTTAAAAATAGAAATAAAAATGTACTTTATATTATTCTTGACTGTTGTTGCAATATTGCCCGTAATAAAAGTAATAGTATCGTAGATAAAGATTTTGACTTTGACGGGCTCGTTGGTGTAATGGTAGCAATGTACGGCTATTAATAGACGGGTCGTGGGTTCGATGCCCACCCGGTCCAACATGATTCAAATTTTCAATTTATAATTTTTCTGCAACATGTTGGACTTCGTCTATAAATCTGTATATTAAATGGGTGGTAGGAACCTGGATATTTCGTCCGGGTCACGAACTACCGTCCACAGATGAAAATGCCGTGAAACGTTATCGCGTTTCGGTTTTAGTCTGTGGATTTGCAAATATCCAATGCTACAATAGGTCGACAGCGCATCTTGTTCATGCTATAGGCAAAGTACCCCAATGTCACCTATGAACTGAATCCCATGGTTGTTTGTTCTCCTCTATCATTAAAAAAAAATATTGCATCTGTAATCACAGACAGCTAGATTAAAATATTAAATAGCAACACTATTACATTAGCTGTGAGCTGTCAATATACAAGTATTGATTTTCTAATTTTCCCGGCCCCTTTCTTGTGTACTTTTTAACTTGTTGCTCTATGTTTTCAAAAATTATTTCGAATTGTTAAAAAAATGCGTAATCTACAACTTTGGCGAAGTACTTCAAGAAAACTTGAATATTTAAGTGAAGAAATATCATGCGCGTGTTATGGTCACCATGGAGGTTGTCCAGCTGGAGAATTGTTTTTATGTACACATAACCTAATAGTGCGATGTTTTGGTAATGATGGAAGACTCAAGTGGTCGAAAGATCTTTCAGAGATCTCTTCCCTAAGAAATACGCCAGTCAACATAGTATACCTAAGTTTAGTAAACACCCTGAGTATTGGACTATCAAATGGTGAAATATTTGGAATGACTGAAACTGGTGCTAATTGCGAATTAAATGGTATATGTGAGGATGGAATTCTGGTAAGAACTTTAATTTTTAAAAGAAATATACACACATTTATATATTATTTCAATTGCCTTAATACACCAGGCACCTAGTAACCAATAAGAAAATTTGAATGTTTATTCTATTAAACACTTTCAGGCTATGGAATGGAGCCATGACCAGGAACTATTGGCAATAGTCACTAAAGACTACAGGGTTATTGTAATGTCTTGCACATATGATATTGTCAATCAAGTGGAGTTACTCACAGAAGAATTTGGTGCAAAAGAATTTATTACAGTTGGGTGGGGAAAGAAAGAAACTCAATTTCATGGTTCAGAAGGAAAGCACGCTGCTAAGGCTAAAAGTGATTTCTTTGTTGGTAAGTTATAACATAATCAATACTGTACGGTTATTGTATTATGGTATTGTTTTGTATGTATTGTGGTATTATACTGTAATGGTTAGTAAAAGTTTTTGTTTGAATTGAGTTTGATTTTTTTTTTGTACAGATAAACACGCCCTCATCAATAATCAGGTATTGATATCTTGGAAATATCATGGCAGTCTTTTTGCTGTTGGATTCACTATGGAAGGAATAAGACGATTTAAAGTATTTGATAGAGGAGGGAAGCTTCTCTACACTAGTGAGAAACAACAAGGACTGGAGGCAAATCTTGGTTGGCGTCCAAGTGGCAACACCATTGCTACAACTCAGAAACTGTCAGATAAATATACTTTAACATTTTTTGAAAAGAATGGCTTAAAACATGGCGAATTTGAAATACCACTAACGGAAGAGGTTCAAAAAATACTATGGAGTCAAGATTCTGAAATTTTGACATTAGCTTGTAGAGATTCAAAAGATCGCACACCAAAAGTGTTGCTATATACAAGCACTAATTATCACTGGTACTTAAAACAGACCTTGACATTCACCGGACATACTAAAATTAGCAAAATTATGTGGGATAATGATTTTGATATATCTAACAACAAAAAACTTCATATCCTGTTCAAAAATGGGCAATATTACACATACACATGGGTCTGGGATGTAGACCATAGCACTGGAAAATGTGATAAAGATGATGCAATTGTTTCCGTGATAGATGGAAAAAAAATTTTGGTGTCATCCTTTAGACATTCTGTTGTTCCACCTCCAATGGCTAATTTTGAAATTGAGAATGAGAATTTTGTTGATTCAATTCAGTTCCTGCTTGAACCAAAAGATGACACTGATTTTAATACATTTTTCATCTGCTCTTTTAATAAATTAACTTTTTACCAGCAGACACAAAAGAAACCCCTTAAATATAAAATATCAAATACCATTAGCTTGGACCCATTTGAGTTTCCATTCCAATATTACAACTGGTATTGGTGGAAGAAAGATGTACTTGCTGTCATTCATTTAGACAGTGATAGTAATTATAGAATGATTTTATTTACAATTATAAATGATACTTTACAAGAGATTTACTCTAAACATTTACCTGCAGCTGTAGTAAGAATTCACTCCCATCCCTTAATACCAAAACTTTACCTTCATATGGAAACAGGTAAAGTTATGGAATACAATTCTGAAGGTTTAGAGGAATTAGCGGAATCATTTCCAGTTGCTTGCCCAAAGTTTTGTGTATTACCTATTGGTGATTTGGGCTACTTTGTTGGACTTACCCATAAAGGATTATTATATCTTCAAGACAAAGTTATAATGAATAATGTGGGGTCAATCTTTATACACACTGATTATTTTCTCATTACTTCGTTGAAAAACTTTTTGCTCTGTACTAAGCTTACACAAGATGGTTTGGGAGCTGTAATTGACTATGACAACACTGAATCACCTGATGTTTATAAAAGGAGAGTAGAAAGAGGATCAAAAATTGTTGTAGTAGTACCAAATGATACAAGAACTGTACTTCAAATGCCCAGAGGAAATCTAGAAGTAATTGAACCACGGCCACTCTCTCTAAAAATTGTAGGAGAGCACTTAAACTCTCTGAAATATCTTGAAGCATTTGATTTAATGAGGAAACAAAGGATCAATCTCAATTTAATTTATGACCATAACCCACAACGCTTTATAACCAACATTGATAAATTTTTGAATACTATAACAAACAATTCGTGGCTTAGTCTCTTCTTGACAGATTTGGAAAATAAAGATGTGACCAAAACAATGTATGCAACCAGCTATATTCACACGAAAGAAAATAAGGACTGTGATAACAAAGTGAACTATATATGTGATGTAGTACGACAGTGTCTTACTAATGGATCAGATAAATTAGGAAGAGTTTTGCCACTATTGACAACTTATGTCAAAAAGAACACAATCCGTGATCTAGAAGATGCACTACTTATAATAAAAGACCTTAAAGTACAAGAGTTAAATGGTATTAAACTGCCAGTATCCTCCGATGAAGCATTAAAATATTTACTGTATATAGTTGATGTTAATAAACTATTTGATGTTGCCCTAGGAATGTATGATTTTGATCTTGTTCTATTGGTAGCCAATAAGTCTCAAAAGGATCCAAAGGAATACATACTAATGATGAATGAACTAAATTCAATGGACGAAAGTTACAGACGGTTCACTATAAACAAAACATTAAAAAGATATATTCAAGCTATTGAATGCCTTATTCAATGTGGCCAGAGTAGACATGAAGAATTAAAAACGTTTGTAAAATATCATAGTTTGTATAGAGATGCTCTAAAAATGCTTAAGCCAAATGAGAATATATACAAAGAAATATGTGAAGATTTTGGCTCATTTTTGAAATTGAAGAAACAACATTTAGAAGCAGGTATAATGTTTGAAAGGGCAGAAAATATTGTAAAGGCTATTGAATGTTATAGAGAAGCACTGGAATGGGAATTAGCTATGAAATTAATACAACAATTGCCACATAATGAATATAAAAGCATATGTTGGTAAGTACATATATAAAATTGCATTGTACTAAATATGTACTGGAAAACAAATGAAACAAGTATTTGGAATGCACAACTTATAAATGTTTCAGGGATTTCGTGGCTGCATTAAAGCAGGAAAAACGACACAGTGAAGCTGTTAGAATTTTAGAAATTCTTGGTGATAGTAAAACAGAAGTCTTGAAGTATGCTGTTGAGAATGGCGAATTCAAATCCGCAATTAGACTATGCGACGCATACAATATGCATGCACTTTTAGGTAATTTCAACCCCTAAAAATATGATTTCTTGCTTGTGTATTTTAAAGATTCTAAGAATATGTACCCATCTATTGTTTAATTATAGAAGCGGAAGTTCAACCTGCATTACTAGAGGAGTACAGCAATCTAAAAGATCTGTTAGAGACGAATCTAGAAGCTTTCAAAAAATATAAGGATCGTCTGGAAGTGGTCAGAGAGCTAAAAAAGAAAGCCCCACCAAGGAATGAAAACATTCCATATTACAATAGAGATTTTGATTTGTATTCAGATGTTGGAAGTACTTTGGGTTCATCTACTGGGTCTAGGTATATCGTTTTTATTTTTACAAATAAACTATCAGTAATATGAAACATATACATTCTTATTGTAGCAGAATATTATAATCAACTTTTATGAACAACAAGTTTGGTCAAACTAAGAATTGCAGTTTAGCTTAGTTTAACTTTACGATATTCAAACAAAGGCGATTCGTTTGTATGAGTAACTATAACTCTTTCAATTATTATTATTTTCAGTCGGTCATATAGATCAAGTAAGAATCGTAGGAAACATGAGCGAAAAGTGGCGTCCTTAAAGGAGGGCTCGCAATATGAAGACACGGCCCTAGTAATGGCACTACACTCGCTAGTCACGGCTACGTTTGAGCTTCGTCCACACGTCAGAGAAATAAACTTAGCACTGTGTAGTTTATATAAAGACGATGAGGCTAGGATACTTCAGGTATGTAAAAATTTTCTTAAATATCTTTATATCATGGTCAAGGGAATTTTAGCAGAATAGAGCCCTGCCTTGATAAATTATCGACTTGGCACAAAATATTGTTTAGTAAAAAATTGATAAAACATAGACTAAATATAGCGAAAATTGTTACAGTACCTATTGGACAAAATTCTTCAAGAGATGAAAGACAGTTTTAAGCAGATCTGGACGAATAACCTTGTTATAGAAGCAACGAACGCCGTTATTACAGCAGAACAAAATATTCCTGAAGGGGGTAGTATCATACGTCAGGGTATTGCTACCTTGGGTAAGTAATCAATATGACGTGAAGCAAATTGAATGAGGTGTTTACACGATGATTCTCTGTCCTATTTTACTACTGATTACTTTTCTTTTCAGAGCCTCATGTGAGAATAGCTCCCGTTATTCAAGACATGCATTGGAAATTAGATTTAGATTAAATATATTATCACTCAACAATGAATGGCTTAAATGTATAAATATTTCGATAAGCATCGAGTAGAACGTTCGTAGTTTACGAAAGCTGTACACATTTAAATAAAACACTATCAACGGAATGAAACGCGAAATATATTACTTAACTTATTTTAACTACAATTGCCGTTCGTAACATGAAGTCGTAGTTAAAACAAATAAAAAAATAAGTTAATATATTTCTCCATTAAACCGTAAAATGTTTTATTTAGATGTTATCGTTAATTTTTTAACTTATATATTTTACTATAACTCTTTTTTATAAGCTAACTAATCCTAGTTCTTGGGGTTTAAAATCTATTTTTAAATTGTTTCACATATTTTTTTTAATGTTACTTATACAAAGAAAGACAGATTACTCAGAAAGTTAATAAATAACGTTGTAAAAAAAAAACAAGCATCATAACAAGACAATACAGACTTTTCAATGAGTAAAAACAGTATATTTATCAAGTAATATAATAAATTAATAAACGAAATTTTTACACTTTAAAATTCTGACTAATTGTATTTCATCAGACACTTTGACGAACAAAAATAACATTCAAAGTCAAGAGCATGATTCACATTATCATTAGTAATAGTAGCTGATCTAAAACAATCTCTACAGTCAAATTGTTTAATTATAAATATATTATTTAAAACAGGCCTGCCACAAACACACAAATTTGCATTATCCAGAGTTTCTGTCAATGTTCTAGGTATGATATTAGGGGCATAATAAATGTTGTATTTTAAAACCACTTTTGCTGCTATGTGTAGTAAACTGCCAATGCAAAAATCCCACTGTGAGGAAAGCTTTGGTTTCATCAATGTCTCTCTGTTTTCAAATTTGTTCATGGAAATATCCAACAGCTCAAATCGACACTGCATTAGACTGCAGGGTAAAGATTTTAAAATATTCTGGCTTAATGTTAAGTACCTGAAGAAATATGGCGTGATTATTAGATATAATGGCACTCCAAACTATCTAAGAGTAGAATAAATAGATACATAACTTTATATTCTGGCCTAATAAGAATCTATTGAAGATTATTATAATGTATTACGACTTTAGTGCATGATTTAAAGAAATGGCTTCTAACCACAACAAAATATCAAAAAGGTATGCTATTCTGCCACTATAGGAAATGCCTAAGAAACATTTTTTAGTAGAATATAAGAGATGTTTTGTTATACATTTTGTTTTTATGTTAAAATATAATTTTAGTGTTGAATCTGTATATACTATAAAAATTTTGATTTACAACAACACAATTTGAACTTATTACACTAGAGACACAAGTCAACTATTAATTATTTATAGAAGGTCTATAACTAGAATTGACATTTCAATACACTACTAGAACAGTGCTTGACAATGTCGCAACCCTTTTTCTGTTGGTTTCTAACCATCCGAATGGGAACCCAGATATGTTACTATTATATTGCAATCATTTGATGTAGATTTAGAAAATGGATGTTTAGAAACTTACCTAAGATTCTTTAATCGTCCTAAGGATGCTGGTATTCTTTCAAGTTCATTGTTGTATAATTTTAAAGTAACTAAATTGCGCAGTTTCCATATATCATTGGGAAGACCTTTTAGCTTGTTACCACTTAGATCTAACAGTTTCAATGTCCGTATAATCTGTATGGAATAAATCTGTGTTATGATCACAATGATATTTTAATTTATGCCCAGATCCGGAGTAGAAGGTCAAAAGTACATTTAAGCAAGAATATGGTATTAGAAAATCTTGCATCATACACAAGGATTGTAGTTTTAGAAATACTCAAGTGTGTGAACTCACCTGAAGTCCTAATAACCATCTCCAATCAGAAATATTAGGTACACCCAAATTATTGTTGGATAAAATTAGCTCACACAGGTTTGTCATTCTACCTGTAAAACATTTATTTAAAAATAACCCCTGAATAGAACTTTTATCTTCAAATCTGTCTACTGACTTACCAAATTCATGCGGAATCTTCTCTATTTCATTATTGCTTAAATCAAGCACAGTCAACCGACTCAATAAAAGGATATCTCGACGGAAGTTACATAACTTCAATCCATTCATATGAAGACATTCAAGAGTTCTTGGAAAACCTTTCGTTGGAATATCATTTCGACTAAGAACAATTAATTTTGTGGGTGCATTGTCCTTTGCAGTGATGCCAACAGATGAAAGATTTGAAATCTTTAAAGTAGCAGCGTCACCCTTCAGGCACGATTTTAAAAGATTAAGAAAACTTTTCAGTTGTATTACCTCACTTTTCACACACAGATCATGTGGAGGCTGATCAAACCGTATTGTGACTTTACCCTCATTTAAAAACTTTACAAATACTTGTTTTATAAAATTAACTTTATACTTAATACCAGATTTATTTACCGAAGAAAAATGAATAATAAAATATTCAGAATTATTTTTGGGTTCTTTACCCAACGCAAGGGTTGACTTTACATACTTTCCATTTGGTCTAATATTCAAATTATTGTGAATTCTATTTATAACTTCCACCTTACATGTTAACTTCATTATATTAAACTTAAATGTTTCTTTAGTGAAATAATTGAATGGTTCTCTTCATAAAACTAAGTTTATGTATAGGTAATGTTTTTGTTTCTGAATTCTGATTCCCGCGTATCTTTTGACGTAAATATTGCATTGAATACAGAGTTGAGAGTACAGACTGACCATGGTTTTATAACACCAAAATATGGACTGCTGACTGCATTGCAGCGAAAACTACGTAGTTTTATATTTTCAATCTTAAATAATAAAATGTAAGTTTTTTATTTACATTTATTCAATTCCTAAAATACAGTGCTATTTTATAGAAAAAAAAAAATGTAATTATTATTGTGCAATAAGGTTTGCTCAGGTAGGAGTGTTCTGTAATCTAGTTGTCATTTGGTTTTGTGCGTATTTGAAACGTCCTTATTTTTCTGGTGATAAATTGTGTAATTTTATATGTTTCCTTAAATTTTAATACTTTACGAGATTAATAATCCTAAATTATCAATTTAAGATGCGGCTGACTTCGTAATGTCTTCAGTCTCCGGAAACTTCGACATTCCAATAACGTCAGCAGTGTTTTTAAAAACATCTTGACAAGTTTGCAATAATGACTTGAAAAATGAAGAACGGATGTAATGAGAATTTGGATTTTAAAAGCGTCGAGCGCAGTGAACAGGCCAAGAAAGTATATCGGTGAGATGTTGCTTCGCTTATACTTGGTTTTAATAACAGTAACAACATATAACCTATAAATTTCTCGCACCTTCAATAATTCTTAATCTTATAAGAAAAATTATCTTTTAGGTATGTAAGTGACGTCGCACGCCGTCTCGGCGATACTACTTCAACAAGTAAAGCAATTGCTAACTTATTTACCAACAACATTGAAATTCAACGACAAAAATTGAGAGATAATTGTGAAAAACTTTTCTTCTTGGATCCATTGAATTATGGCAAAAAATCAGTTGAATTGCTGTGGCGTAAAGTGTATTATGATACAATATCCACTGCAAAGAAGCTGCGAGAATTAAACACTGAATTTGACAGTTATTTAGAAATGCATATCAACTGTGGCATTGGCCACTTCCACAATTTTATATCCAGAGTTCAATCCGAAATGAGAGTTAAACTTAAAGAATTAGATTATGCTCCCATGTATAATGATGAAGAATACCTAGATGACACTAGCTACAATCTTTTAGATGATGAAAATCAGCTATATAAGTCAGTACTCTATTCATGTTTGATATATCTAGGAGACTTGAGTAGATACCAAGTTGAAATATTTAACAATGTGGAACCATCAGCTGCCGCACGCTACTATCTTCAAGCTTCACAACTAGATCTTACTTCAGGAATGCCCTTTAACCAACTTGGAAATTTATACTTGGAAAAAAACTACAGTTTAGATTCTGTCAGCTCTTACATTCATTGTCTTAGTTGCTTGACACCTTTTGAAGGAGCTTTAGGAAATTTAAACAAAATATTTGAAAAGACCAATCAATTCTGCAGTACACCTACAGAATCCGAAAGCTTGACACAATCAGAGCATATCCAAATTACAGTTGCCAATTTTCTTTCCCTTATTGAAAAATGGTACTTCTTAAAGGATGACACAGATATTTCTACTCTATGCAGCAGAAGTGTTCAGCAGTTGAAAATAGCTATGGATTTTTCTCGAATGCCTTTACCTGACATAAATAAAAATTATAATGAGTATGTACAAGCTGCTGAGGAAGAAAGTGCAAGTCCGGCATATCTCAACCCAACCATGATACACAATATTGTCAAAATTTGTTTATTTACTATAGCAAAAACAAAAGAAAATGACGAAACTAAGTCTTTTGCTTGTAAGGCGTTTACATTAGCATTTTTTTCTCAGCTTTTACAAAGACTGCACTCACAATTGGAAGAACTCGGTTTTACAAACCCAGCAAGCAATTATATCCCAAGATATAAATCAAAAGAAACTGAACCTATAGTAAATGGAGTGGAATCACCAGTTTTAGTAATAAATGAGGTACCCTCTATGCCTAATGGTAAAAATACTGATCACAAAGAGGATGAACACAAAGAAAATGGCTCTGGTGCCGATGAAATGACAAATGGTGATTCTAAGAATAAAAAAATATTGGCAAGAAGGCGACGCAGAAGAAGAGCTAATTCATCAGAAAGTTCTGATCCAAGCAATGATTCTGAAATTAGTGATGATGAAAGTGAAAATTCATTTTCAGGTGATGATGATGTAGTAACTGATTCAAACTACACTTCTGAGGAAGAAAAAAGTGACTCAGTTTTGTATGAAAGTGAAGATGAAGAGAAAATAAATGGAGAAGCTGACAATTTAACAATCAAATCTGAAATTGAGAAAACTTTGGAATCAAAAGAGCCTAATTATGAAGGCAAAGTGAAAAGGGGTGATTTGGATCTAGAAGGCGTAAAAAACTTTTTAGTAGGTGACAATATACTTCCCAGTCTCAAACTTTTACAGGATTGGGTGTTAACTGAAAAGGAATTGGTCCAATCTTGTGGTGACAGTGGTGAGTCACTATTCCAATGTGTTGTCAACTTACTAAATATTTTTCAACACTATTTCAATCAAAAGAATGACATCCTTGCCAAGAACAATTGCAACATATTAATAAAAGCAAAAAATATGGCAAAGAAATTAAGACTTGAATTTAAATCAATACCTCTACCTGAAGACATTAATTTACGTGGAACTAACATTGGAAAATTTGACAAGGATGCTGCAGAGTGGCAAACAATGGAAAAACTGAAACTGTCAGAATATGAAGAGAATATTATGAGAATTTTAAACTTTATTGATTTTGGCAATCAGATTGCAAAAATTGTACCTAGAATCAAATTTAACAGGACATTAAAGATTTTCTATTTAAAGAAAGTGTACCCAACAAAAACTGGCATGAAATTAAATCACAAAAGAAGTAGAGAGTGGCATAATTCTAAGAAACAGGTTTGTAGTAGCTAAGAAAAGTTTACATAGACTGATTATCTATGCTGTATTCCTCCAAAGTTAAAATATTTGTCAGAATGGTTGTGTTCTATTATTTTATATCACAGTTTACTTTTTAGAAGGGGCCATACTTCTTTACTTCATATGCGTATTGTTTATAGGTTGATAAAAATGAGAGTGGACTACTGCGTCGATTGGGCCACCTATGGTTAACATCAAGAGTACGAGAGCTTGAGTGTAATGGACAAACCGAGGTTCCCTCTCTTTTAGCAGTGGATACAGCTGCCTTACATAAACATCTTCGTAGAGTAAAACAGTTAATCAAAACACGAAACTTCATCTTCCTTGTGCCCAGTGTTGGTAAGCAATATTGTTGTAGATGTATATATAAAAAAATCTAAACTTATTGCCTTTTTATTTCTTTTTGTAATTATTGTTTTGTTTTTTTTTTCAGTTTTGCAAGAGTTAGATGAATTAAAACGCGATTGTTCATCAGCACGTGACGCGATACGTTGGCTTGAGTTGCAACTCAAGAGTGGTTCTCGATTTCTTCGTACACAACGTCCAGGACAATCAAAACCTTTGCCATTGCTAAAGTACCCACGAAAAGCTCCAGCTTTTGTCCACAACTTTATACAAATATTAGAATTCTGTAATCACTTTTCTGATGAGAAGCAGCATGGAGGTAACGGCGATGCAGAAAATTCCGCTCATGGCAAAACTGCTCCATTGTTGGTGTTACTAATTGGCACAGAAGCAGGAAATGAAGAGGAACAATTCAAAGAGTTCAGTTTAAGGGGCACGGCGCAAGCGACTGGTGTATCTTTAGAGTATATTGGCGATTTCTACTCCAAGTGGCGTCAGACGAGCCATAAGAATGGGAAAAAGAGATGAACACTGCATTGTCGACTGAGGATCTCGACTTTTACAAAGAGAACTAGTTTGTTCTACGCGACATGCGCCCAAATCGTTCAGAAGGTATGAATGCCCGCTAAGGATTTAAAGCCTGACGTATCGGTTTCTGGTCACTTGTTCGACAACAATATTATTCAACTTTACATTTTCCTTTATAACGAATGTTTATGTATGTTTTGGTATATCATTTCTCATGGGGATCATCAAAAAGTAAAATCGATATTGTTACATTTGCTATCTTTCACTTTACTTATTGTCATTCATATTCTTTTTTTAAATAAACGACGTCATTATTATTATTTGTTTTATTCAATGATTAATAAATATCTATAATTCTTATTAACGAGATATGACATTTCGTATGATTTACTTGACCGACTCCGTAGCTCAACTACGTGTAAATAATCGATCTGTGAATTGGACACAAATGTGTTTGCCTGCTGGTTTTCACTTTATTGTATTATAATATTAATGAGTAGTTACAATTTTTAAAATATAGTTTAAAATGAATATAAAAAGGTAGTCCAATAACTGATCTGCATCTTTGTTGTTGTTAAATATTTTTAGATGACGATTAAAAAATATTATCAACTTAATGTAGTAAAATAATTGACCTTGAACAAAACCTAGTGTGCAAATCCATCATTTCAAAAGCTGATCACGAACATTTGTCTTACAGTTATTTTTGACTGACTGTAATGGCATGCCGTCTTGAAAAAAAAAGATGATGTACATGTGTGATGTGTGATCAAGTTATAACGTAACATTTTGATATTATTATATAGTGCTCAGACTTTCATAATATAACCTTATTCTAAAATTGACAATAAATAAATCAACAAAACTAAAGAAAAACAATAAATAAATGTTATACACTCTTATTTATTTTTCAAAATATACTTATAAATAGAAAATAAATTACGTAACAAACACACATATTCTGGTTAAAAAAACTAAAAACAATGATAATGTATACTTAATTGTAATTATTTATTAACTTCCACATATAAATTATCAGTGATGTTCAGGAAGAAAAGTGCCAGATTTTGAAATTTAAATCAAATATATTAAAAATTAATTGTAAAAACATGGTATAGGCATAAACTTACAATAAATTGTGGCAAACATAGTCTATTTTATGCATTACATTATTATGATACTTACAGCAATTTTCACTCAACAATATAATATAGCCTCTTCTGATCACTATGACCATTGAGGATACGTTGTTTTATAACTAATCAATACAATAATGTACAAAATATACAATAAGTTTCTTCAACAATCTTTCAACAGTCTTATATCTTTATACACCTATAATGTATTGCACTTAAAAGTTCTTAAATATGCCGTAATAACCCATATCATTGTTTATGATTGAGATGAGATTATGCTTTCTTAAAATTATATATAATAACTACGTACCTTTACTGTGCAACTCGTTATGGAGTTTACAGATAAAGTTTCACTTGACTTTACTAAATTATTCTTGCTTAAAACTTGAACGATATAATATAGCCTGTGCTTTTGTGGAATTTACTATATTTCTGTACAACTTTGAGTGGTATGCAAGGATTATTTACAAGGGCTCTGTGTAACAGCTAACATCCCACTAATTGTATGAGTTGTTGAACCGTGGAACGATCTAACAAGCAAAGATCAAAGTCAAATGTTTGAGTGGTTACTTCATATCTCCCCGTTTCAGCTATTAAGTTGACCACCCTTTCGAGATCTTCATTGTTTTTTATCATCATTATTCGTTGTTGCAGTCCTCTCAACTGCACCATGTAGTCAGGAGAGAGATCACCTGGTTCTGCATCTTCTCCTAGGCTGCTTGAAACACCATTGTCTTGTACTTTAGTTTCCATAGATGTTGAGGCAATACTTTCTCCACAGTCCATATCATTGTTAGCAGGCCCAGAATCAGCAGGCTTTGCCACTTTACGGTTTTCTATCTCTTCTGCTTCAGCTTTTCTTTTACGTCTTTTTTCTTCCTTCTTTGAAGATTTGTCTTTATGTTTCTTAGATTTTTGTACTGGCGGAGTTTCAACAGGAACGGAAATTGGTTCTGGATCTGGTTCTGGTTCTGGGTCAGGTGTTGGCTCTCGCTTTACGACTGGTTCAGGTGAAGGTTGCTCACCTTTTATTTTAATATCATCATCATCATTGATTATTGAGTTTTCAGAATCAGAATGGCTGCTGTTAATATCTTCTACTCCAATGTGAATAGTTTTTGCCAAACCACTTTTTGAACTGCACTGTGAAGCTGTGTCTATAGATATAGGTGAAGCTAATTCTGGTATGTGTCGTTCTTTGGGAATAGGTGTCTCTCTATGTTCAATTACTTCTACTTTGTGCTCCTGGCTTTCTCTAACTTTCTCATGTTTGTGTTTTTTCTCTTTACTAGATTCTTTGTGCTTTTCTTTTGATTCATCACGCCTTTTATCTTTCTTTTTATGCTTATGCTTTCGTTCAGAGTCCCCCTTCTCCTTTGTTTTAAGGGAATCTAAGCGTTCTTCTACGTCTGGTGGTGGTGTTTTTCTCAAGTTTTCAATAGAGAACTTATTTATTGGCTTTTCAAGTTTGGGTGGTCTTTCTTTCATAGGTGAATCTTTTAGTGTTTCTTTTTCTTTTAATATTTCTCTCACTTTTGGAATATCCTTCACAACTTCTTTTTGTGCTTCAGATTGTGAGTCCTTTACTTTGTGGCTTTCTTTCTTGTGTTCTTTCTTCTCTTTTCTTTCTTTATCTCTATCATGACTTTTCTTCTCTTTTTTTTTCTTCTCTTTAGATTCTTTTTCAGGTTTTACATCAGGAGTAGGCCTCTCTTCTACTTTAACTTTTTTGTGGTCAAAGTTTTCTGAATTGTGTTTTTGTAGTTTATATTCTTCTTTAATACTTTGTGCACTACTAGAACGTGGTGCTGGGCTAGGAACTTTACGGTTTGGACTGAAGCATTTTTTCTTAGGTGGCTCTGGGGATGGTGGCTTGTCGCTTGTTCTTTTACTAGCTTTGTCTTTAGATCGTTCTTGTTCCCGGTTATGACTTTTCACTTTTTCAATTTTTTGTTTGTCCCTTTCATCTTTTATTTTAATTTTATCCAGCTTACTTTCTTTGTGTTCATGTTTTGACTTTTTATCAGAGCTGGATCTATCTTTATCTTTTTTATCAGATTTCACAGACGGAGTACTCTTTTCCATTTTCTTTGGATCAGGTGAAACTTTAGGGGGTTTTTGTATAGGAGCACCAAAGAGTGTTTCAAAACTACTTGCTTTGAGAGGTATTTCTTCTTTGTACTCTTTTGTTTTGTGCTTTTTAGTATGTTCTAATGATAGTTTAGGTTTACTAACTAGTTGCTGTTTATCATCTGTAAATGAATCTCTACTTCTACTTTCTTGATCAGGATTTGTGTAATATGCATTATTGCTTACTGGTATTCCTCCTCCTTTCAAAAGTTTTCTTCTAAATTCATCATTGGGATTTTGAAAAATGTAGCGATCTTTAAGAAATCCACTCTGTTGCAAGGTTAAATCATATGTAAATTTAATTTTTTTAGGTTCATCCTTGTTTTTTAAATAAATTTCAATAGGAAAGATAAACCCAGCATATCCGGCCTCTTTTATTGTAAAAGGAGGTTCTTTCACAACTGAAAGAAAACAATAACAATTAGATGTAATGCCAACAAATTTAATATTGTAGTAAATATATTATCAGAATAGGACTTTTTTTCTAAATATTAAACAACTTACCTCTTCGGGGCTTTGGAAAAGTTTCATGAAGATGAAAAACAACTTTGTCAACAAAGTGACTTATATCAGCACCTTCTTGACCGCGCACAAATACTTCCCAATCATGAGTAAATCCCTCTGGAGTTTTCTTCGACTTCATTGAAGCTTCATGTCCAATTTCGAAATTAACTTTTATTGCCGACATGGTTATCCTTAAATTAATACAAGTTGTAAATACAATATTGCATATGTTTATTTTTAACTTACAATACCTAGTAATGTAATCCTATAGCGTCAAGAAAAATAAAACTAAAATGTAATAGATTAAACAATGCAACAATCATACTTACTAAAACATCTATAATACATTAAAAAGTCAATTTCTGAATTATTATACAGCAAAAATATTGGAATCATTCACTCCTCAAAATTTTTATTAAATGACAAAAATAATCTTTTAGCGCCCTTGTTATTCTTGTCCGCCATATTCAATTTCCATTGCATTGACAGACTATTATTACTAAAAGACTAAAGAACATCACAGATTACTTATATGCATACATAAGCTAGATAATAAAATAAATAAGCTTATGGTTTTTGTTTCCACAAAGTGATTTACGTATAACATAGACACATTAATAACTTCTTAAATAATATTTTATAGCCTGGTAATGGGACCTTTAGTCCAATAATAATATAACCTGTGGATTCCATAGAGTATTAAATATTTATAGTTTGTTATTCTCGTTAAATTATACAATAATTTAACTTCGAAGAATTTTCTCGATAATATTTTCGTTTTATAGATTTCATAACGCTAATAATGTCTCGTTTATTAGCTGCAGTTTTTCAACCTTTAAGGTATGCTATGCAATACTAGATATTTTTTTACCTTAATTCTAATATAACCTCTATAATTATATTTTTAGGCAAGGGTTTTCTTTCACTCAGCCTGTATTTAATAGTCTGGTTAGGCCAGAAACATCTTTGTTGTCACTTATACGAACCAAAGTACGCTGTTATTTCCCACGACCAAATGAAGTCCGAAGAGTTCGTAGACATGGATGGGAATTTAGAATGTCCAGTCATAATGGTCGAAGAACGCTTATGAGAAGAATTTTAAAAGGTCGTCATGTGATAAGTCATTAGATTTAAAACTACTTTAAGACAATTTGTTCATTTAATACCTGTAGAAAATAAACAATAGTATTATATCTAAAAACAATTTATTCATCTTCCTATTTATGGTTTTTCTTATGATTAAAAAGAAAAAAAGGCATTGTAAACATAAGTCTTAAACTTATTATATAATAGAAACAAGCTCTAAAATAATAAAAATTTAATACAATACTAAAACCTCTATCAAATGATCATAGTTTAACACTTAATTGAACAAATATTTTTGTTGGGAAGAAACAGATTCATCTGAATTAGTTGGTGTGTTTGCCGGTTTTAACAGATTTGACATTTCAGAAACAACAAATGTGGTAAATTTTATTATAGCTAGATGAGCAGCAAGTTGTAATACAAGTGCACCAAAGCCTTTGTACAAGCCACCAATACCTTCTTTCGCTATTGTTGTATTGTAACAGTCCATAAAACCTTCATATCCTGTAAGAATCGGTGTAACTGAAGTGCCCGTATCTAAATTATCTATAATTGTTCTGGTACCCTGAAATGTAAGACATTTATACACAGTTGACTAGGTGTAATGTAAAAAGAATTTATTTTGTTGAATGTGCTTATGATTACCTGTATATGAAGCCTATGGATAATTGTTTCCACAGGGTAAAAAATTATCTCCATCGTAATAAAAGAAAATATATTAGCTTTAAGGTTTAAATCCTCTACCAATGGGTTGGGAGAATTTTTAGCTTGATTCATATCATAATTGGGACTCAGCTCATGTCTATGTCTCTGTTGAAAGCGTAATATTCTAAATGTAATATTTCTGAGGGTTAAACTGAAAGAAAAAAAAGTATTATTTGGATATAATACTAGTGTTACAACCTTTTAGTTCTATTTTGTCTCCAACGAAAGTTGTAAAAGAAGATTTATTATTTATCAATGATGATATGACAGTCATGTAACTAAACTGATTAGGCATCATATGCAAGAACTGCTTTAAAATTATTTAAGTTTGTGAGAGAGTAGTTTATCTGATCAATACATGCACCAGTCTTCAGGTTCATAATATTACTATACTTTATAGACACTTACTGAGAAAAGTACTTGGCGATTCCAAAGCCTACAGTGGGCAAGACAATTGCCCATATTGGCAACATCCTGCCTCGACTAGGTGTACCCCATTCTAAAATACGCATAAATCCCTCCCGAAATACATCTAAAATAGCTGGTTTATCACTTGCTATGTCACTTTGGACTGTTTCAACTAAGCTTGCCGAGTAGAAAGGTGTTATCATTGCCAAACTGACACTGCAAAATATTTGTATAATAAAAATAATTTTCAAGCCTTAAATAATAAATCAATTAGATTGTTTATAAACTGGTACGTTTTACAAGTAAAGAGGAATGAAATCTTACTCCACATCATAGTATCAATAGTAGCTATCCATATTTTCAATAAAAGATTTCAAAGAAATAATTTTAAAAAGTTTGATGGACTTGTGACGTAGAACTGGCATTATTATTAATTATTTTCTACAAAAAAATAAATAAGTAAAAAAGTTATATAATACCATTTTAGTGTGAGATGTTGAAGGAACTGCAATACTGAACTACATTTGTTAATTTCTCTGAAATGCAAAGACAGCCATAAATGAGGGTTTAAAACATAAATAAATGATTTACTTAGAATATATACTTGGGCCAGCCTGTTCCTTTAGATATAATATCTTCAACTGCTAGATTTAGTCCCTTGACTATGCAAGTAGAACCAATTCCTTTCCACAGAGTAGTAAATTCCTGTCGTCTATGTAAACGAACAACTACTGGTAACAAAGTGTATGGCACAACATGGTAGTTCCTGAGTGAATTGTGAACCTGTTAATGAAGTTCGGAAGTTAGGAAAACCTATGCACATCTTTGTTTCCAAAATACTTAATTAACTGGGCAAAAAACAGCACTTTACCTAATATTAACCATTAATATATATTAGAATTTTAATAATAATGTTATATTAAAGAACTTACTTGACATTGTCTTCTGAGAACAATAAAGGGGTGACTTAATAAGTTTTCAGTAAGTAAACTTGCTACACTTATAGCTGTTGTAACATATGTGCTGGTCTCTAAAACAGTTTTCTCTTTAGGAATTGCCATTTATTTAAATAGGAGAATACAAAATATATACAATGAGAAATTATTGTCAACAAAAATTAGTATATTGCCACAGTTGATATAGAATGAACTAATATTTCAAAAATGTTTATACATATACACAATATGGAATGGTTTGATTGGACTATTGCTTCTGCGAATGCTGAAATTTGATCCAGGCGGAATGCTTGCAGCATAGTAAACTTATTCATTTCACTTAGTGCTTACCTCCTTCAGACGTGTCGTCCATAACTAAAGGAGGCCCTTGGTACTCCTCATTTAAGGGAGTGTGATAGCCATATATTTGCTGATAACGTGTATCATAAAGGTCATTTGTTTCTCTATTTGGGTCTAAACCGTACGGTCGATTATAATTATTACTACTATAATCGCCAAAACCAGCCATTGATTTATATTAAAGATAAGTTAGTTGTAACTAATGATTGCGCATTTTAGATTTTATCTCCTAATTATTATATGTTCTTAATCCAGATTATTGGGTATAATTTCAATTTATTTAAAATTATTTTAATATTATGCGATCAAAATTAAGCCTTTAAAGGAACTTTCCAATGTCACTGTGTGGTAAATGTCAAATAAAAGCTTTTATACGACTTTAATATTATCTATGCAAACAAGTCACAGATATTTTTGACATATCAATTGTGTTATGATTTTTCCTAGGCTTTTCTTTTGCTTACTGGCGAGTGGCGTAAAAATATCGATTTTAATATAATTTATAAAAGTAGTTACAGTATAATATTTTCAAAATGTGCAATGTGATATGTAAAGGCTGTACATCATAAATTAAAATTATGTGGACTTAAAAATATATTAAAAATGCTTTGGGTGGCTGTCGTGTGTTTGTCAATTCTGCACTTTAATTGTAGGTTTTTATTTCATTGTAGTTAAGGTTTTAAAGGTACAGTCGTTGAATAAGGTGTTTTGCGATTTAGGTGTTGAAGCTGAAGGCGAATGCACTGACCTACATGGTCGGCTTGTGACCAGTGGCTTACATTATATCCCAGGCCCTGACACCTGCACCCTTTGCATATGTGACAATGGACAGCCAAGAGTATGCAAAGCCGTCCTATGTTCTCCTCCACAGGTACTGTCTCTTTAGTCTAAAAAAATACTTTCCTATCCTTATTTCTGTAATAAGAAAATGACAAAATATTAAACATATTTTTAGGCTTATTACGAGAACATATTACAAATTATGAGAACTAAATAAGTAGTATTTAATTTACTCCATTGATTTAAAAACTCAAATTCCTTCATATGTGTACACATGTATTTATGTCTTATGTTAAAAATGGGGACAAGTACGTAGTGTAATTTTACTTAAACTTTATATTATTACATTGCAAAAAGTACTTTATTCAAGCAGCCACTGTTCATCAAATCAACACCTAGTCTATAATTAAAAAAAAGATTTTGCAATAACTGATAAAACAATATCTTGTTTGCATCTGACTACATTGAGAAATAGTTCCCATTTGATTTTAAATGTACCATATTGTTTTTCAATTGACAAAGAGGGCAGTCAATTGATCAATATCAGTGATCAATATTCCGCTTGAATGATTCATGCATTGAAAGACATTGAACCAAATCATGAATGCACTTCCTCAATATGAGTATTGAAATACAACATACATAATAAATGTATTATATAATTGTTTCAATGCTTATCCTTTAAAATAAATGCTTTAACCGGTGTTAACAGAATTCCTTGGTGTTGAGCCCTCCTACACATCATTGTCAAATTTTTTCAACCTATTGATACATGCAATAACTTGTAAAAAATATTGAAGTGTTCATAGTTTATTGTTTGTTATTTGTTACATTAATTGGAATGCATGGCCAAAAATATAACTAAGACTTAGTATGTTAAGGGTATATAGAAATGATTTTGCATTTATCAAGATACAGGCTAGACTGCAAAGGCTTGTAATGTGTCTCAGGGCTTTAACTACAATATATTACAACAATAACAGAAATCTCTAGGATACTCTTAGACTGTGTACCTTTTACCGTTGTAGCACAATGGTTAAATGCATTGCCTAGTAAACTGTGATGAGGGTTTACCTTTAAGGAAAACAATAGTTTAAGTTGGACAGGGCACTAAATGTAATTTACTAATTTAGTTTAGTTTAAAGTGAAACAGACAGAGAACCATGTTTGCATTATGCTGCATACAGGAAAAACTTGTTTATGTTAGAAGAGGACAGACAAGCACATCTGATGCACTATATCTATTTTGGTTTTGGATCTTCGTAAGTTCTTAGACTGAAATGGAAACGCGATTAAACTAACGACTTTTCCATCTGTGTTCGTGTTCGTGTACGTGACGGTTGTTCGTGACCCGGACTAGATTTTCGATATTTCTCATTTAATCAGATTTCCAGATGGAGTGTCAGAAAAATATAAATGAATTAGAAGCATGTTTAATCGAGCGTGGATCCATGACCCGTTCATAATTAGCCATACGTTCATAAGCAGACTGAGCCAGTCAATAATTATTTGTAAATACATTTGTCTCATTTATTTGGGGAGTAATTTCTAATTGGTGTAACTTATTTTCAGGATTGTAGATCGTTTCGAGTGGGAAGTACATGTTGCGAATTCATCTGCCTGGATGATGTTGTCAAGCCTGCAGAGACGCATGAGGCCAACTTTCGCCTGGTTGGTGGGGGCGTGGGAGGCATAGTTTTAATCACTATTGCCTTCTCTGTCTATAGGGTTCGCAAACAGAAAAGACGACAGCCCCCGCATATTGATGATCGAGGAAGCTTGACTAGTATAGGGTAAATTTTTATAAAGGAATAACCATCATGCGGGAAGCTTACTAGCTTTAGCTCTACATACCTAAGTCTTTTTTTCTCAAATCACAAAGAATTTCCGGTACAAAAGCAAAAAAATTATTAAGCCACAAATACATATATTAATTTTATACACTTATACACATTGTGTTTAAAAAAATCTTTTTCTATTATTACACCATAGACATGTTTTGGAACTTTAAAAGTTGGTTACTATTAAGCTACTATTGACTAGCTCATAAGTTAATAACCAAAATTTCGGAAAATATAAGGTTTTATGATAAAAACTGCTATTACAGATACATAAGTGGAAGCATGGGCTGCATGGGTGGTGCATGTGAGCCTGGGCCAGGCGCTTGGAAACCTCCAGGCCATTACCTGCCACGCGGCGAAGCCCCCCCACCGTACGAGGAAGCCATGGCGCAGTGTCGATCCGATCAAATACGGTAACCCCACATTCCGTTCTTGAAATACTTTAGATTATATTTCATATCAATATTAACATTTTATTATTTTTTATACAATATTTTAATTAGTTACTAGGTATTCTAATGTAAGTTTTATTGTATTAATGTTTATATTTGGCGTGTAGAAAGAATTATGCACAACGCTATAGTACGAAAAAATATTAATTTAGATCGGTCGTTGTGACTTTCGGTTCGGGGCCCGATCCCATGTTTTTCAATCAAATAGATTCATCGTTCATTATAGTTTGTTACTTTAAGCCAAAAAATAATAATTTTATTTCTTCTCAGATTCAGCGAGTCCTTGATTCGCCCGGCATATCCCAACAATTTGGACGCAATTGCGAGGCCAGAAGATTCCATTCAGTGTGTGGGGCATGGATATGTTAATCTGACTAGACCTGTCGCACAGGTAATAATTGTAGCATTTGTACAGTGATACACATTATACAAACAAATAACAGTCACTTGCTATTTCTTTACTACTACCTGTGCCCGCGTCTTGACCTGCGTGGAATGGTTATTTTGGGCATCATATTGTTTATAAACGAACGCAAACGAACCTCTTAGATTCTTAAACTATAGCTATTACCCATGACCCCGTCCGCGTCCAGTAATTTTCCTAGATATTTTTAAAAGATAGCGTCTTCCACTGTTACCTCTGATTTTTCACTCCTATTAGTCGTAACCTGATGTTTTATAGCCTAAAGCCATTTTGAATAAATTGTCCAACGAAAACAAAAATACTTTTTTAATTCGAACCAGTAGTTAGTAGTAGCGTTCAAACAAACTGTTAAGCTTTATAATATTATTATAAGTGAAAAGCCCTGTCCTCGAGTATCTGAGATGCATGAGAAAATGTGGTTTACAGGTAGTGCATACAACACTGACCTAAACAAAAGTGGCTCTTGCAGTAGCCATATAAAAAGGGAGTTCCTTCTATATGCAAAACCAGTTTTGAACATCCTTGTATTTTAGCGACTCCATGAACAATAGTAATTTCATTTAATGTACAGATTCCGAACACCCAGAGCTGCTTTACGGCTCCATTGCTGCAGCCTGTTCACAACCCAGAGAATCGGGAAAACAACATCATTCCTCATCATCCAATACCACCACCAATTGGTCGGGGTAAGAAAAAAAATCCATATTGAGGCATAAGTGTAGCTTAATTTTTTCATATGCCTTATTCATTATCTATTAGTCTATTTTATTGATTTTTTTTTTAAATATATTTAAAAAAAAAAATCTATTGACTATAGTCAATGTCTCATGATGAAAAACTTGTTAGGTTTATTTCGCCTGACGGGATCTCTGGGTACAATAAGCAACCGAGCTCTAAGTGTGGCAAGAGATGAGCACGAAAGACCACACAACGTGCCAGGCTTCTACACCACGCATACTGCACTGTGAGTATATTTCAGCAAGACCAATTTTATGTTACGTAATTTAAGGAATAAACTAGATATAAGTTGAGTAAGAAAGATCCTTTTTTTTATATTGCAACACAAAATATTATTAATATTCTATTAGGATTTAGTAAGTCTTTAAAATTTCTCAAATGTAATTTTTTAAATTTATTTATACTTATTTGTCGTCTTCATTACTATTTACACTACCCAACTGTTTTATTCGTTGTTTTCTCAGTAAGTTAAGATCCTTGGAGAGGTACCTACCTTATTGGAATAAGCACATTAACAGCATTGTGTTTCCTATTTGGTATCAAAACATAAGATGACCAGTATCCTTTTGCAGACGCAGGGCACTCAGTGGCACATGTTTCTTTGTGGTTTCTTGTCTGTCCCGCAGTCTTCCAAGTCCTCTAATAACTACGCTCAATTACTAAACTTGTGTTGTGAACGTAAGGTTTGACATCATCTGCATAATCAGGACTAACGGGGTTGCTCGTAAATCTACTTTCTTATGAAAAATTTTTGAGAATGTGCTGAACAGTCGCACACTAATGAGTTCAAACGAGCTCGGCAGAAGACTGGGAGTCAAATATTTTCATTGACTTTTCATTAATATTTTCAGACACCGTACAATACCGCGTATTTCGACCGCAACCGATACTAGTGCGTTAGACGCGACGTGTTTCAGTCGAAGCGAGCGTGCGTGCGGTGAAGTGCGCCGCTCTTTCCACAGGCCGGAGCCACCTCGCGACCGCCCAGATCGCATTGAAAGACAACACCACGCTCATCCGCGCAGCGTGCCGAGGTAACACCCCAGCAACATTTTTTTTTCTAGTGAATTCTTTCATTAGAACATGTGAACAGATTAATATCTCAAATCTACTTAGATCAACGTGATGTCATTCGTAAGCAATCATTGAGTGCAAACTTCACGCAAACTGCTAATATTATGATCACGTCACGCCTTGGTCTTTTAGCGTCATTTTAAATGAACAATTTTAATTGTTTGAAGGGAAAATTAAAATAAACAAAATCATATTTCTATCGAAGTGAGATATAAAAGATTTTCGAAGATAAATTTAAAATTTGGCTTTGTGTTGTTGTATTTGTATGAGTTATTTAAAAATAATTGTAGTTATTTCATTAAAATATTACTTTTTAATCTTATCAAATTTCAGAAACCTTAACATTGCTTCTGTCACCGATGCTGATTCAAATTTAGACGGCGAAATGTAAGTGCAACTTTATATCCAATTCACATGTAATTTAATATTCATTTATACACAAGTTCTATATATAATACAATACTCCGAATTCGCCCGAATTGTCCAAGCAATCTGTAAGCAAACAATCTTTGTTTCAATATTGTATATTAATTGTATAATTATTGTTGTTTCACCTATGAAATATGTTACAGGATTGTGAAATCATCTGGTGGCCGTTCTCGTGCTCATAGCGAGGAGCAAGTGGTCTCTGAACGTGGTAAGGTCAAGCAGGCGCAACCACACGTTCCAATAGCCGCTGCGCAGCCGCAGATTCCGCAATCACAGGCTCCCCTGCCGCAATCGGTGCAACAGACTCAATTTCCTGGGCCGGTGTTGCCTTCAGAGACCTTACCAAGTTCGCTACCACCACAAAGCACTCTACCGCTCACGGTCGATAAGGTGAGGCAATAATCACTTTATACGATCCAGTTATTTTATCTAATTATTGTAGTTTTTAATGCGGAATGCCCATTACTGGCCCTAAATGGACGATGACACAAACGTTAAAATAATTGTAGTCATTAAAAATAAAATACTTTAACGGTTTAACACGCGATATATTCGGGTGCTTTGCAGCAGCCGCGGTCACCCCGTGAACGTCGTAAACGTCAAACGTTACGTTCAAAAAACGTAAATCGTAAACGTCGGGCCAAAGTTAAAAATCATTTTCAAATAAGTTTAACTAATATATCGCGTTTTAAACCGTTAAAGTGTTTTATTTAAATGTGTACTACTCGCGTAAACTATAGACAGTATTTCATTACAGTCTATAAAAATAATTAGTAGTTTTTTTTTCATTGAAATACCAAACAATAATTTGATAAGTCTTTCTAAAAATTAAAATTCAATTTTTCGACACAGGCATGATTTGAACCAGCATCCATAGCCTTCCCTGATGTTGCTCTAACCAATTGAGCTACTGTATATAAATAACATGTAGAAAATTTTAAGTTTTCAAAAATTCTTTGTACTTTTTGCAAAATAGTGAGTCAGCATAATTATTTAGTATTGAAATGCTTAACTGTTCTCTCTCATTTAATATTAATCATCATTGATCGTCATAATTTTGGCTTTACATACCTTTATATCTGGTATAATTATGTTATATTTTTTGCCACATTATATACCTATGGTTATCTTATTTTTCATTATATAATTCGCTTCAGTAGAAACCAGTAAGGGTCGATTATTGATCCGGTAGCAAATGTGTTAGAAAAATAAATACTGTTATAGCCGTCGTGCGGTTGTAGCTACTCCGGGAATGGGGACCGAGCGGCGGAGGTCCGGGACTGCGCCCCGGGGGGAGACGGACGAACCGGACGATTACCGCAGCGAGTGCGAGAACTGCAAGAGTACGGAGGACGCCAGGTCGGAACAGAGTCAACTAGCCATGTTAAAAAACAAAACCAAAACAGCTCTTTGTTTTTTATTGATTACAGTATTATCCAATTATTATTGCGCAAAAGAAAATAATACGATTGCGTTCGTCGGTTTTTCAGATAATCAGAAATCTAAACACGGAGAGACAGCAAATCACCCATAACGTCGAGTTATAGTGTTAAAATAAGTTAGCTAGTATGTTATTTTGTTCCGATTAAAGCCATCATTTGTGTGCCATAAATGTGTAATACTCGCGTGTACTACAAACAATACTTATTGCAAATTTGCTGCAAGCTTATTATTTAATTAAAAGACCCATTTGTAACCCGCTTTGTAGAAATGCAAGCGAAAGGTATATTAGAGTTGAGGCTTGTTTGTACCTGTGTGTTAGGTACGACCATGGCATCGTTATATGACAGACAAAGATTAATGACGTTACTTAGTGCTGTCATAGTAATAAGTAATCTTCGAATATAACATACATATTAGCGTTAAAAATGATAGGTTATAACGGATGTTAAGTGTAGTTAAAGCCTGCCTTTTGACCATAGCTGAATCGGTTTTCTCAGTTGGGAGGAGGGCTCGGGCTCGTGGGGTTGCGGTACGCAGACCCTGCAGCGACGCGCGCCGCCACCAGCTCCACCACCGCCGCACACAGCCACCTTACCGCAGCCGGTTACCAGACACGAGTGAGTAATCTTTTTAATTGCTTTTTCTCAATATAAACTCAATTGTTTTTATAGAAGACCGATCGTCAAATACCACGGCCATATGACATCTAAACAAAATGCGTTGTCTATCTATTTTGGCATCGGATTTAGAATTTGAAGAACTGAAACCGAAGCGTGGTTGCAGTTCAGGTTTTTTCCATCTGTAAACAGTGGTTTGTACACCAGGCGGAATTTCGATGTTCCTACCATCCGGGTTTATATCCTTTCCGGATTTTACAATCAAAATCTGACATGTTCAAGAAAAAAAAATGATTAGAAATGACGGTTTTTATATTATTAAATTATTAAAATGCTTGGGCTGTGGAGGAACCCGCACTAACAAGAAAAAATATATAGTGCACTAAAAGTACATGAAGGATGTAAAATAAAACTTGGCAATAAAAGGAGTGATGGCGAGTTTATTGCCAGTTCTTCTCGTTCGTTCTACGCCCTTGATTTGAGAAGTGGTAGTAAATGTAAAGTTTAGCTCTTTAGTTTTGTGACGTTCCTAAGTGTACCTCGAGACCTGTATGAATAAATGATTTTTGACTTTTGGTCCAACATAAGTTGTTATTAGGAATACATTACTATTATACATAGCGTGTATAATTATTTAGGTTTGTATGTGTAATTATATATACGTGAAATGTTAGCTTGTCATTTGTTTGTGCAGGCGAAATCAAATTGGTCAGCCGTCTAACTGGGAGAACTGGTTTAATACAATTCCGGATTCTGATACAGAATCAGAAGAAGATTGAGGATGTCTTGATCGAATTCCATCGTCTACGCTTTTATTTTCCTAATTGTTTAAAGTTTTTTTGTATTTTGCGCGAACAAAGTACAAAATGACGTCACTTTTATTTTGTTTAGGGATAGGCGAAATGGGAAATATCTCTCGCACAAAATTATCTATTTTGCATAAGTTTTTGTCTCTTGATTATGTTTCTATTTATTCGTTTTAATCTATTGAAAACACATGGTGTATTGTTTTTGTTATTTTTGCAACATCACATTATTAACCAAAGATTTTATATACATTTTTAATGGATTATTTTATCTTTATAAGTGTCTTTCTTTGATCTATTTTACATTAATGACTTGCTCTCATATTAAATTTAACTTATTCTTCAGGTTACATGTAACTTCATGTTACTAACTTTCAGTTCTAAACGAATGTATAAAAATGTTTGGATTCACTAGTAGATTTTATGAATAAGTGCCAAACATAAAACAGTCTGGCAGTAAAAATTAATAATTAGATAGGTTTTCATAATTACATATTTTGTTAGTAGTATTTTCTGGTTATAATATAATGAAATAGTATTTTTGATGTTGAATAGAGGCTAAATGGGTTCAAAGATGAATATTTTACTATTACACTAGATTAACATTGAAATTCCGCGTAGTATTTGAATAGTACAGTTGAAGAGAGTTGATCTATTTTTCCCTTAAATATGTTAGAATATAGATAATAGTAATTTCATGGTTTCCATCTCTTTTTGTAGGCAGCTCAAATAAGAATAGTCTGATTTTCGATTATTATATTGCTATGGGCAAATAGTGGGTGAGATTATGTGTATACGCGTTGCTCTCTAATATGAAGAAATGACAATGATTTTAAGGTTATTTTTATCATTGATCGTTAAAAGTAATCCTGCTCTTAAATAAGCGTATGAAACAAAGAAAATGTACTTAAATAATCTATGTATTGTGTTATTTACGCTCAAGATTGAAAAACAAAAAAGATTAAACAGAATGTTTTTACGACAAGTACATCGCTTATCTATAACAGAGCAATCTTGAATCACAACTGTATTATTATTTATTAATATTGAGCGTAAACAATATATAAAAATATAATACGATAGTCTTACATTGAGCGAATTTTTTTTTGTAATAATGGGTGGTGAGTGGTTACGAAGTAATAATAATCTATTTAAATTATTTCTAAGTGTTGTTTAAATAGTAATTTGTCACTACCAGATTTCATATATTTGTTTATTTATTTCAAATATGTTATCGTAGATACACTTACAGAGAATTCAATGGTACAAGTGAAGTATAAAGAATATCACTGATAGGCCAATCAAAATGTTATTCATTTATCAAACTGTTTACCCGACTCTTATCTCTCTCTCTTTTTTTGAATTTTTCTTTGTCTTATTATTATAATTTGGTTGTTGGTGTTATCGAGTTGAATACTCTGTGAGCGTACTTTTCATTGAATTTTTACCTCTAAGGTACCGTTTTAAAACCTACTTACACACCAATAAGTAAGCATTCCAACATTATTTTAATATTTAAGTGGTTGATGTATCTCATAAGGAAATGTACAATCACAATTTCGTGGTTCGCCAGTTGGCGTTATCAGTATTATATAGACATTTCCGAACCAAATACATTCAAATGAAGTGAAATTGAGTTTTATTCACACGATATATTTTTGAGGACGGCAACAATTTGAACATCGACATTACAAAGACACAAGCTAATTGGCGGATCTTTTAAACATTTTCATTAATCTATTACGAGTATACAATTCCTAAATTGTGTAAAGTTATAAGGCAATATAAAAGTACTTTGCAGAGATGTACGCGTACTGCATCGTTTTCTGGGTCGGGTAGCCACGGTCCACACTGCCTATAGCCAGCCTCCTGAAATTAACATTATAGTTGAATTATTTAATAAGTTCGAGAGCTGGCACCAATCGTAAGAATTTGAGGGTAGTTGGAGAAATATGCTGAACTTTGACGGTCAGAATTACGTGTCAACTCTTATTTAATTCCTAGATAAATACTATTCATGAACTTACGTAGGTAAAATTATGTGGATAGCAAGTTGTGGGAGGACGTCTGGCAGGTAGAGGCACACGGTTCCTCCAGCAAGCCAGACGGTTAGCCGATCCGATCACCGTGTCGTCTTGCTCCATATTCACCTGTATTAGGTTATAAACGTAAGCATTTTTTAAGGAAGTCTAGTAGCATATATACTACTACAGCTATATTGAATGAAAATTCTCCACTCTTATTACAAAACAAGGACTAACTCTCAAACCTGGCTTAAACCCTTGTTTATTTGAAATCCTTATTACAACAACATTGAACACTCAAGAGCTCGACTGAAAAAATGATTTACTGAGGAAAAAGTGGAAAAACCGGAGAATATTATTCATGCTTGCAGGCTTCCGCTGTAAAATAAGTAGAAAATTACCTTTCCCATGGCTGATAAATGCTATACGCGATGCTTACCGGTTCGTTACTCAGGGAGTCATTGAGAGGTTCGCCGGAATAAGAGCAGTTCTTATAAACTGCTATCAACAGAAGGTTGGTCTGTTGCACCTCGGTTATCAAAAGGGGCCAGTCGCAAGGCTGCGCTGGCCTGTTCAACGCCTCCGTCAATTTTTTGTTTCGCTGTAATATCACAGATAAAATATTTGAAGTGCATGTATGTGTATTACAGAAGACTTGGTGTGTCATAGTAATACATCGACAGAGGAAAGTACGGCACATCGTCTATTCCATGTTCGAATCCCGCCTGTGTCGTTTGACCATTGAGAATATATTATCATACCGGCAAACGTTAGTCAATTCTGTAAGGACCCGGCCAGTTTCGCCAATTACCAACTTCGACGGAACAGATGGCGCTAGCGTAGCAATTTTTTACTTTGACGTCAGAGACATCCTCCATCTTTAGTCTCCCCGTGACCACGGCTGCTGCAAAGCTACCGAAACGTAGGGCCGAAGTTAAAAATCATTTTTCAAATAAGTTTAACTAATATATCGCGTTTTACAGCCGTTAAAGTGTTTTATTTAAATGTGCACTACTCGCGTAAACTATAGACAGTATATATTTTCAATATTTATTCAGTACTTTTTATATTGGTTACGAGGACTTAAAATCCATATAGAAAGATTCAAATAAAACACTTTAACGTACACTTAAACTACTCGCGTAAACTACTGACAGTTCGTTTCGAGCTTACACTTTACTATCTTAGACTATCTTAGTACTGACAATATTTACCTGTAACTCATATAGTGGTCTTGTACGATCGCAGGCAGCGAACCTAGTTCGATTGAGCAGCACCTGGTAGTCGTACAGTCTCTCGTACTTCTCTCGTTCATAATCGCGGTTGATTCGTGCACGACGCAGCTCTTTCTCTGCTTCGGTGTCAGCACTGACTACACTATCTAGAAGACAATCACTAAGGTCTTAAAGGTTTCGACATATTAATAGTACTTACTTACTTTTAAGGGTGTATAAACAACTCAACAGGCTAAAGGGATACTAAAATCATTGTATTCATACTTACAGTAAAATCCCATTTCCGCAGGGGGCATGGCGTGAATAAATTTCTGTGTCCGTTTTGACTACTTTTGTGCCCTGCTCGACCGAAACTATCTATTTCTCCCCCGACATTCGAAACCAGGACCTCTCACGCTATACGTAATGCTAGACAACACGTTTAACCATTATATATGTAAACTACAGAGAAGGTCATGGTCATCTACTAAACTCTTGTTAACGTTATGCAGAATGTAAAATAAAGAAGTAGGTTATATTCACCAGGTATCACAAATAAAACGGTTAAGATGTTCTGAGAAGCGAATGCCAGAACCATCACTGCACTCCACAATGATATAGTAATTGATGGTATTCTCTGAAACATTTAAACTGCGATTAAGAAAAAACATTTGCTATTATTACCTTTTTTAAATTAACACTTTAGGTTCAAAACGCGAACGCGTTAAGCTTGCTTGCAAATGATTTTAACTACGGCCCGACGTTTCGGATGCTTTGCATTGCGTTGGTCACCGGACCTGACACGGACTGCTGCAGTTTAACTAATATATTTCGCGTTTTAAACCGTCAACTACTTTTTTTAGCGCAATACATATTTATTGACATGGTTTCAAAGATTTTTTGCAATTATAACTCACAGTCGCAGCAGCTTTGGTCTCATCTTCAGGTGGGAAGCAAACTCCTTGGTAATCGTGAACCCAACGAACGCGGAACACGCCAGCATTTAATAACGCATTCATAGCAACTGGGTGTTCCCTTGATAGATGCTTATTAATCGCCTCGCCTTCACCCTGATCTGCCACAATCCATCCAGCTTCGTCCACCAGGAGGCAAGTCCAGTCTTTATCGTCGCAGCGAGGGTCACATTTCGTTTCGTCTTCTTCATTACACTTTAAGAACTTAGATATTAAATAGCTATCCAGAAATTAAAGCTAACCAAAGCATTTTATTCCTTAATTAAATAAAATAAATATTAATTTTTAAAATTAGTATTTTAATTTAAAGGTAGTTTACACGTAAAGTATAATAAGTATATTTATTTATATACATGTGAGTAGGTACGAATTATATTCAAAGTTCAGTTACATTTAATATGTCTGCTTGTATATGTATTCATTTTTTTTTGTTATGACTTTCAAATCTATCGAAAAGGTAAAAAGTGTTTACCGGTTTAAGCATTACATTGTATAATTTAGCAATCTTGTTTCGTATTATACAGACCTTACTATCACTCATATTTTTATTGGTATAGTAGAAGTAGTACTCACGGGGAAATTGGTTATAGACTCAAGAAGATCATCCAAATGTTTAGGATGGAAATGATATCCGGCCACTCCGATGATTCCGTGCTTGGTTGGATGCCCTAAGGTTCGTGCCGCCGTTAACCACTGCCAACGTTCACCAAGCTGTTATAAAATTAAATAAAACAATTAACGTAAAATATTGTAGTTACTGACCATTTTTAATATAATAATTTTCAGTATACTCAGCAGCGGTGGTCATGGTACGTGGGGGACAACTAAATAAACTATATACAATTTTGTAAACCAAGACATAAGGCCAGTTACTAGTCCCACGTAAATAAGAAAGAAACAAAAAATCTTTAACAAAGAAATTGTGTTAGGCTTTCACGGCCATCGTTCAGCAGACTAACATATAGTTAACATTTTTTAATGATGCCCTCCGCTCGTGATGGCGAAACGTCGAGAACCTCTTCTCCCTTACGTAGGCCGAACAGCTCGAAAAACAATGATATGCAAAAAATCTTTATTTTGTCCTTTAGTTGTAAAGGAACTTATTTTTATTTTTTAGAAATAACTTTCAGCTAAGTTGCCAAGGTCAAGGTCAAGGAAATTAAGATGGTACGGTAAATTAAAAATAAATTGTTTCTAAATAAATATATATGTGAAACACAACCACGAATTTTTTTTGAATGGTTTAATGTAGTTTTAAATATGTATTTAGTCCAGAAAATGTCGTGCCGCTTCTTCGCTGCAAACTTACAGGTGGTGGACTAGCGTCAGTATTTCTGAGAAGTCTCACGGGCGGTATAGGTGCGTGGATCACTAATGTATCAGGATTGGCACTGGCACGTCGATACCAAGACTCATCTGGTCCCAGGGACCAAACGGACCCTTCAGGGGGGTCAGCATGAGCAGTTGTCGCGTGGTACAGTTGCCAACGGGTTAAGCCGCTTTCTGTAAATACAGATAACATCATCAATCAAATCATATCAAATAAAAGGATTATATAGATAACAATTATGTTTAATCAGCAATTTGTAAAAATATTTCCATTCTAAATTCTCAATAAGAAGAGGTACATGGTTACATAAAATAACTCGATAATAAACTTATAATTAAATCGATTAAGAAATTCTATATAACATAATATGTATAACTATAATTTCATTAAATAAAATCGATCGATGAATCAGACTCATAGCAAAAAGTTTACTTGAATTATTAAAAATCTTTTTATTGAACTTTCAAGTTTCTCTTATACCTGTTGCAAAAAAGGCTGTATTTGATCCTAGTAGACATGCGGAACACTCTCTTTCCGTGTCAGGATCTTCATGCTCTTGCGCCCATTGTCTAGAAGCAATTGCTTCATGACTGATTCGTACCATTAACTCCTCATTACCTTAATACACAAAGAATACCATTATATTCTTAGATGGAAGAACCTCAGTAGGTTGAGCAATTGAAGGGAACATCGTGGTCGTGAATACTAATTATGATTCAAAAAAAAATATCTGTGGGTTTCCGACGCGTACATTGTTCGCGACAACTGTTCAAGATATAAAATATGAACGACTGATTCCGCTTGAAATGATCTAAAAAAATGTCCGCGACACTATATGTCTATCTTTTAAGATTAATTTGCAAAGTATAACTTTAAATTTATAAAGATAAAGAGGAGGTTTGCAAAACAAATTTAGATGCCTAAAATAACTATGATACGCAGACGAAATCGCTGCCAAAGCTAGTTAAAAATAAGATATTGTATCAATTGTAAAAACCGTATACAGACAATATATAATATTACCATAATTACTTACACTGATAGGTTTTTTCAAGTAGCGTAGGTGGGAACGGAGAAAACACGTGTTTCACCTTTTGCATACTGAAGTTTGGCTCATCCCGGCGGCGTCGAAGAAAGTGCAGTACTTCCAATTCTCGAGAGTCGAAATGGGGATCAACGTGTCTGCAATAAAGCCTGAAAGAATAAGCAGAGAGAATAAGAATCTGAGGATTTATTTCCCATATTCCCGTATACCATATTTATTTTTTTTTGTTTTCGTCCGAAGTATTTCTCGGAATAAAAACTAATTATTATTCTAGGTATTTTCAGATAAAGTCGTAAATCAATCATGTCCTGATCGATATCTTTCGTAATCAGTCGTAGATCTCTATTATATCAATTAATTTAATTACGAATGTAACGACCGCCTTTGTGACCAGATGTTTAAACGTGTTGCCTACCTTACGAAAGGTTTGATGGGCCCATTCGTGTAATGGTAGCAATGTATGGCTTATAACCAACGGGCGGTGGGTTCAATCCCCACCGTGACCTTCAATTTTTAAATTAATTTATAATTTTTCTAAAATATGTTGGACATTGTCCGGAAGTGGATATTGAATGGGTGGTAGGAATATCGAAATTTCACCCGGGTGACGAATCACCGTCCACATATAAAAAAGTAATCAAATCGCGTTTTAGTCTGTGGATTTCCAATATCAGAATATAGGTCAACGGCGCACCTAGTGAAATATGCCAGCTATTTACGTCAAACTATTGTTATCCATCACACGATATCGTTTGACTCACGCATAGAACATAAATTAGAAGTTAAGTGTTAAATTGTTTACGTGTCAAGATATGATATTTTTGTTTAAATACCACGCAATAACCCACCATTCAGGATGGACGGCAAAATCCGTCCCAGATAGCGCTTTCAAGGTTTCCTCGCCTAATTGTTGAGTGAAATTACCATCTGGCACCGCGTGAAGCAAATTATATTTGGGCAAGGAGACCACGAGTGTATAGTGGTTGTGGATTCGTTGCCAGAAGTAGTCTTTCACTTCCAGGATCACACGCATTCCGCCTTCGAATATGCTTTTCACGTACATCGCTCTCGATCCCTTTGGTTCGTCAATAACAAGAGCTTTACGAAACTGAAAAGAATAATGTTTAAATAATACACTTTAACAGTTTAAAACGCGATATATATAAGGTTAAACTTATTTAGAAATTATGTTAACGGCCTGACGATTCGGATGCTTTGCATCAGCTGTAGTCATGATGAGACTTTCAGTGTTATATTAAATGTGTACTACTCGCGTGAACTACAAACAGTATTTAATAATCATGTCAATCATTATTTAAATGAACCTTACATATTAATGTAAATACCTTAACATTTATCTTTAAAATTTTCAAAAAAGTAACAGAACGTAAATTCAATTAACATTCTACCCAAACCAAGGAGTTAGAACAAACGAAAAGAACTGGCAAGAAAACCACTTTCCATCATTAATAAAAAAAATTTATATACAAATCATAATTTTGGGTCATAGATTTTCTTCACTTGAATACATTTTCCAATAAGCATACTATATCATGGCACACAGGATTGATTGAGCTTAATGCCATGTTTTTAATGTGTAAGTACTGATATCGTTTGTAACTAAATGAAGGATACTTGCAATATGCGATATAATATGTAGAAATATAAAAAAATATTACATCAACCCATTCCTGCGGATAATGTCTGGGGTAATGATCAATCGCCGACTGCTCGACATCCAAGAAGTCCACAGTTCGATAACCCGGTTTCAAGATATCTCCGTCAAACTGGAACATTAAAGTGGCAATTTGCGAAATTTTAGATGAAATTGATGTAATCTATATTTGATTACACTTACGACAGGCTTTGTACTGTTGTGAAGTACTATATTTCCGCGGTGATCCACCAAAAAAAGAGATCCGCTTGCCCCTATCTGTAAGGAAAAATATTTTTTCAATACGTTTCTATGCTATTTAGGAATTTCCCCGTATCTTATCTTTTGAAATCACATAAAACATATTATATTCGAGACTGCAAACTGTAACCAAAGTAGCTGTTAAAATTACAGCTTTCTACTAACGATAAATATATTTTCATTTAGAGCTACTTGGGTATTCGGCCGTCGTAATTAAGAAATGATTTTCAAGGTTTCGTCATCACGACACAATACCCGGTGTCATCAACTGGCCAATAAAATACTTAAACAGTTTATATTTTAGTTTTATCAGTTTCTTGTTTCCTTTAATTTAATTTCGAATTCTTTTTTTTAAACACAAATTAATTTCACTACTACTATTTTGCTATTTGTAATTAAACACATTGTACATACGTGTTTAATCTACTTACCAAGTAAAACGGAAGTACAAGTTTCAAGTGATCTAGAGGTATATCTACACCCGCAACACCAAGAAGACGATTAACAGGATACTGAAATGTATCAAAATCGTGAAAATCAATAAAAAAATATTATTGATCATGATCCTGGATGGATGATATGGTAGGAGAGGGTATGCCTGCTTAGGAGTCAATTTATGAAGAATTGAATGATGTTTCAGGAATATACATGTCTATTAAATATTTATTACGATACCAAATTGCATTAACGTTTAACACTACATTTATACGTTTAGTGTCAAAAGCCAATTTTGAATTAATGCTCAATTGGAGCAATGCACTTTTCTTTCCTGGGTTTCGAATCAGGACTCAAAAGAGCTACGCATTGTGTTACTGCTCCTACCAAAACATATAATATTGCGCAAAATAATCGCGAAACAAATAGAGCTGCAATAAATTATCTATTAGTAATTATTTGTATTATAATTCACAAAGAAGAAGGCGGAATCTATTTAAAGATAAGTGATAATGTATAATTAGATTCGTAGAAAACGCATTGATAAAATCGTTAATAACATTCAAAGAAACGTTACCGTCCTAGTGGCGTTCCGTTGGTTCTCCTAAAATCAAAGAAAGATAATATTATCATTAATTATCAATTAAGTTTGATGTAATGATAGGGTTTATTTTTATAAGGAATTAAAGTATTGTTTTTCTGTTATCTTGCCTATATTCTCGATATGACTGTGTCTTTGCAAAATGCCGATAGAGGGCTAGGTGATCAGTCCACGTTGTCTTCTTGCCATTTCACTTATTCCCAAAACCCTCATCACAGAGAATATTATTATTATTATTACCCTCATCCAATCTGATATTGGTTATTATTTGATCGCACTCCCACGCTCTCCTCGACCGAAACAAATTATTTTTCACCGTTTTTTACTGTAGACTATAGACTTAATAACATATTATTACGTATAAAATATTTACCTCATCCAATTGAATGGTAATGTTCTAGAAAAAAAATAGAAATTTTGTTTTATTATGGGTAATAAAACAAAATGTAACCTATGGGTTTCTCGCTCATCGAAAATACAAGACAAAGTTTGTGGCTTACTAGAACACTGATTAGTTTCCTTCAAAATTGTATGATTCATAGCTTTTCTTGTTTCCCTTGTGTAGATTTGCATTTTACTTAGAGATCTCCCGTACGCAAGTAAGATAAAGAAATACTTTATCATGTCTTTCAGGATTTGAACCTAGGACCTTCACACATTTACGTTTAATAAACGGGTCTGAAATTGATGAATACCTCTATAGTAGTACTTTCAAAGACTGGTACAGAAACACTGATTTGCAATCGGTAGTTCACATCTTCTCCCTCATAGTATTGGCCGCGTTTGTCCTGTCAAAGACAAGTACTTACAATTTCAATTGACAATAGACTTTCAATTTAAAAATTAATCCTAAGAACTACGGGTTCGAATTGAAAAATTGTTTTTATGTTGGTTCTAAGGAAGGCTATAAAACATTACCTTGTGACTATAACAGCGAGAAATGTGAACAAAATTGGGAATATTATTCATCATTATCACTAAAAACGGTTCAAGATACCCAAAAATATGTATGAAAGAATGATTTCTCTTATATTTTAAGATTAACTTGCAAGTAAGGCGAGAAGATATGCGACAGACGTCGTGGGTAACAGCTTAAGTTTATAGAGATGAAGGGGTTTAAAAAATTTGGATGCCCAAAATAACGATTCTCGCGGACGAAGTCGCTGATACAGCTAGTTTATAATAGGTAGGATGGTGCTAATGACAGTTGCCCGTATAATATTGCCATCTGTCAGTAACACATAACTTGGGTTGGGACGTTTAGGAACATAATATAATTTTATGTCGCTGACGATGCTCGTAGCATAAACCTTTGTTTTTTAAATGTTGTTATGAGTTTATAAAAAAAAAAATATAAAACTAGCTGTGCTGACTTTGTCCGCGTGGAATATTTTGCAAACAATCTCCTCAACTTTACACATTCTAGCCGTTACCACGATGCTATCCACGCTCCATCTTTTTTGCGAGATAATCTTCAAAGATAAGATAGACACATACTGTCACGGACTTTTTCGTAGATCTTTTAAATAAATAATCATTATTTTATACTTATTTTTTGGTTCCATGAACTGCTTCCAGAGGGCACGCAACGGAAGCCCTCAAAAATTAATAATTTCCCCGTTTTTACATTTTCCTATGTTTCTTCGCTCCTATTAGTCGTGATATTATAGCCTAAAGCCATCCTCGATAAATGGTCTAACCAATACAAAGATAATTTTTCAATTCGAATCCTGTATTTAGTTCCTGAGATTGGCGCGTTCCAACAAACAAACTCTTCAGATTTATAATATCGTATAGATTGGCATTTATGAGAAGACTTCGTTATGGCGGATGTACTAAGTAGTTTTTAGGGTTATCTTTACCGACTTTGGTCTTTGCAATATGTTAAATTAACTTACAATATTATGTCTGATAGGGCTATAGCCATACACTACATACGCATTGAAAAACAATATTTTTTACTATTATCATACGATTTTATTATAGAAACATCGACTATCCATTATAGTAATACATCCCATCACTAAAGACTTCTGTCAAACTAAACCTCCACTCGTACCATGCAACAGCGCACATACCATAATTATGAAATAACAGTAATTCATACCAGATTGTTCATATGTAAATCATCCTTGTAAATGTTATTCAGGAATTTTTGTTTATTACGTCTCAGTCGGGTGTAGCGATATTCTTGCTCCGCTTGTTCTTTTTGTTGCCAATAAAACTCGCCCCGTCTTGGATCCTTGAAAATAAAACAATATGTAATGTTCAAATTATATATGTAAGCTAAAAACTAATTCATGAAAGCGTGTTACTGAAAGTAACACGCTTTTTCGTTTATGTTTATTTAAGTTTAGTAAAGGCAGGTATAAAGAAACCGATGCCTGGATAAGTTATCTATAGTTAGCCACCAAAGATCTAACCATTTCAGTTATCTGTTGAAACTTAAAACAAAAATCGAAAAATGTGTTAGGGTTGTTTAATTTTGTGTTTATTTAAATCAGTGCAAAGATTAAAATCGGTTTATTTGTATTTAAAATAGTACTTTTACTTATGTCAATAAGTATTACGAATTAATTAGGTTAAATTGACGATTGTAAATAGTTTTTACATTTGCTGGAAGCGAAAACCGACTTTGCCGATTTCCGCTAGCTATTGTAGTGGTAAAATGGTAGGGTGATTGAGGGGGGAAAAATAGCGTGGGAGTGCGATCACTTTAAACGAAGGATTTGAAGTGGAAGACGGGCTCTTCGCACGGGGTGTGCCAGCAGAGCAGTAACTGTTCCAGAAGTTGTACGTAATATCGAGTAACTTAAATATTGTGAGGAGTGTAATCAAACGTGTTATGGATTATTCTGGTGTTTTGTTCCATTGCTAAGGATTTGAAAGGGCGATAATACTAGAGGAAGTATGTTTAGTCTACAAATGTAAACAGTGCATGCATAGTTTAAAAGAGTAGTGCACATCAAAATAAAACACTTTTAATGTTTTAAAATAATAAATTTAAAGCGATAAGCGCTTGCAGTCGTGGTCAAAGGATCCGAAACGTCGGGCCGTAGTTAAAATAAGTTAAAAAATGTTTCGCGTTTAAAATCGTTAAAGTGTTTTACTTAAACGTTAAGAGTAATATGCGCACATAGGCTTTATATTTATTTATATAAAGCCCTTTACTTATTCATTATCACACTTTGTTGTTACATACTTTTAACCTAATTTACTCATGTCATTTAAAAAGCTTATTTGTTACTCAATACATTTTCAATTAATTAACAATAAAAAATATAGATATACTCGATGTATGATTTATGCATATGCAGGTAGAAACAAATTAGTGTTAACGAGACAATAAATCTTTTACTGAGATAACACAAGTGGTTCCAAACTCAGATTAGAACATAGTTATATAGTTCGTTGTAATATTATCGTCTTGAAAATATAAATCTATAGTTATTGATTTATTTACAAATATCAACTGTCGTTACAGATGGAATCCAATGCGACAGTGACTTATAACACCTTAACCAACATAAAATATACATTACATTAAAAACAATAAGTATGATAAAGAAGACTAAAAATCTATCTAATCCTATTTTCATATTCACCTCAATATGCGCATACACATCGCTGTAAACCCTCAGACGTTTCTCTCGCTGGGCCACTAGAGGTCGCTCTAAGACTCGGAGGATTCTCATCACTTGTTCTGTCACATCTGATGGCGAGATGAATTCCGCAAAATATCCGTCTCGTTCGCAACTTACAGATTCGCCGTATAAACGTGTGTAGTCCCTCAAACCTTTCCGGTCATGCAGCCACATTACGAAGAGTCTAAAAATAGCTGTATATTTTAACATATATCTGTTAAGGCTATTATAAGATAATCAATTTCATGAGACTTGCTCGTTGATATACGGCTAACGGTCGGTATCAACGGGTTGTGGATTCGATCCCCACCGGCTCCAAGATTTGTCCAATAAATTTATAACTTCACTGAAACATGTCTGGAAATCTGGACATTAAATGTGTGGTAGTAATATGGAAATTCACTCCGGATTTATCGTATAAAGCTTAAGGTATCACTATATATATGACTGCGACCAAAGTTAGCGAAAAAACAGTGAGAAAGGTGAAAAAAATTAGGAGAATAATTATTCACATTTGTGGATTTCCGTCGTGTGCGCTGCGGAAGCAAGTCAAATATCAAAAAAATAAATAAAAGAATCTATAAAAAAATTCCATTACAGTATATTTTAAGATTACCTCAGAAGAACTGAAAGAATTGGTGATAGCTCAGCTAGTTGACCTTTTAAAAGTGCTCTATTTAAAATACTACATACCTGATTTTACCTTCTGGGTCCAGCTGTCGCATCAAATCTGTGTAGTTGTAATAAAGGCTATCAGTAACTAAAACTATGGCTTGCTGGCAGGCTTGGGGCCGATCAAGCTTCTTTTGATTTTTCAGTAATTGTACGGAATATGTCAAAACATCCCCAATCAAAGATTCGTTTACCATCGCTTGCCGCTTGAGAGCTGCCATCATTGCTGCCGAATTTACGTGATTAGCCTGCAGAAATGTTTAAATTTAACTTTCTCGTATAAATATAGCAATGTATGGCCAATAACTTTGAATCCACGAGCCTCCCACCAAGTTAATGAGTACGTGCGACTCAAATTGGGTCTTTTTCTGAACATGGACCAAGGCCTGTAAATCTGACAATGAATGAGTCATAGGCATATCGCAATACCTTCCTCATGCGCAGATAAAGCTGTGAGGTTTTAACTTGCGTTTTCTTAGAACGCATCATAGTTTAATGTACATAGTACCAAATAATACGTAATGTAGCTATACCTAGGCTTATCAGTCCATATAGTTTGATATGTTAACAGTTCCAACATATGTGCTTATATATATCAAAGCTAAGTCAACAATAACATGACAAATAAATGACGAAGTTTGAAAATTAAAAGTATGATACACTATACACGTATTAGTACATTGTATGTTAACTAAATATTTTTCCTTAAACTTGTGTTCTTTTAATAATTAAGCTACGGCTTGGAGGATAATTTTACTTGATATAGTATAACTACCCTCCCAGATTACATCTAGTATTATTTTATTATCATCGTAAATGTTCTTACCGGTACAAGTTTATCATTAAAACAGCTAATAGTAGATTGTACAATAACATTGAATCGTAGAACATTCACTTGATCGTCGTCCGTCAGAGCATTCAGTAGCGTCGATGTAAAAAGTTCCGCTATTTAAAGAAAGGGTTAACAATGAAAAGATACATAATAAATATAAACTCGACCCAATTTACTTTATATGTACAGGCAATATATACTATAAATAAATAAATGCTACGGAAACTTTTTTTAATACCTATATTTTAAGTGCTTAGAGAAACTTGTCAACTTTTAAACATAATCGATTTCTCACCGGTAACCTGATTGGACGAATTGTCCATAGAGCCTGAAGCATCCAACAATATCAGCACATCCCTAGGCGCACCACTAGCGCTCACGTACCAGGGTCGCAGCCGACAATCATAAACGTCTTCGGCCTCCACATTCAAGTTGTATAGACTTTGCCATAGTGCACCTGTAGAGAATTTATTTATTTATATGTTTAGCAGCATTTATTACATTGTTCATACAGAAATTATTTATACAAATAAAATAATAAGTTAAATGTAATAAACAATTATAGGTAAACATATCATGCTTTATATTAAAAATACTGAAGTCTTAGGAGAATAATTCAGAGATACCACTGTTAATTGTGTTGCTCTAGTAAAATTTAAACTAAAGCGGCCATTTTACAAAAAAATACTTAAACCAGAACTGCGACGTCTCCGTTTAACTCTTAAACCATGGTCTAAATAAATCTGAGTCAGTACCATAGCTAGTATAGTCCAAACGTTAAACTTCGTTTTGTAATAAAGATTTCAAATAAACCAGGGTTTGAGAGTTAGTTCTTGTTTTGTAATAAGAGTGAACGTGTTTAAAATTTAAAATTATAATGTTTAAAATATAAACTGAAACTATTAAAAATAGTAAAGTGATAGAGGTAAATAATTACAAGGATAGCCACTTTGGGCAGTCGTAATTGACAAATGGTTCTCGACGTTTAATGTCATCTTGTACCTAATGTCGTGATTTTAATTGTTAACAATAAAAAAAAACAATATTTAATTGTATAACGCTTAACGGGTTACACACTTTTTCTGTGTTGTAAAGAAAACATAATTCCTAGAGCTTCATGTTTCCGCACTAATGTGTGAAAACAAGCATTCAAACATTGTCATACGAGTACCTATTCAGAAAAACGCTTAAAGCTTCGCATTTTGTTACGGCGGCCTACTTAACGTATTTTTTTTGACGTCCTTTTAAAGATATGTGGTAAGTGTTCCGTGTATTTTAGAATGGAATGAGAACACAAAAATGTATCCTCGACAGATGTTAATGTAATGTGCCATATTATAGATATACTCATATTTTTTGTTAGCCAACCCTATAATTGGCACAGCTGGATAAAATGTTTTCTTTTATGTAACAATAGGTATTTTTGCATGATTGTTCTAACCCCATTGAAACCACGAAAGAGAGTCAAATGCACATACCTAGAGATAAATTAGCTGTCTATATGGTTATAAAACTTTTTGTATAAAACAACACCAATTTTCATACATCGATAATATAATATGAACTAGAGTGTATGTAATAAATAAATATATTTTTTAACACTCTTTTGCGTACCTGATATTTTTTTAATTGCCGAATCATAGGAATTTTCTTAAAGAAGTGCTTACCGGGATAGTGTCGTAGGAACCCTTTAGCACCACATAAGTATTGAAAATCGATTGTGGCATCTTCGGCATAATTCTCGCGAAAAGTGGCGAGCAGTTTCTCTGACCAATAAATGTGTGGTAACACTCTGGTATCTTGAAAATAAGACACACTTAATTAAGATTACAATATTAAAAACGGTCTACTTACCACATCTCGTTCTAATTAATATTGACGATATACGATTTGTTACACAATAGCTCAATAGCTCAGCTATTGAGCTATCAAGGATCATTTCCTTAAGTTATTTTAGCGTTATTGTTTTTCTCTTAATGGATGCGTAGACAAGATGATAGCTTGCTAGTTATCTTGTATATTTATCAGATAAACTTATTCAAATAGATGTTATGCAATTAATTCCCCCGTGACGCTTTCTCTTTCCTACTTTACGCTACATATAAGAAGAATAGAAATAGGCACAGTCGAGAAACTCTCAGTTTTCCAAAGCATCTTGGCTTATTAGAAATTATCTAAAAGTTACTTTAAAAGGAACGTACCACACGCAAACACTTCTGCTACTACGTGTACGCTACTTGTGTCCAAGGTAACTTGCGCATTAAAATGTTCACTTCTTTGCAGCTTGACTTTGTCATGACTTCTGCACGAAGATGGTAATTCCCACATGGTTTCTGGCGGTACTGCTTGCTTCAATACGTCCAAATCCTAAAAAAGTGTTTCAATTAAGGTCCTCTGTGTTACGAGAGATATTTAAACATTATATAGTATTTGATTATCTTTATATAGCGCGTTAAGAAAAGGTAATTTAATGTAACTTTTAGCTAAGCCCGTACAAACTTACTGTTTCTTTATTATAATATTATATTATTATGCTATAAAATAATAGCTAGCATAAATCTAAGTCAACGTTGTGCTCACTCGTGTTTATATTTAAAGCAAATTAAATCTGGTACCCGAAACTCGGGAGTATACGCTTAAGCTGTTCTACATTACAGTTTTAAAAGAGCTAAACTACGAGTAATACTAACATCGTATTGAATAATTTAACATTTAAATGAAGAGGTTTAACTCCGTATACTATAAGAAATAAAATGATAATTTAAATTCAAACTAGTCCTAAATGATGTATACTATAAGCACCTTACAACAAAACGTAATTAACTAATGTTGTTACTAAATAGTTCTCTTCAGAAGTTAAGCGTCGATGGCGCCATAGTACTTGAAAACACTGATAACGTGTTTTAACATGGCGCTATTAATTAATGACATTAATATTAATAATACTTAACATGAAAGGTGAATCGGTTAGTAAAAAAACTAGAAAAGTTATCTCTTCTATTTCTACGAGCCTACGAAATGTCTACGAGGAAGCTGTGAAGTTACGATAGTATATTTTAAAAGTACTTTGTACAAAAAAAATGTAGTGCTTTCTTTAGGTTTGCAGTTCAATTCTTTCATATTGTTCCGCCTCTGTAGCCAAATGGTTAAACGCATTACATTAAGCGCGAGAGGTTCGAATCCCAGGGAAACATAAAATTGTTTCGGTCGGGAGGGGCACAGAAGTCTGAGCAACTACTTGGTCGTTAAAATAACGGACACAGAAATATGTTCGCCCCATGCCCCACGAGGGGGAAACGGGCTTTTCATATTTAGTTATTGAAAATATTTTCAAGATTTACTTACAACACTGTCGTCGAAAGTATACCGCACTGGAGGATATATTTTATTTTCCAATACATACGTTGATAGTTCTTCGGCTCGTTTCATTATTGTCTCCGCGGCTTTGCCTCGTCTATCTAACAGATCTTCTAGAGCCTTCGATGCCTTTTCTAAAATCGCTGAGCCATTTCTTAATTCTACTTTGATATCAGAAAAACTACTCGCAAGAACATCTCTACGTACCACCTTCTGTTCTATTTCTAAAAGGTGTGTTTGAATTTCAAGAGCCCATTCTTTCATTCTACAATAAAATCACCACATCTTTAATAAACGCATAGACTAAAATAAATAATATGTAGTAAATTTGTTAATTATTATCTTAAATAATAGATAAAAAATAGGTAAAAGTTTTATTCTAACTAACTAGTGTAGTATCTCATCAATTTTAAACTATGAAAAATATTCATTGATGATTTGAAAAATAATATATTTAACACCGCTCACTGTTCACGACTTATAAGCCGTGGTCTATCCTGGGTTTTCTTCGAAGTCGTCGGTTTAATTTTCACTTTCGTTACGTTCGCGATCTTGAGGTGAATATTTTTCGCCTTACTCTTGTTGATTAAAATTTGACCTTGGTGTTCTTCCAGAGACTTTTTTATGTCAACCGCGTTGTGCTTTATTTCCGTAGTTTCGAGATCTTTTGTTAAGAATAGTAGGAGGAATATTTTTAAATTCATTTCGCGTTAAAAGTTTCGTCTACAAATGAAGTTATCAGTGAGGACAGTTGGGGTATACTGCGCGCAGGCCCAACCTTACGGCGGGATGCTGGCTCCCGCCTGGTTGGCGTCTACTTACCGCCCTTCATCCCCTACTACGATACTCGTTAAAAATACAGATTCGGATTAATTTTGACTGTGTGTGATATTTACTACTATATTTGTCACTAATAGCCAAGAAAAAGTTTTGTAAATTGCATATAGTTCTACAACTACTGATTGGCATAACTTGTGTCCGAAAACATATTAATTTCAGGCATACATTGTTAGGCCAAAATACTATGTGGATATTCTTACTCATAAAAAAAAGTATAAAAAATAGTAGATTCTTTATTTATAATTTAGTTAGGACATTAGTATTTTATATATTGCATATTTAAATGAAGAAAAAACATTTGTTCACATACAAAAAAACTAATTAAAATAATTTAACTTTTTACTTTTGCTTACTTATTCAGCGAGCGAGAAACATGCGGAATAATATATATATAGTTTACTTACGCTTTTTTCAAGGAAACTATTTTGACATAAGGAGTTAATTTAATTTTCTTGTAAAATCTTTAATAAGCCACTTCATATGAAGTGTGTTTTAGATACAAAGTTGTATAAAATGCTGCTTATTTTTGATCCTGGGTCATAGTTTCGTCACCTACGACTCGAATCAAATTAATATCGAGAATGAAAAGTAAGTCACTAGTTAATATAAATATTTTGGGTCCAACAAATTTGTGCTTTTTTTTTTTAATAATATTTAATGGCCTGGTAACGAGACCTTTAAGCCAAGAAATTTGTGCTATTTTTTTATCATAGAGAAGGACATAGGATTCACTTGATGGAAGCTGAAATACCTCAGCCGTATAATATTTAAACAAGACGCGCTGTCAATCTATTTTGGCTTCGGATATTTGGAAACTGACAGACTGAAACCGAAACGCAATTAAATCTTGCCGCTTTTTTATCTGTGGCCGGTGGTTCGTGGCCCGGGTGGAATATTCATATTCCTGCCGCCCAATTACTAACCCAGACTTCCAGACGAAGTCCAATGTGTTTCAGAAAAAATATTAATTAATGAATTAACTATAGGTACAAATTTTGGAACCCACGACCCGTCGATTACTAGCTACAAATGCTACAATTAGACATACGAGAACGTCAAAACTAAAATTTTGTACGTTCAGTTATTTTACAATAAAATATTGTATTCTTCAAAATGTGTTATTAAACTACAAGTCTGTTCTTATTCATTTTCCAGCTATCTTCAGTAACCTATTATTTGTAGCAATGGCTGTAGCCGTTGCGTCATGCGGGGACTGTCCCACGGATGACACAGATATGTTGTTAAAACACGAGGACTGTGACAAATTCTACCAATGTACAAACGGAGAAAAAGTGGAAAGACACTGCCCGGAAAATCTTTACTTTAACGAAGAGGAGGATATATGCGACTGGCCGAAAAATGTGAATTGCGCGGGAAGAAATATCCCTGTGGTACCATTGACAAATGTCATTGTAGATTATACAACAAATTAATTTTCTAATATGTCAAAGATTAACTACTTAATGTAGGCGTGAACTAAATACAAACTTACGATTAACTGCATTTCAATATTAATTATATATTATTATATTTCATTTTATATACACATCAGCATTAAAATTGTCTTTTTATTTGTATAGTTTTAGTAATAAATAACTACACATACCAAAGCTTACTAAAAGATTTTACAGTTCTTGCATTATATAACTAGTTGTGCCAGCGACTTCGTTCGCATAGAATAGTTATTTCGGGCATCCAAATTCGGTTTTACCAACGACGTCAGTCACGTTCCTTCCTGTCGTTCTTGAAAATTAACCTTTAAAGATAGACATATAGCGTCGAGCGGGCTTCGTTTAAAATACCTTTAAGAGGAATCATTCCTTCACACATATTTTTGTGAAGGAATATTAGTATTGATTAGTACACCTTACAACGACCGCGATTCCTCCGCGATGCCTTTGTTTCTGTAAAAACTTGAACAAAACTGTTCTTCAGAACGATGAAGAGAATGAAATGGAACGGTTTGGCTGCCATATTTTATATCTATCTATACTAATGTATAAAGTTGAAGAGTTTGTTTGTTTTAACTCGCTAATCTCATGAAATAAGGCTTCGAATGGATTTTTTTTTTGTTGTTTAGAACATTTATCGAGGAAGGCGAAATGTGAAAATATTTGGGAAAACTATACTTTGTGAAATTATTTTATTTATTTATTTATTTTATTTGGAAAAGAAAAGATTTTAAAACAATAACAACTTAAAATGACACACGAAATGTATAAAAATAAAACGACTGCTGATAATACATTTAGTATATTAAATAAATAAAAATAAATCATTTTAACATAAAAATCACAAAGTTGAGCTCGAGTATATCTAACATTATAAGTATAGGTTTTTATAGCATACTTATGACGTTTAGTTTGTTTTCATCAATTTTCTACCGGCTAAATGTTTGTTCATGGAAATTGATTTTTTAATAATTCTATTTCCACAATTTACGTTCTCTGGGAAATCACAAATAAGCAAACGTGAGTTAAAATGCAAATCACCCGGACACATGAATTCTTCTGGTTTACCGTTCGAGCACATAAAGAATTGATTGCAAAATTTGTGCTTTAATAAACTTCCGTTATGTTTGTTTAGTGCGCATATTGTAGGAGGTTCTTCAGGGTTGAAGTTGATTTCATCTTCTTTATTGTTATTGTTGTCTCCTTCAGTTTCACTTTCAGCATCGTCCCCACCTTCTCCGTCTTCAACTCCATTACCACCGTCGCCACCATCTCCTCCGTCGACATTGTCTCCACCTTCGTTGTCACAGTCTGGTATGACTCTGTCGCCGCACTTTACATTTTCAGGCCAGTCGCACTGTTCTTTGTAGGGGTTATACAAAAGATTTCCTGGACACGACATCGTGACGGGCTTTCCAAATGAACATTGGTAGAATTGATTGCAGTTTTCGTGAGCTACTAAGGTGCCATCAGATCCAGCTTCGGCGCAAATTGCCGGAGCTTCTTCTGGGTTGCAATTGCAACTTCCATTACCAGCATCGTCCCCACCGTCTCCACCTCCACCGCCATTGCCACCGTCACCGCCGTCACCTCCGTCACCACCATCTCCTCCGTCACCGTTCTCTCCGCCTTCGTTGTCATCTTCGGGTATGACTCTGTCGCCGCACTTTACATTTTCAGGCCAGTCGCACTGTTCTTTGTAGGGGTTATACAAAAGATTTCCTGGACACGACATCGTGACGGGCTTTCCAAATGAACATTGGTAGAATTGATTACAGTTTTCGTGAGCTACTAAGGTGCCATCAGATCCAGCTTCGGCGCAAATTGCCGGAGCTTCTTCTGGGTTGCAATTGCAACTTCCATTACCAGCATCGTCCCCACCTTCTCCAGCTCCACCGCCATTGCCACCGTCACCGCCGTCACCTCCGTCACCACCATCTCCTCCGTCACCGTTCTCTCCGCCTTCGTTGTCATCTTCGGGTATGACTCTGTCGCCGCACTTTACATTTTCAGGCCAGTCGCACTGTTCTTTGTAGGGGTTATACAAAAGATTTCCTGGACACGACATCGTGACGGGCTTTCCATATGAACATTTGTAGAACTGATTGCAGTTTTCGTGAGCTACTAAGGTGCCATCAGATCCAGCTTCGGCGCAAATTGCCGGAGCTTCTTCTGGGTTGCAATTGCAACTTCCATTACCAGCATCGTCCCCACCTTCTCCAGCTCCACCGCCATTGCCACCGTCACCGCCGTCACCTCCGTCACCACCATTTCCTCCGTCACCGTTCTCTCCGCCTTCGTTGTCATCTTCGGGTATGACTCTGTCGCCGCACTTTACATTTTCAGGCCAGTCGCACTGTTCTTTGTAGGGGTTATACAAAAGATTTCCTGGACACGACATCGTGACGGGCTTTCCATATGAACATTTGTAGAACTGATTGCAGTTTTCGTGAGCTACTAAGGTGCCATCAGATCCAGCTTCGGCGCAAATTGCCGGAGCTTCTTCTGGGTTGCAATTGCAACTTCCATTACCGCCATCGTCCCCACCGTCTCCACCTCCACCGCCATTGCCACCGTCACCGCCGTCACCTCCGTCACCACCATCTCCTCCGTCACCGTTCTCTCCGCCTTCGTTGTCATCTTCGGGTATGACTCTGTCGCCGCACTTTACATTTTCAGGCCAGTCGCACTGTTCTTTGTAGGGGTTATACAAAAGATTTCCTGGACACGACATCGTGACGGGCTTTCCAAATGAACATTGGTAGAATTGATTGCAGTTTTCGTGAGCTACTAAGGTGCCATCAGATCCAGCTTCGGCGCAAATTGCCGGAGCTTCTTCTGGGTTGCAATTGCAACTTCCATTACCAGCATCGTCCCCACCGTCTCCACCTCCACCGCCATTGCCACCGTCACCGCCGTCACCTCCGTCACCACCATCTCCTTCGTCACCGTTTTCTCCGCCTTCGTTGTCACAGTCTGGTATTACTCTGTCGCCGCACTTTACATTTTCAGGCCAGTCGCACTGTTCTTTGTAGGGGTTATACAAAAGATTTCCTGGACACGACATCGTGACGGGCTTTCCATATGAACATTTGTAGAACTGATTGCAGTTTTCGTGAGCTACTAAGGTGCCATCAGATCCAGCTTCGGCGCAAATTGCCGGAGCTTCTTCTGGGTTGCAATTGCAACTTCCATTACCGCCATCGTCCCCACCGTCTCCACCTCCACCGCCATTGCCACCGTCACCGCCGTCACCTCCGTCACCACCATCTCCTCCGTTACCGTTTTCTCCGCCTTCGTTATCATCTTCGGGTATGACTCTGTCGCCGCACTTTACATTTTCAGGCCAGTCGCACTGTTCTTTGTAGGGGTTATACAAAAGATTTCCTGGACACGACATCGTGACGGGCTTTCCATATGAACATTTGTAGAACTGATTGCAGTTTTCGTGAGCTACTAAGGTGCCATCAGATCCAGCTTCGGCGCAAATTGCCGGAGCTTCTTCTGGGTTGCAATTGCAACTTCCATTACCGCCATCGTCCCCACCGTCTCCCCCTCCACCGCCATTGCCACCGTCACCGCCGTCACCTCCGTCACCACCATCTCCTCCGTCACCGTTCTCTCCGCCTTCGTTGTCATCTTCGGGTATGACTCTGTCGCCGCACTTTACATTTTCAGGCCAGTCGCACTGTTCTTTGTAGGGGTTATACAAAAGATTTCCTGGACACGACATCGTGACGGGCTTTCCATATGAACATTTGTAGAACTGATTGCAGTTTTCGTGAGCTACTAAGGTGCCATCAGATCCAGCTTCGGCGCAAATTGCCGGAGCTTCTTCTGGGTTGCAATTGCAACTTCCATTACCAGCATCGTCCCCACCTTCTCCAGCTCCACCGCCATTGCCACCGTCACCGCCGTCACCTCCGTCACCACCATTTCCTCCGTCACCGTTCTCTCCGCCTTCGTTGTCATCTTCGGGTATGACTCTGTCGCCGCACTTTACATTTTCAGGCCAGTCGCACTGTTCTTTGTAGGGGTTATACAAAAGATTTCCTGGACACGACATCGTGACGGGCTTTCCATATGAACATTTGTAGAACTGATTGCAGTTTTCGTGAGCTACTAAGGTGCCATCAGATCCAGCTTCGGCGCAAATTGCCGGAGCTTCTTCTGGGTTGCAATTGCAACTTCCATTACCGCCATCGTCCCCACCGTCTCCACCTCCACCGCCATTGCCACCGTCACCGCCGTCACCTCCGTCACCACCATCTCCTCCGTCACCGTTCTCTCCGCCTTCGTTGTCATCTTCGGGTATGACTCTGTCGCCGCACTTTACATTTTCAGGCCAGTCGCACTGTTCTTTGTAGGGGTTATACAAAAGATTTCCTGGACACGACATCGTGACGGGCTTTCCATATGAACATTTGTAGAACTGATTGCAGTTTTCGTGAGCTACTAAGGTGCCATCAGATCCAGCTTCGGCGCAAATTGCCGGAGCTTCTTCTGGGTTGCAATTGCAACTTCCATTACCGCCATCGTCCCCACCGTCTCCACCTCCACCGCCATTGCCACCGTCACCTCCGTCACCTCCGTCACCACCATCTCCTCCGTCACCGTTCTCTCCGTCTTCGTTGTCATCTTCGGGTATGACTCTGTCGCCGCACTTTACATTTTCAGGCCAGTCGCACTGTTCTTTGTAGGGGTTATACAAAAGATTTCCTGGACACGACATCGTGACGGGCTTTCCATATGAACATTTGTAGAACTGATTGCAGTTTTCGTGAGCTACTAAGGTGCCATCAGATCCAGCTTCGGCGCAAATTGCCGGAGCTTCTTCTGGGTTGCAATTGCAACTTCCATTACCGCCATCGTCCCCACCGTCTCCACCTCCACCGCCATTGCCACCGTCACCTCCGTCACCACCATCTCCTCCGTCACCGTTCTCTCCGTCTTCGTTGTCATCTTCGGGTATGACTCTGTCGCCGCACTTTACATTTTCAGGCCAGTCGCACTGTTCTTTGTAGGGGTTATACAAAAGATTTCCTGGACACGACATCGTGACGGGCTTTCCAAATGAACATTGGTAGAATTGATTGCAGTTTTCGTGAGCTACTAAGGTGCCATCAGATCCAGCTTCGGCGCAAATTGCCGGAGCTTCTTCTGGGTTGCAATTGCAACTTCCATTACCGCCATCGTCCCCACCGTCTCCCCCTCCACCGCCATTGCCACCGTCACCGCCGTCACCTCCGTCACCACCATCTCCTCCGTCACCGTTCTCTCCGCCTTCGTTGTCATCTTCGGGTATGACTCTGTCGCCGCACTTTACATTTTCAGGCCAGTCGCACTGTTCTTTGTAGGGGTTATACAAAAGATTTCCTGGACACGACATCGTGACGGGCTTTCCATATGAACATTTGTAGAACTGATTGCAGTTTTCGTGAGCTACTAAGGTGCCATCAGATCCAGCTTCGGCGCAAATTGCCGGAGCTTCTTCTGGGTTGCAATTGCAACTTCCATTACCGCCATCGTCCCCACCGTCTCCACCTCCACCGCCATTGCCACCGTCACCGCCGTCACCTCCGTCACCACCATCTCCTCCGTCACCGTTCTCTCCGCCTTCGTTGTCATCTTCGGGTATGACTCTGTCGCCGCACTTTACATTTTCAGGCCAGTCGCACTGTTCTTTGTAGGGATTATACAAAAGATTTCCTGGACACGACATCGTGACGGGCTTTCCAAATGAACATTGGTAGAATTGATTGCAGTTTTCGTGAGCTACTAAGGTGCCATCAGATCCAGCTTCGGCGCAAATTGCCGGAGCTTCTTCTGGGTTGCAATTGCAACTTCCATTACCGCCATCGTCCCCACCGTCTCCACCTCCACCGCCATTGCCACCGTCACCGCCGTCACCTCCGTCACCACCATCTCCTCCGTCACCGTTCTCTCCGCCTTCGTTGTCATCTTCGGGTATGACTCTGTCGCCGCACTTTACATTTTCAGGCCAGTCGCACTGTTCTTTGTAGGGGTTATACAAAAGATTTCCTGGACACGACATCGTGACGGGCTTTCCATATGAACATTTGTAGAACTGATTGCAGTTTTCGTGAGCTACTAAGGTGCCATCAGATCCAGCTTCGGCGCAAATTGCCGGAGCTTCTTCTGGGTTGCAATTGCAACTTCCATTACCAGCATCGTCCCCACCTTCTCCAGCTCCACCGCCATTGCCACCGTCACCTCCGTCACCACCATCTCCTCCGTCACCGTTCTCTCCGTCTTCGTTGTCATCTTCGGGTATGACTCTGTCGCCGCACTTTACATTTTCAGGCCAGTCGCACTGTTCTTTGTAGGGGTTATACAAAAGATTTCCTGGACACGACATCGTGACGGGCTTTCCAAATGAACATTGGTAGAATTGATTGCAGTTTTCGTGAGCTACTAAGGTGCCATCAGATCCAGCTTCGGCGCAAATTGCCGGAGCTTCTTCTGGGTTGCAATTGCAACTTCCATTACCAGCATCGTCCCCACCGTCTCCACCTCCACCGCCATTGCCACCGTCACCGCCGTCACCTCCGTCACCACCATCTCCTTCGTCACCGTTTTCTCCGCCTTCGTTGTCACAGTCTGGTATTACTCTGTCGCCGCACTTTACATTTTCAGGCCAGTCGCACTGTTCTTTGTAGGGGTTATACAAAAGATTTCCTGGACACGACATCGTGACGGGCTTTCCATATGAACATTTGTAGAACTGATTGCAGTTTTCGTGAGCTACTAAGGTGCCATCAGATCCAGCTTCGGCGCAAATTGCCGGAGCTTCTTCTGGGTTGCAATTGCAACTTCCATTACCACCATCGTCCCCACCGTCTCCACCTCCACCGCCATTGCCACCGTCACCGTTCTCTCCGTCTTCGTTGTCACAGTCTGGTATTACTCTGTCGCCGCACTTTACATTTTCGGGCCAATCACAGTATTCTTGGTATGGATTATATAGGAGGTTTCCTGGGCATGACTGAGTCACGGGCACTCCTTGGGAACATTTGTAGAACTTGTTACAAAACTCATGTGCGACGAGAGTGCCGTCTGATCCGCTTTTAGCACAAATAGATGGAGCTTTTTCTGGGTTGCAGTTGCAGTTTCCATTGCCATTACCACTGTCATTACCTCCTTCAGGTTTAGGAAGCAATCTGTTTCCGCAGTCAACGTTAGATGGAAACTCACATTGCTGTGTTTCTATAGAGAAGTATAAGTTGAGAGGACAAATTTGAATTACAAGATTTCCATGCCAGCATTGGTAAAATTTGTTGCAATATTCGTGTGGATAAAGTTGCTCGATTGTGTAATCCGTAGGGCACCCGCTTTTATTAAGCTCAATGTGTCTTCCCAGTGCTACTGTAAGAGCGCACGCCAAGTAAATGGCTGTGGCTGAAAAAAAAATCGTAAAATTAATCCCTCAAAATATTGAAATATAAATAGATAAATAATTTTAACTTTACTTTTGAGTACCTTAAAACGCAGTTTATGATTTTTTACCGTATTAATTTTATAAGTAGATTCCTGTTTGATATGAAACTTTACATTATAGCTCTAAGTTAAACAGCTAACGTTTTTAAATAATCATTTTGTGGTTAGTAAAAAAATGTGCAATTAAGTAGAATGAGTAATTATTTAAAAAATACATTACGGTCATATCATTTTATTTTAGGTTAGGTTTAGGTTTAAAGAATTCATTATTAAATATATATTTTCGCTTTTAAATATGTATTACCTTTCATCGTGATTCCGTTTAATTTTGCACTTTACAGTCACTATATGTCAATGCGTTTCCTTAGGAAGACTGGCTAATGATGGACTAATCTATCCAGAATATATTTATATGAGGCGATTAAAATCAAAGCAATTAAGCAACATAAAATATATATTATCGTAATTTACCAATCCCAAGATTATTTGATAATTTAATTAATGTACAAGATACCAACTTACCTGATAAACGAAATTCAGAATGCACTCGAGCCAACCCTTTGTATTAAAAATCAAAAATATTACATATAAAATTTTAGCAATGGAATTTGGGGAAAACATTTTGCAATAACAAATAACGTATTACTTTTCAATATGGATAATTATTTTTTATAGTTGTTTAGTAAAACGAGTTGTTTAGTAAAGAAATAAATTAATTCAAAAATGACCCGTTGGCGTCATTTCGTTATATGCCTGGTTTACGTAAATGTTTATAATTATTTATTAAGTCGGCTTCAGAAAATGAAACTTTCATTCATAAATACATTGACAGCTATGATTCTACCATTATAAATTCGACGTTTAAAGCCGTATTACAGAGACAAGTATACAAAGAAACGCTGCCTGTATTTTATGTAAGTACCTTTATTGTTATATTGGAAAAGAAGAAATTGCGAAAAATAATATTTTAATTACGTGCTTATCTCTATGCGGACAATAAAAGTGCAATTACAAATTTAAAAAAATAAATCTAATTTCATTATCGTAAAATGAACTTTCCTCCTGATACACACAAGATAAGAAGAGCGTAATTACTAATCTATGTTAATATTTTCTTTACGAAGGCTAAAATTAAAAAATATATTGTTTTATTATCGACATACTGTTGACTATTACTATTACAGATTATGCCTGACCGAATTAAACCAATAAAAGCAACTACCAACAACTAACTGAAAATAATTAAACAAATCCGGACGTACGCCCCATTTACACGTGAGCTTTTTTATCATACGTCAAAAAAGCCTTCAAATAGAACAAGTGAGAACAACAAATTACATTTTGGGTCTTGGAAATAGAACTTATGCAACTAGATACTTTTGTTGACACTAGCGTTAAAAAAGCGTCATCGCTATAGCGAGAAACAGAAGACAAATCCGACATACAAATTTAGTATGTTATAAAAGCGTCAACGCGGAGTTTTTACGGATCGCTATTTTAATTCTCGTGTGAACGGGGGTGTTATTCTAGAAGTAGAACATACTTCATACTGTGTTTGTACATTTAATTTACTTGTTTTGCAATAAAGATATGAAATGATATATTTTTTTATTATGAAATATTTTATACCAATATCAAAAACATGGAAAATGCATTTAATCGAATATGTTATTCAATCAAAGTTATGATAATGTAAGGAAAAAATGCCAGTCATATTTTTTCATTAAGTACTAATCTGTGTAAATTTATCTTGTTTCATCTTGTCCAACAACGAAAATTAGCTTAATAAATTAATTATAAGTTACACCTATAACTCAACTTAAAAAAAAAACTTAGAAACTATTGATTTAAAACATTGTCACGTAATCTCCTGTCAACGAAAAGTCATCTTTTCTTCGACTTCTAATGAGCAATCCATCGTATTCGTAAGCATGACTGACTAGAAATCAAGAACGTTATTTTTAAGATTTCAAGTTGGCTGAAAAACCGACAGTTCGACGGACTCGTTGGTCTAATGGTGGCAATGTATGGATAATAATCGACGGGTCGTGGGTTCAACCCCCATTGGGTCTAACATGTTTTTAATTTTTCAATTTATAATTTTTCTGAAACTATATCTGGATATTAAATGAGTGACGAGAATACAGAAATTTCGTCCGTGTCACAAACCGTCCACCGGTGAAAAAGCCGTGAATTTTAATCGTAAAGAATTTAATACTACATACCATTATTGCACAAGGACGTGAATGAATTATCTAAAATACATTGAACGGACTAACCGTATGAAGTTAAAGGACACTAGCTAGACTATAGTATTTTATTATAGTACTAAGCCATTAGAATTAGTAGTTATAATTATCTATTACCATTGTTTTAGATCTATACTATTATTATGGAGCAAAAGAGTTTGTTTGCTCGAACGGGCTTATCTCTAACAACTGGTTTAAATTAAAAATAAATAATTTTTGATTTTCGAAAAAGACTTTAGGCTATATCACGCGGCGATCAAGAGAGCGAAGACATATTGGAAAATGTTAAAAAGACGGGGAAAGGGCTTACATTGCGTGTGCTGTCAAAAAAGGTTCAAGAAACCAAAAACTATCTATGTATTGACAGATTTCTTTTTAATATATTTAAAAAAATTACCGTACATTATATGTTTATCTTTCCTTACACGCGGTACATTATATTTCCCTCAAATTTCACGTCAATGAAGTCGCGGGAACAGCTTGTCTTTTATTAAATACTAGCGGCCCTGTACCGGCTTCGCACGGGTAGACATAAAAAAGTACAAATATTTAAATTATAAGCATGCTAATTAAAACGACCATGAATCACTAAATTAGAAAAAAATTGTATTGCGCGTCCTATCTGTTAATGACCGTGGTTTATCTCGCTGGTTCAGGAGCCGCTGCGAGCGTTCAGTGTTATTGTCCCGTGCACGCGTTCGCGAATTCCTAGCTCTATTTCGTTCAAGTCGCTGCAACGATCTTGCATTTTGTTCTGCAAGACGAACCTGAACATTCGACGTTAGAATCTCTTGCTCGCGATTGGGACGCGTACACTCTAATACTTTCCAGACATTCATTTTAGAGATTTGAGACATTATTAAATTATTTATTTGGATAAAAATTTATAAATGGTATGGATAACACGGTCGGCAATTCTATTAATCTGTTAAATGTAAAAAAGTATTTATAGCGACGTAACTACAATAGACATATGCTCTCGCAATGTTTTTTGTAGATATGTGCGAAAAGAATTAATGTCCTATCATTAATTCTTTTCACAGCGTATGCGAAGAAAGACATTTTGCGGCTAATTCTTTTACGCCTTCCGTTGGTTTTAGTAAGAATTTCTATAGATGCCTACAGTAATCAAGTACTAAATATAGCCTATGTTACTCAGTGATAATTAAAAAATAATTATTCAAATCGGTCCAGTACTTTTTGAGTTTATCCATTACATACGAAAATACGAATCTTTCCTCTTTATAATATTAGTTTAGATAATTCAAATAGAAACACAATATGACGGTGCATAGGAATATGACGTAGGTTATATTTGTATACCATTGTCTAGAGTTTATGCAAGTGATACATAATATATTACGCACCCGAAACGTAGAACCGTTATCTAATAATCGCATTCTAAGAATGATTGATGCACCTTAACGAGGAAGATTACAAAGTTTACTAGTCTATTTTTATCAGAGAAAATTTTAAATTAGTACGCAATACTAAATGTTTTTAGAAGGCGCTTCAAAATAAAACAAAATATACGCTTTCGTACTGCTGCTTCTTTGCTTTTTGCAATTGCTAGGCGCTGAAAACATGTTATGTAATCGTAGTAAATTATTTTTTAACATAGTAGTATACTTAACGGTGACATAACACTTGGATTTTTTAGCGATCTAATATCCAGTTTGTATAAAATTATTTAGGAAACATAAATACAAATAATAATTAATTACTTAACTTGTTAATAGACGGTAGATATAAGTATATAGTGAGAAAAGATGGCAAGCCTTTTAAAATTACGACGATCAGAATAGAGGATAACAAAGTTTTGAAAATAGAGGGTTATATAATTCTATCTACAGCATGGGTAAACGTGATGGTCCACACGCCAGTATCTATAGTCCGCGTCAGCTGTTGATTGTCAGAGGAAGGAGGTGAGGAGGAAGATGACGTCAGCGTGACGTCACAGCACCCACGGCCGATGCCTCCGAACGAGTCGCAGTGATAAACGCACCTCGGCAACGGCTCCGTGTCAGACATGCTGCGCGCTTGAATTGCCGCCGAAACCCCCACAACTGCCTCATGCATCTTTGCCTCTCACCAACACAATACAAGTGAGCTCTAGTGCAAGCATTCGATACGATGAACGCTGCTCGGGCGAATTAACATGACCTCGATGGCCTTTTACAGATGTCAGCCGTCACCGCACGAGGAGCGGCGATTTTATCACATAATAGAAAATGACTGAAGGTCCCCGACAACAACATGAGAAGCCGGTGAGTGATCAACGCATTTTAAGACTTATGGCCCCTTTGATAAGACCGTTTCTCGAGTGACGAGTCTCGCGGGCGCGCACAGCATGACTTGAAAACTCCGAAGCAACGCACAGCGCCCAAATCGAATCGATGTATTTACATTTTCCTTATCAGCATATGCTTAAGATACGTCGCACATCCAAAGGGACGTTGACCAAATAAAATATGTATCAAATAAGTCGACGAACATTTGCTGCAATGGTCGTTTAGTTGCGCTCGATTGAATGCACCAAATATAACTGGTTCCGATATATACAACTGTTTTATCAAACACCTGCTGAATATTATTGCAGCACGGTCGCCACTAACACTTCCTTATACTTGTTATTAGACTCACTTAACTTTTATCACTGGTAATTATTTACGGGCATAAATATGGAGCTCATACATACATTCTGAGGGTATCTATTAACCTTTGAATTCCTAAGCGCTTTGTTCAATATAGATATTATCAAAGCTTGGGTAGTATTCAATCAATATTATAAGACATTTTTTTATACTAATTTCACGCGTGATGTAGGTGATGAGGTAAAAAATATTACGCGATTTACATTATATCTATATCTACTAATCAACTAGAGATACACTGTGGCCTTACAGATAAACGAATAAAGTTTTTGTTACGAATTTCAGTTTATTTTCATTCAAAATCTTAAGTAGTTGCCATAAAACGTTAATGACGCCAAATATTAATCTTTATTTATTCTAATCTTTTGCGCCATTAGTGATATTGACTGCGAAATATCTCCGCACCGTTTTACAATATACATAAGTATGACAGTAGTTTACCCCAGTAATACACAATTAAATAAAACTTTTTAAATGTTTTAAACACAAAGTATGTTAATTACAATTTTCTTCATTTAATTAGTAAGAATAAGTGAAGTAATATATTTCGCATTTCAAACCGTTAAAGTGTATTTTTAAATACAAAAATATAAACAATTGAAGAATAATGTAAGGAATTCAAAAGCTGAATGAAACAATTAACTACTACTACCTACCTGCCTACCAATTAAATACTGAAGCCATTAACTAAAGTCAGCTTATTTCCTAATTCCACATTCGCTGTAATGCACAATTCACATTATTCATTAATTTTAATTAATTATCTGTATTTGAGAAAGTTATTTTATTTTGAGCAGTTCTACAACTACAAAAGCATTTTTCAGAGGGTATCTCGAAAATAATTAAAATATCTTAATAATGTAATGTAGGTATTATTAACAAATATAGCGTCGACATCGTAAACAGAATTTTGATAATAAGAAATATTGGTATCTCTGATAGCGAATAAAATTATATCTAAGGTTCTTGACCGTTCACCTAGAAAATGTACCCTACCTACATATTTTTCCTGATTCAACCAAATGGGTATTCTAATACAAACCTTTTTGTTTGATGAAGTACATTGACGTGTAAAAGTCACAAAAGAAAAAAATGTGAATTATTTTGCTGTCGCCTTTGAAAGCAAATTGAAATCGACGGTTCTCATTAATTATCATTAAAAAAAGTTAAAAAGGTGATCCTTACGTACGATAAAAGAAATGACTTTTTCTTGATTCTTGTAATGTGGAAGCAAAACAAACAAAAAAAGTAAAAATGTATAATTAGAGATTGACGTTAACGTTAATCTCAAGATTGTTTATTTTTAAAGTTAGTGTTTATTTGTAAATTCTCATCACGTTTCAGGAAAATACGAGGTGATTGTATATGACAAATGTTTAACCAGCTGTTCGAACCACAGTATATATACATAAGAGTACCTAATAATACTTATTGAAACTTTGTGATTGGTTGCAAATCGTATACCAATAAAAATCAAGAAACTGAGGTCAGCTGAAGTATAATAATAATTAAAGCCCACTATGATTTAGACTTTAGACTTAGCTAATACAATAGAATAATACAGGTTTAACTATGATTATTTAAGTAGATATTTTAAACATCGTAAACTTGATGATAATATTGGTTAGAAATACAAACTAGCAATATTAAGGGCTTAAGAGCACACAGTTCGCGGTTCATGGTTTCATAAAAAAATCCAAATATAATTTCTTGCGCAAAACACTGCAATATTAATACAGTGTATTTAAATCTCTCTTTTGTTCACGGCCGAGTTCACGTGAATTGTGTTAAATTTTTTGTCAATGTGTGACTTTCAAGACACCTACACTTTACTCCTTTTTTCATGTATTTTTATATCAAAACAGGGCATACATGAGGTGCCCTTTGTCATTTTGGCTTTACCTATACATATATGTACAAACATCACTGGTGAACTAGACTTACTTTCGTTTGGCGGCCAGTCAATGGTAAGAAAAGATGTGAGCTAGTAGATAGGTACTTGCCACTAGTTGTAATATGATGCATGTCAAGGTCACACGCCAAATTTTCTTGCTTTTCGAAACAATTTTTATTAAAGAAGAACTTTTTCTTGTTAGTGGAGGTAGTACTACATTTTTCCACAATCGCTAATATAAGATTCTTTTGAATGCTCCATTTTCACGGCTTATTGCTGTTTTTTTTTTGTCTTAAAAGTACTTAATATTAAATATATAACATATTATAGGTATTAAAGTTCGATAAACGATATCTTTAAGATGTAAAATCATGCCACTACTGAAATGTAGATATCATCAATTTGGTTTGTATATTCATAGATTTAAAATTGGTGTAAGTCTTGTTTTGTTTCTATTGTGAATTGTATTGTATACTAGTAACGAACATAGCGAGGACAAACAGATAAACCTATAATTATTTTTCATACAAGTACCACCCCCCTTTATACCATATATTTGTAATACAAAGGAGAGGCTCTAAAAATATTGTTAGAAAGGGGTAAATAACAAAAGATTGAAAATAAAAAGATAACGTCGTATAAATATTGACCCATTAAAGTTATAATCCATTATTTGAAAGGTACAACCGACATTATATCTAATTAAAAAACAATGTTGCCTTATCAACGACATTAGCAAATTAAAATTATAGATATGCCATTTCCATTACGCTAATACTAGGTTATTTACAATGGATTGGTACATGTAGTTTATTAATTATTACTGGAATTATATTTCCATCAATAATGTAAACAAGATGTGTGTGGGTAATTTTGAAGTAGTAAACATAAAATTATGTTTATTGATTAAATATTTTACTCAAATTCGACAGATATACTCATACCGTAAATTTAAAAAATATAACATAAGTAGGTAGGTAGAAATATAAGTTAATATTTTGTAATATAAGCCCGGCTCCAATTACGTACTGGTATTACGTATTGATAATTTGTAAAGTCGAACGTAATTAATAATTAATAATTTCTTTGTCACATATTTACCCCTAAGTTTGTTATTTCACTTCTGTTTTACATGGCTTGGCTTTGTCAAAAAGTATATCCAGTAGTATTAAAGCTTCAACAGACGTTTTTAACGTCACACTTGAATAGTATTATCTATGTATTTGCATATAAATAACGTGTATTATTAACGTATATTATTATATACTCAAATTATGTACACGTATTTAGTTACTTGCTAAGTATAATGATAAGAGTTGTTGTTTCAAGTGTAGATCGATGTTAAGGTTAGGAGATATTATTGTTACAGATGTGTGTGAGAGTGTGGCTGGAGGTAGGGCACTCAAGTGAGCCCCGGCGCGCCGCCTCTGGCCGGGCGCTTGCCCTCGACTGGAGTTTGTTCGTGCGAGGCCGTCGCGGCGCCGATATAAGTGCCTTTGTGCACAAGGTCGTCTTCGATCTCCACCCGCCCAGCTCCTTCGTTTATCCGAAAAGAGGTAAGAGTGAGACCACTGCAAATCGGTAGAGTCCAGTTGCACACTAAACTCTACTTCAAAAGTGGATTTCATTACAATTATTATAAGTTATCGCCTGTTGCCACCGCGTCATGCGTAAAAAATTAATCACTTGAAAAACCGCAACCAATTAATTTCTCTGCTCATAATATTCAATTCCAGTCCAAACGGCCGAACCGGCAAGTGGGCAAACAGAGTCGAGCGAACAGGTTTCCGTCTAATATTCATAATATTAAGATGAGGTGCTTTATATCTCAGCGTATCTTGTTTATAGTGTTTAAAACAGTCGCATGATATACACATGCTTATTATCGTTATCTTACATGTGTTGATAGTTGCCACGCGAATAATTTCAAACCCGTTTACATACTTATTATCGAATGTTTAAACTTTTCCAGTGCTTCAAGAACCACCGTATGAGATCCAAGAGTCGGGCTGTTCATCTATAGACGTACCGATTAACGTGTACCTGAAATATAGCACCAAGCCAAAGAAAATCCGCCTCAGATACAGCCTACACATCGAGAACGACAACGAGGCTAGCTCGGAGACGAGGTGCGTTTATTACGACCTGAACAACCCTTCGGAGCAACTTTATAACGCCTTGATGAAGGGCGGCGGCGAAGTTATCGCTCGAACGAGCGCATCGAACGCTGGCAACAAACTAGTCGTGCTATTTTCTGACGAAGAGAAAAAAGACTTGCGGATGCACAGATCCAAACGATATAAATTCATCGAGCCGGTTCGCTGTAAACACGCGCCAAAAGTCACCAAATACGTTTTAGAGGAGATATGCTCTAAGTGCGGAGACTCCATTAATGCCGAATTCAGAAAACAATTACGCGCTGTCGACATGACGCAGGAAGAAGTTGATCGCGTCTCGCATTTGTATTTATCATTCAATAGCTATGAGAAATCTATGAACGCAATTAAGTTGCCCCCGTTTTCAGACCCTATTTATAGGATACCTGAACTTCCGAAATCTTTACGTGGTGCACTTAGTGATTTGAAGAGTGACCGCACAGTTTTATGACGTGCCTTACATTGCCTGTTTTAAGTTATGTGCCATGTGGGAAGCCTTATTAGAGCCTTATGAGAAATGGATTTGGAAATATTTTCTTAAGATATTAAGTATTTAGGTTTACAAAGCTAATGCTAGTTACTTTATATTTAATTATTAGATTTAATATATAAATTGAATTATTACAATTAGACTGAAGAGTTACCGTTGACGTTAAATTAATTGTTTTATATATTTTTTACTTTTAAGACGTATACTATCTAATTGTGCTGTGAGAAAGATCTCAAAAAGTAATACTACAACAAAAGCTTTTCAAGACTGTTGTGATGTTAATAAGAGATAGGTAATTTGTCAACATTGTTGTAAAAGATATTTTCTATTAAATTATTTTATAAAAAAAAACTCAAGAAATAAATACTTTTTATATAAAGAACTAAAAACTTATGTATACATATATGTTAAAGATCAAATTAATATATTGCTACTTAATTAGTATTTTACTTATTTTTGCAGACTAGTTGTCATAATGTCATTGTTTACTAGTTTTCCCTCTCATTAAATTTAATGTTATTAAACCAGTCGCAAAAAAATGTTTTTTTTAGGATGTGCATGACGCACATATAACAGACGCAATAATGGTTATTATCAGATTTAACTGCGCAAAGAAAGGTGAATAAAATATCTCTAATATAGAAATATAGTTTTTTCTTTGTAGGTACATGTTTACGAAGCTTTTATTTCCCATGGTAATTAAAAAAAACGAATCACACACACGACAAATTCACATGAGCCCTATTTACAACAGGTTAAAAAAACCCTACTTATATATATATTTTCGGATAATTTAAATAGATTAGAATTCCTTACTTTTTGTTTGTTAATTCAAATTTTAAAGTTAGTTTCTGAGAATAATAAAAATAGATTTACATATAATGTTTTGTTTCTCTTCCCTCATTTGGTTTGATTTACATGGAAAAGTTTTTTTTTTATTGATCTTACGTATTGAGCCCTGAGGGGGCCTCGAATACTAACCGGGCGTTCGCCGTGTTTGCGGCTAGACCAAGGGTGCCCCGTGGGGGACATCGGCCTCGGCTTGGACCGCCGCAATGCGGGTGGGAACTTGAGGAGCTGGGCGGAAGCTCATCCGGGTGAGCGGAGGAAAAGATAAGAAAATCGTTGAGAAAATCTATCATTACTCCATTGCCTTAATTGTGTAGTTTAACGATTACTAAATGTTTTATCCTCACTATGTGCATTGCCAAATACAAGGTATAATGTCAATTGTCAGTTCCTACGTCAATCAGTTGGACAGCAATACAATTTGGTTATAAATTAATAATATTCTTGCAATAAAAACATTAAAGGCACTGAACGTAGAAAACCCTTAATGTGATTGTATCACAGCGTCAGTTACAACAATCGAGTTTCATTAAAAAGACATTTTCAAGCAAGTTTTCAGCAAGATGGTTTGTGTTCCTTGTTTCGTCATTCCTGTTTTACTGTTTTTGTGGCATAAATTCATTCAACCATACGTCCTTCGCTTCTGGAACCCATGGGCTGTTAAGGATGCTGATGGAAACGTTAAGACTGAATTTCCATTTAAATGCGAAGGTGGTGTTTGCGCCTACCAAAGAAAAACCAACAAAACTGCTGATAGTGCAGACCAAGAACCAGCAACCGGACCTAGTGATAAACTACCAGATAAAAGATTAAAATCAGAATAATTTTTTTAAGGACTAATGGAGAAATAGTTTTTGTTTGGTGTTGGAATTTAAAATGTGACATAGTTTATTTATTACAACAAATATATATGATCTCAATACATTTTTTTTTTTGTTTCAATACAATTTATTTGTCTGCTCATTTTAACATTATTATCATGTAACTAGCGTGACTTTGTCCATATGGTATACTTATTTTTGCCATCAAAACATTTTTTTAAAGCTCTTCTTCATAAGTTATAGCTTTAACACACGACGTCATCCACATCCAAAAATACTGTTGTGGAAAATTTTTAGATTATTTAAAAAGGAATAATTCTTTCATTTTTTTGTTTGTGAAAGCGCTTAAACGTGAATAATTCTCCCAGTTTTTTCCACTTCTATTGGTTGCAGTGTGAACATCACACTGTAACCAATATAGACTAAAAATTCCTTGATAAATGGTGTAAGCAAAAATAATAACTCTTTAATTCAAACTTGAAGTTCTTAAGATTAGGGCGTTCAGCTTATTTTATTAGTATAGATTACAATATGTAATTTTAACTGCACAAAACAGAATTTGATATGAAATGGAGTGTACTATCAAATTTTTTGTACTACTTTGTTCATACACATCACAACAGACCTTGACAGTCAAGTTGTAATTTAAATGAGTTGCCAAAATACATTTGTAGACACAAAAACAACAACAAATATTGGTATACTTTATTTTTTCCTTAACTAAATAAAGTGTTGAAATTAACACTTTATTTTATTGAACATTAGCCATGTTTAATAAAAGTCTGTAGGTAGCTTAAAGTAACATAATAAGTGTTAAATTTCAAATGACAATTGTTAGTTTAATGTTGTAATTTTATATAGCCAAGTATATCCTGTCAATGTAAAAATTTTTACAGTAATGTTCTTTGAATAGAGTTGATAAGGTTATGTTGCAAATAACTTGTTTTCTTTTATCTACTAGAATCAAATTAAAATTGCTTCAATAGGATCATTACAATTCTAACAAGTACTTAAATGGTTAAAATAAGACAAAAATACATCAAGGTGCACATAATCAACATTGACATAGACCTATTTTAATTGTATGTTACTAATTTATTTATTCTTTATTTCACAGTATACTTTAAGTATTTAAAAAGTTTAAAGTGTAATAAGTTTTTTAGTTCAATTGTGCCGCACGTAATAATCAGTGACACATTGAATCTAAGTTTTTTTTTTTAGAAAATTTATTTCTTAAAACATAGAACCAAGTAATATGGGATTTTATTACAAAAAACAAACTTACAACTATAAAAAAACAGTTTTTTCCTCTTACAGAAGAACTGAAGTTTTTCATATCATCAATAGCTGACAAATGGCAACACTGGAACACTCATGTCTAAGCTTTGATAATAGACATTCAATCTATACTAATAAACAAGAACCTTACTTACTATTTTTTACTTAACATTTTTTAGTTCTACTTCAAACACTAAAGTCGCATTTGGTGGAATAACTGGTGGTGATCCTTTGGCACCATATCTGCAAAAAAATTGTTTCTTAATAAAACTGATTAAAATATATTATATACTACCTGGACTTGTAATCATCTGTTTAACAATTTAAGTATGAAATTAAGACAGACAGTAAAGCTAAAAATCTGCCCCACGCAGTAGTAACAGGGCTTCACTTGGATTTTTGTTATGTTACGTTGTAAGTTCTATAAAGTATTAATTGAAAAATTGCAATACTAGTAACTTTACAAGTTGGATTTAAAATAAGGTAATAATAATCATTTATTCCATAAACAGTATGAAAAACTTACGCCATGGCAGGCGGACAAACAATCTTCCTCTTGCCTCCAACTTTCATGCCAGCAACTCCTACATCCCAGCCTGCAATTACTTCCTTGGCCCCCAACCTAAACTTGAAACCTGGTCCCTTTGTGCAGTTGTCAAACATTTTATTATTTGTTTTCAATCGTCCTTCATAGTAAACCTGTGAGCAACACATAGACTAATGACATAAGTGATGTTGAATGTGTTAGATTCTTTTTTTATCATATCTTAGAACAAATCAAAGTTTTCAAAGATTTGGATCCAGAATGTGAGACTTGAGTGAGTGCCGTTATATTTTCTAATATATAAGGTGCTAAACTGAGAAATACATAGTTATATTGCTATGTAACATACCATTACAGTTTTACCAGCCTTTGCCACAGGTCCTGTGCCCACTTTTAAGTCTTCTATAGCCACACCTCCACTAAGGGACTTCTTTTCTTTTTTATCACCAGCTGGAGATTCCTTTTCTTTTTTGGTATCTGCCTTCTTCTTATCTTGCTTTTGTGGCTGTTCTGCTTTTTCCTTAAAAAAAGAACCATCCATTATCCAACTATGATAACAATTATCACAATCATAATTTTTTAAGTTCTAATCTCACACTATATATTTTTGATATGGAGATGGTGACATAATTAATAATATACAAAATAACTTAGATATTCTTCCATTCCTATAACATCTCATTACCTTTGGCTTCTCTACTCCATTCACCTGTCCCTCCTTTTCCTTTTGCAATTTCTTCTTCAGGCGTTTCTTTTGATTTTTTGTGAGTTTGCTCATGTCAATTTGGCTGTCATCCTTACTAGTGTCAGCTTCAGAGGCTTTAGATGTTTCGGCTTCATCATCACTTTCCTCTTCATCTTCCTCACCAGCTTCGTCTCCCTCCTCCTCATCACTGTCTTCTTCTTCATCACTGAAAAAGTACACATATAAACAAGGCCTGTGAATGAAGCATGTTGTGCAAAACATAAAAAAGTGTTTGCATTGTAATAATAAATTCACTATTTCACATATATATAAAATTTACTTAATTATTACTACTTCTAAAATAAAAGAGGTATTTTTCACCTATCATCAGCCTCTGCAGATGTATTAAATGTGAAAGATTCATCATTCTCATCACTGTCTATGTCTTCACCGTTAAGAAACTTCTGCAGCTGATCTTCATCTTCATCGTCCGAACTGTCTTCATTTGCAGTTGCTTTTTTTCCATTCTGTACAATGCAATCAATATTTAATTCATAGAGGATACCTACATACAAAGCAGATAGATCCACCAATACAATTAAGCTAAAATTTGCCAAAGTGGTTGGAAAAATTAATTACTCTGTTTGTTTAATAAATTTCCTTTAAGCTTTGTCATTTATTTCTAATCCAGTATAGAAAAAGAATAATATCTTTAAATCAAAAAACCAAAGCATAGGCGAGGGTATATGTTTATCTAATGAGTATCTGTAAGTTTATGAGTAATCCTGAAAGAAGTATAGACTGTACTGTGATTGTGAAGGGTATTTACAAGTGAATATAAAGTAAATTAAAAAAATATATTTAAAGATAAAAGTATTTGTGTATTAAGAGTTAATTGTGTGGTATTAGTATAATATATTGTATTGTATATACCTTAAGTTTTTTAGCAGCACTGTCTTTGCCCTCTTCATGCTTCCTCTTATTTTTGGCCACCTTTGGCTCCACCTGTTCTTCAGCCTCTTCTTCTTCTTCCCCCTCCTCATCAGAAATTTCATCACCAAATTCTGGATCCACATATCCCGTCAAATGCACATTGCATTTTCCTACATAAAACAGACATTTTGTATCTGAACATTAAAAGCATTAAAAGTATGAATTTACGATCTGAAAATATGATCCCTAATCTTATACATAAAAATTTATTTCTTCCCGTTTCTTTGTATATAGGGTAAAATAAATCATTTTGTAGAAACTTTTCCCCAAGACAAAAAAGTAATTCAAATGACAAAGCAACAGAATAAAATAGAGTACACATTAAAAATTAAATAAAGTTTGGTGACATTGGGACATATATCTAAAAACTAATAGAGAAATATATTACCATTCGTCAAAAACGACACACTTTCACCATTTTTGAAGTAAAGATCAAGAGGCATCTGTATGGAGTGTTTCTTTTGTAATGTGCAAACGAGGAAGTTTTTGCCATCCACAACAATCATGACTTGGCATGGCGCAGTATCACCTGTCGATATGTCCATAGCCGCATGTGAGATATGGAATGGTTTGTCCACAACTTGTGTGTACCTCTTGTTAGGTTCCATAATAAGTCCTGGAATATATGCAACATATTTTATCGTAAAATAGACACATTTAACAAATTCTAGTTGATGTGTGAATGAGTTTTTTCAGAAACCAGCTGATTTCTCAATCGACTAACATGTGAAGTTACATTATGCATCAACTACTACAAATTAAGTACAAAGAAATACTCAGATGTTTTATTGTGAATCAGAAATAATAGTAACTACGAAATAGAGACAATTACAGTAGAAAAAAGATATAAGCACACGTGGTGACATCGTTGCCGGTAAGTAGTAACTTACCCCAAAACATCTTGCCGGTTCTTTTATGCAGACACAAATGAAGAAGTTTTTAAATATATTAACAAAGTGTAAAAGTGATTAATTTCTTATTATTTCCCAAATTAACTAAACCGGGTGCTTTAGAACACGAGGAATAGCCGTTTGTCAGACGCTCTCACGTTTCAAATTCGATTTCGCGAATGGCGAGTGCAATAGACTGTAGACAAAACTAAAGACAAGAGATGCCTATTGCCAATAGAATAATGGCTCGAATATAGTCTGTAAAATATTGCTGTCTAAACATCGATCAATATAAGAAAATCTTTAAAGGAAAAACTATTGTTTTAGATGTAGTTTTATGTAAAAGTACGTTAAGTAAATATTACAGAGGATTATAAATTATAAACACTAGACTATTTGGATATACTTAATTTTACGTCTTCAATAATATTCTATATCTAGTCTATGGCAACCATACTTAATTCATAAGTTTGGCTTAAAAGTCGCTTTACCAGGCCATAAAATTTTATAAAAAAAATAATAATAATTCTTAAATGTCATTGTTGTTTGACAGTACCTTTTTCTAGTAAGTGTCAAGCAAAGGCTGTAGTGTTTTCGCAATGGTAATTGTTATTTTTTATTTTAATCTCTATTTATCAGTGTAATCCCATATTAAAATGGTATACTAAAAATAAGTTTCACAAAGTATGTTCAGCGTTATATATATAAGCTAATACACTTATGTTATTTGTTTTCTTTTAGGGTCGCGTAAGGACTAAGACTGTCAAGAAGGCAGCAAAAATCATTATTGAAAAATACTACACTCGACTAACTTTGGATTTTGATACAAACAAGAGGATATGCGAAGAAATCGCCATAATACCCACTAAGCCTCTTCGTAACAAAATTGCCGGGTAAATGCCATTTCTAACCTATATTTTTTTTTACTTTAATAACATTTTATTAAAACTAAAAAATTTTTCGTCTCATTTACTTAATAATTATTTGTAAAAACTGATTAGGTTTTTGTTCCTTGGCTCCTTAGGAGTAGACTATTCTTTACATTAATTTTGTTATTATAATTAAACAACTTATTTATTCCTCTTGTGATCATATTAACAAATATTTATAATTTTCAGTTTTGCTACTCATTTAATGAGACGGCTCAGACATTCCCAAGTACGTGGTATATCAATCAAGTTACAAGAAGAGGAACGTGAACGTCGTGACAACTATGTTCCTGAGGTATCTGCACTTGAACATGACATTATTGAAGTAGATCCTGACACAAAGGACATGTTGAAGATGTTAGATTTTAACAACATCAATGGCCTTCAACTAACCCAACCAGCTACACAGGGAGGTTATGGAGGCAGACGTAATTAAGTAAAATAAATCTTAAAAATCTATGTTTTTTTTTATTTTTGATATGTATGGTATGATGCCTAAAACAATATTGAACAATTTTGGTGTTATACTTTAACTGGCTATATTTCAATAACTGAAACTGTTTTTTTTTAGTTCAAGTAATTTTCATTACAATGCTGCTTGTATTAAACATACAATGGTCCCTAGCAACTGAGAAACAAAAATTCTTAGAAATAATCAACCAAAAACATGTGATAATCTGCTGATTTTTCATGTTATTTTGAGCATCCAATTTCATTTCTGCAAACCCCCTTCATCAACTTAAGCTGTTACTTATAACGGCGGTTGTGTCTCTTCCCATCATTCTTGCAAGTTAATCTCTTTTTCAGATCATTTAGACTAATTGTTCTTTCATACAATTTTTTTGGATATTTTGAAGCATACACATTCATTTATAGCCTATAGCTGTCCTCGATAAATTACAACTATGTCTTAGTAGTATTCAAAAAATAAATTTTCAAATCTAACCGGTAGTTCCTGAGATTAACAGTTTCAAACATACAAACTCTTCAGCTTTATATATGAGTAAAGACTAAGTTTCCTGCTGGCTTTTTATATTATATTAAACAATGCCCGAAGTGCAACACTATTCCAAATAAATATCAAAGTGCCTTTCTTCCAGCCTAACACCAGCCTACATCTATGGATAAATGAACTTCAGTCAACGACCACTTATTTTGTGGCAGCTACTTAATTCTTTTAGCGCATTTAGGATCGGTGACCGTGGAGGCCACAAAATTGGCTCTAAACCCAATCCACCGGTTCGGGTATACCCTATTTAGATATTCAGGAACCTTCTTTCAGTGTTGTAGGCGAATCATTTAGCATAAACAGGCCGCGATATTTTTTTTATAGCTTAGACGAAATTATTGTACATATTTTTTTTATCTATACGCTAGACGAAATTATTGTACATATTTTTTTTATTTTTAAACCACAGAGTCAAATGTTTTATAGCAACTTTACAGTGAGCATAGACAAAGCTCAATAATAGAATATTATACAGTCATATAACTATAGTCAATATCTGTATATAATCTTCACATAGATATTAAGAATTCGCATCTATAGCATAGCGTACCTAAGTTTTTTAGATTTCTTACTTTCGTACCATTTTGTAAGGCCTTATCAATTATAAGGAGATAAGATTTTGTTTCTACTTCTATGAATTAAAATAGTTTGCATTTTAGAATTTCCTATGTTTAATATGAATCATGGAATGTTCCCATTTGTTAGATAATGTAAATTTAAACAGCGCTTCAAAGATTGAAGACATCGCGAACACAAAGAGCTTCAAATGTTCAGGTAAAACACCTTTTTATTTTACGTGTTTTAGTTTACTCTACTTAATCATTTAATTACGTACTTCGTTTAAATATGATTGAAGTTTTTCTCAGAGGTTAGTTAAAAATCAATACAGTGATCTAAAATAATCAGCTGTTCTTGAGGTGCGGGGTGAGGGGCGAGTGACCCTGAATATTGTTTCGGATGCAAAATTATTCCGGGTGTCAAATGTATGCCGAACAATGAAAAAGTAATCGCCGACTTGTTTGTTATAATTCTTAGTTTTTTGCAATATGGGATATTACAAAGATCTAATATATCAATGATTGAAGTCCACAAGGCAAACATGAGTTTCGTTTGGTGTGCTTTTTTGCGCAGTTTAAACTAATCTCTGACGTCAAGCTATCTGTTTCCTAATGATTGTTTATCGATATATTTACCTCGCTTCCTCATAATGTATAAATGTAATTCCTCATAACTATACGAAACCCATGCTTAGTATCATTATAAATGCCAAAGTGGTCAATTATAAATAAGAATACATTTATCAGTAATTTCCTGTAAACAACTGAATGAATTTTGGTGAAACTTTGCATATATGTGTAATGCAAAATGTTATATCCTGCTTTGTATTTGATAAGTAGATTTGCTTTTTGTAATTGTATTTTTTTATCACGAATACAGATTTAATTAAATTTATTTTAGACTGCCCTGAAACTGAACAGAATTGGCTATGTCTACAGTGTGGTCTTATAAGTTGTGGTAGATATGTTAATGGCCATGCAAAACAACATTCAGAATCCTTTGATCATCAACTATGCATGAGCTGTGAAATTTATTCGGTTTATTGGTGAGCATTTGACTGTATAGAGAACAAATTACAATTATATAAAAAATTAAAAGCATTATTAATTATAAACATTATTTTCAGCTATAAGTGTGATGAATATGTTTCTAATGATACTGATGAGCAAAGTATAGACAAAATAAGACAAAGGGTAAGGAAAATTAGACATATAAAATCAGATTCTACTGTCAACCAATCAACACAAAATAGTGACAATAAAGAAAAGATATGTAGTAATGATTCTACTCATAGTGATGATAGCCCAAAACCTGATGAAAATACCAATACTGAATTTTCACCATCAACCAATAATATAGAAAATGTACCTGTAATAGAAAATGAAGAAACAAAAGATCTGGTATGTGAAATGGTAAGAATGTTTTAGATAATGTTAGATGAATGCCATTAACATATTGTATACTCTCAACGTCCCAGGATTGAAACAAAATCAATTTATCTTGAATTTTCATGTTAAACTTTTTAGATTATTAAATGCTTTTCAAAAACAAACAAAAGCATTTTTTAAAACATAAATTCTCCTGCTTTGGTCCTTTCGAGAGTTTCTCTCTTCTGACATATTGTCAAATTGTTATTTTTTAGCATGAGGAACAACAATGTATATTAATATCTTATGATATGAATTATTGTTATTCACTTAACAGAATTCTGAAGAGCCTGCTAGAAGTTTACGTCCTCGCAGCAGGAAACGGTCACACTCAAATGACAGTAATTCAACAGATAGTAACATATCAAAGAGCAAAGAAAAGAAGAGTTCCCCGATAAATGGGAAAAGCCATCGCGAAAAAAAAATAGTAGGTTTAAAGAATTTAGGGAACACATGTTTCATGAATGCTGTGTTGCAAAGCTTGAATAACATACAAGAGTTTAGTTGTTACTTTAGTCAGTTACCATCCTTGGAGGTTAAAAGTAATGGTAGAAAGGTGTATCACTCGAGGAGTTATACTAGGCAGGAGATGCATGATGTTGTGATGGCAGAGGAACTTAGAAAGGTATATCTAAGCTATATATATTTATTTTTAATTTGTACTACGTTTACTAGTGCTTACTTAATTTTTGTGTGATTATTTTGAAATCTATAGCCACATAAGGCGAAAGAAATCTATGAGAAGATGATGCATTCTATAAATATGAAGATTACCAGATGGCTTGGGCTCTTAACTCTGTTAGGTGTTGAACTATTTCTAATAGATCATTGAACCCTTAATTTTTTTGGATTAATTTGTTAGCACTTCGTTTTCAGTTGCATTTATTACACAATTGAGAAATGTATTTCTAGTGATTAATTTTCTTATGAGAATAACAAATTTTAAAGGTGCTAATAAATCTGAAGACTGGTGGATGCGGGTCGAAAGGTGCAATATCACCAGAATGCCTTTTCCTCGTAATTTGGAAGGTGGTACCTAGGTTCCGTGGATACCAACAGCAGGATGCCCACGAATTTCTCAGATATATGCTTGACAGGTAATTCGTACTTACTTACGTTTCCTTTCTTCCATTTTTTATTTATTTTTAATATTTGTTTAAAGTTGTGCATACCTTAAGTTAGATACATAAGTAGTAAGAATTACTATTAGAAATAAATTTTGTAAGTTTAATTATGTATGTAAAACACATTTCATATTTCAGATTGCATACGGAGTTGTTGCAATTGCTACCTCCAGATAAGGCTGAGGGGGGCTTCGTGCCACGAGTTCCCTCCACTTCCATTGTCACAGCTGTTTTTGGTGGAACCCTGCAGAGTGAGGTAATTTTTGAGCTGACGAAACATTTTTTAGTTTTAATTATTTCTTAATTTAGATAACTCTTTATGCATCAACAAGCTAAATAAATATTTTACCGTCTCGAAGGCTCAATAGGCACTAGTTACTAAGTTTCAAGAAAAACATAACTGTTTCCCAAAACAAAGTTGTCATATATTTCCATTCATCAAAACTGTGACTAACTATTTGTAACTGTAAATGAAATCGTTTAGGAAATAAGATACAGAAATGTGTTTGCTCCTTTCCCAATTTTATGATAGATATTACATGTGTAACGAAAATAATACATTTAATTTGTAGTATGAAATCTTCATTCAACTGCATTTATGTTACAGGTTCGATGTCTGGCATGTGGTACTGAGAGCAAGAAGTTTGATCCGTTTCTGGATCTATCCCTGGAGTTACCTGAAATCGGCAGACACGAAGGCCCAGTCTCCCTCACAGATTGCTTAGAAAGTTTTGTTCAGGTAAAAAGTAAACATAAATAATTCTTCATGATCACCATGACTGCTTTCTTAGCTTAACATTAGTGTACGTAGGTCCTGTGTTCGAACTCCAGGAACTTAAAAAGGCTTTTAAATCATTACTTTTTAGCAGTCTCGTTGGTACCTTGGTGCGTTAGGTCAATAACTTATTTTTCTTTAACTATCCCACTGAACGAAATGGACAGTCTTTTATTTAAATGAGTACTAATCGCGAAAAGTTCTATCAACTATTAATTCTTCTGGAATATGTTACTATCAAAATCCTTGTGGGTTACGAACTGCCACAGATGAAAGAACCGTGAAATGAACTCCTGCGTTTCGTGTCAGTCTGTGGATATCCGATCGTCCAAAGCCAAAATAAGTCGAAAAAGTATCTCACTCAGATCATATGGCTTTGTTAGTTTACCTTACATCAAGTGAATGCCGTTGTCTTGTCTCCTTTGTCATAAAAAAAGTCTACAATACTAATCATTGATTGATTGATGGTCTCGCTTAGCAGAAAGCTAGAGTTAAATTTCTTTGTTGGTAATTATTCTTTATAAAATTATTAGTACCTAACTAGCTATTACAGTAATAGTAGTGGCTTAGTGATGCTGTAAGAATAATTAGTTAGCAGAATAAGTAGTGTTTGTCGATTTTATTTTCAGGTCGAAGAGCTAGCGGACACTGAACGTTACTTTTGCAGCAGCTGTAAGTGCAAACAGAAATCCACCAAGCAGTTTTGGATACGGCGTCTCCCCAATGTTCTGTGTTTGCATCTCAAACGGTTTCGTTGGAGCAATTACTTTAGGTGAGGATCTTGTACTATGTACATATATAGTCGATGTTTGAAATGCTTCACGTTTTTTACGTGAATATAAATTTATTTTCTTGTCATCTCTCATTTCCAGGACGAAAGTGGACACAAACATATCGTTTCCGCTGAGCTCTTTGGATATGTCGCGCTTCGTGCTAGCGAACGTGCCGGACACGCGCCGTTCGGGTCGAGGGAACTACCTTTACGATCTCGCCGCTGTTATCGTGCATCACGGCTCCGGGTAAGATCGATTAATTTCTCATATGAATGATGTAATAGATCCTACATATGTTAATGAAAGTGGTCCACCAACGGCACAGTAGGCCGAATCTCGTATTAATATAAGTTAAGCAGCAGCGCAGTTGCAGTGACGTTTTGTTGTTTTGGTATTCTCGTCTAACGTCAAACGCCTTTACGTTAACGTGACGCCAGCGTGTATTTGACATTTCGCTGGCAGACCTTATTGGATGCGCAATTGTCAAATTAAGAGAATAGCTTCGGTGCTGAATCAAATCCTAATCGCAGCGTGACCGAAGCTTCATTAAATTAGTAGAATCGGCATTCTGATCGATTTATGCCTTTGTTGAACACTTTTACGGTTTAAAAGGCGATATATATATTATTAACTATGACTGCTAACTATCTATCTTGCGCCGGATACTTCCTATACTATACGTGTTCGAAAACATCGCCATCGCAAAAATAGTTTTATTTTATATTACTTTGATGTGTACTACTTGCATCTGTATACGATACTTAGTTGTTAATCAGACAATTGTGCTGTGCCCGACTGAAACTGTTATGTAAATTGCATTTTATTAACACACTTTGCCGTAAATATAAGCAAGCAATAAAAACGTGTTTATTCCATGCCCCTCAGGAGGAAACGGAATTTCACTTATTATTGGTTATATTTAAATGTTTTTTATGTTACAGTGCTGGTTCGGGGCATTACACAGCATTCGCCATCAACGAAGACCAATGGTTTCACTTCAACGACCAGACGGTCAGACCGGTGGATATATCAGCCGTGGCCACTTGCAAGCCATACATCATGTTCTACATTCGCCGGGAGTTCTCTTTACCCAGCGCCACGTGACCGTTTCCTCTCATAGATCTATTCAAGGTTATACCGGGAGCTCATAGCTCCGTAGCATCGCCGTGAACTATATAGAACTGATTTGGCGTTTTTTTTTAATGTCTATGGCTAACAATATAGGATTTCATAGAGATGCCATAGACATAGATTGCAGTCTTTATTTTGTAATACTAATTTGGAAGGTTCTTTGCAACTATGTCTAGAAATAACTTTCAGAGTTTACATCAAATTACTTCGTTCGCTTTAATGCACAAAGACATTGAACCACCCACTAAATAATACGAGTTTTTGGCTAGAGAAAGTAAGGTTGCAAAAAGTTGTAAAATATGTAAATGTCAAATTTACACCATATATTTAGGTTCCCTTCTTGATCGCGTTATAAATATAGTGTATTTTTTCTAACTTGAGGAGACACTACACAAATATGGCTGAATTCGAAACAATGATGACCTTTTATAGAGTGAAATTTATGCCACAGATGACACAGGGATAACGAAACATCGGTTATATATGGACCAAACGACCGCAATATTCAAAATCACTTGTGATAATACATTTTTATATCATTATTTAGCTCGACGTTTCTATCTTTTTCCGATCTTGCATCAGTGAGACTTCTACCTTCTATTGTCGTTGACTTTTCTTACATCCCATCCTTATGTAAATGTCAAACTAAAATAATTAAATTTGTCCATTAACGTAAATTATTTTTTAGCATTTTTATTTATTTAGCGTGGAATTGGGGTTTTTACTAAGTGAATTTGAGGAATTTCGTTAATTCAATATATAGTCTATACTGGATTTAAAGTGTTTTTAGTGTAAATCAATGTCAACCTTGTGAGAAAAAAATTATTTGTGTAATTTGTTTGTTTACTAAAAATGTCAATTTAGAAAAAATACACTAGTGTATTTCTCTCAATTATGTTAAGCTTTTGGAGTTATATCCATGCAAAGGAGCTTCGTGTTTGAATCTATGAAGTTGAATTATGGATCTTAAGCCCCATAAATTGCGGGTAACTGCAAAATATTATCACCTATTTTTTGACGTTTATTAGAAGGAATTTAGTTTTGCTTATTTGACATGTATTAACAAATTATTATTAGTATTTTTTTATTTATTTTGATGCATTTCAATATTGATAAGTAATAATAGCTAATTGGTACAAATTATTCATTTTATAGTTTACCTCCCACCGCTAAAAAAATTCCCATTTCGTCATTTACGGTTAGAATAGAAAAAGATAGAACTTTATAAAAAAGTTTCGTTACTTTCACACAGTCTATACATTCAAAGGAATGTAAAGGTCTCGAGTCCGAGGCTGAATTTAACATTTTTATTTTTTTTATTTTGAGTATTGTCCGTGGTTAAAGCAAGTAGTACACATTTGAATAAAACGCGAAATATGTTAATTAGCTACCTTCCGTGATAACTGCTGAAAATAATCCCATGTTGCGGGCTGTAGTAAAATAAATTTAATATATTTCGCGTTTTTAAAAAATTTTTAAAACATTTAAAGTGTCTTATTTGAATCTTATATTTTATTCATTATACCTACGAAGGTAACTGAAATTTATATTGAATATATCAAATAATGAATTATAACGATCTCAGCAATAGAATAATTTAATGCTGTGACTATACTGTTTAGAAGCTTCAGCATTGTCAAGTTTGATAATATTTTCCATTATTTTAATAGAATTAATTATTCATGTAATATACTCCAACAAACGACAAGCAAAATATAGATGAAATCCAAAAGGCTTCTATATACTCTAGCTTAAATGTACAAAAATGAATAGACCACAACTGGAGCTTAGTTTATAGAAATTTAAATTCGTCAATGAGTTGCTCGTGTTTCTACTCTGAAATATTCCCGCCTGATTTGTTTTTAGCAATTATTACTAGTATGCAATGAGTATTATAAATACAAGGGATAATGTATGTCTAAGAATTTAATTACAATAATATTACATTCCCAAAACGGGTCTTTTGACGTTCTCCCTGTGCGCTTTAAGATTTGACTGTCTATGTATAATGCGTGAAAATAATGATAAAAATAATTTTCAGTTCTCTTTACGCTGCGGTACCGTATGGCAGATTATGTTTAAGTATTTCAATTACTGGAAATGTTTTAATTGAATTTAATAAATTCTGATCAGTATATCGCGTTTTATTTATCCCTTCTAAAACATTTGACACAGTTCAATATTCTTTTAAGCCAAGATTTCTTCGCATCTACTGTTATAATGCTAAGTTCTATTGATGGCATGCTATCTGTTATTGCCATGTATTCGTTCCATTCCGCTGGTTTCAACAGTGGCATGTTTCTTATGAAGAAATTAGTGGCTCCTTCATCTTTATCGCGGGTGATAGGCGTAATTTTAACTTCGTTTTGACTTATCAAATCACAATCATATACTATAGGCTCTAGTTTGTCATTTCTATTCTCACCAATCCAGTTCCCTTCCAGTTTTTCTATTGGATCCGATATCTTGATGCCTTTTATTATAGGTTGAGGTGATATCTTGATATGCGGCCTTTGAAGGGGATCACCATCTTCATTAACAGTATCGTCGTTTGGTCTTGTGCTATTTTCATTTAAATGTTGTACAACTTCTATAGTATTATTGAGATCATTATTGTGTCGATTGTTGATTATTTTTATCTCTGGTTCAAAGTATGTATGATCTCTATCTGAGGTAGGAAGTTCATTTATTTTCGTCTTCCTTATTTTTATTCTAGAGGAGAGGAAGGTCCAACGGTTTAAATCACATTTCGGTGTGTTACTTGGTGTGGTGTGTGCGGAGACATTATCATTTGCATTATTCACTTCTGCAGCTGACGAGGGGCGCTTTGTGGGTTCTAGGACTTCCGTGACTGTCGGAAGGGTGGAGGTTAAGTTCAAATTGAGACGTGGTATATAAGGTATTGGCGTTGCTATACGACCGCTGTTACTCTCTTTAGTTGGCTCAAATTCTAAATCGTCAGTTGAGCTAGTACTTGAATTCTTACTTGGTATGTTTGTTAACAGGAAATCATTTTCTGCAAGTATTCGTTTATTTTTAAATGAATATATCCAAATCGTTCTTTTGTCGGTGTCCAAATTTCGTGAGAAATATACTTCGTCGTAAGATTCTTGAGAGTCGTTCCAATAATCATGTTTTGGGATAGTATCGCCGCATTGAATTATTTCAATATCTTCTTGGTCATCCGATGACGTGCTCGGTGTTCTGAGATTGTTGGGAATGGTGAAGCAATTAACTTGTCTGTTAGGATATTCTTTATAGTCATGTTTATTAGAATAGTCTTTGTCTAAGGTGTAAAAAGTAGGATAGATGTGATCTGAGCGTTCGTAAGTTGCAGTTCTATTTATAGCACCATCTTTATTGAAACGCCTTTTTTCTCTAGCCTTTTTATTAGTTTTGTAGCCATCTTCATCCGGGTATAGATCTTCACCGATGTAAGACCACTGATGACCGATTTTGAATTTGTCTGCGTCCTTTTCTTCCTCGTAATCTTCAAAAGAATTGAGTTCCACTATTTCTACGTTGGTGCTAACTTCTCGCAGTTCAGCTGGATTTACTGATACACTTGGATAGACCACATTGCGATTAATAGCTAAAAAAAAGATATTGTAGTAATTAAAGCTATATGACATTATTTTATAAAATGTATTTAATTGTATTATTAAGCTTTAAACTTACGATTAAATAGAGCTGGATCAGTTAATTTAACATGTTTATTAAACATTGTTTTAACTTCGGTGTGTTTGTACCTTAGGAAGTAAACTAAAACGTGATTTAGGAATAAATAAACAATGGGATATAACATATAATTCTCAATCAAACAGAACAACACTTACAATTTAATGTCATTTGCTTTCCTCCGATGACAGGAACAGTAATGGTTTTTTATTTTTTTAAATAAAGGTTAACGATAGAGGTTTTATATTGATAGAAAATATTGCAACTAAGGAAGACGTAGGTGGGTACAGTAGGTACCATCCAATAAATAGGTAGTTAGTACCTCTTCTTTGAAATTAACTAAATTTATTATTACAATTCGACTTTAATGCAAAAAAGTAATAATAGCCTATCTACCTACTTACTTTATTCTTTGGTTTTCAGTTTTTAGAATTCTTATAACATAACTACTTAGTCGGAACAAGAATCATAAATCAGTTTTAAAATTATAGTTCCGATAATAACTAACTGCTATATATGTTTAAATTTGATAATGTTTCTCTTTTCTTCGTAACGATACTTAGGTATGTGCGTAAAGTTCGTTCCGGTCTATACCAGGAAGCTAGAAGCAGAGCGCAGAAAGTCCGATAAAAGCGAAATAAAAGTGTGACACCCTCCACTACGTTAGCACTCAAAAATATTTTCCAACAGAGCGTCGAGTAAAAGTGGCAATTTAGTTGTCGCTAAAAGCCATGGCTCGGCCGGCGGCTGTGTAGCGGCGTGTAGTGAGAATGTTGGCGAAACAAAGTGTAAATGGAATGATTGCGCCAATTCTGCTACAAAGGGAGGCGAAATTGCATTAAAAGCTCAGTGGCACGGGCCATTTGTCGAGCACTTACTCCATTAGACGCGTCCAAATAACATTATTGACGTACCTTACGTATAAAGATGGAGATCAATTAAAATTCAGTTAGCACTTCCCCGTTGGTACCTCCGAAATAATGCCCCAGCAAGAGAAATATAAGTATCATTTTCTAATAGAAATTATTTTCTAGTACATATTATGTCTAAGTCAAATGTGTATAAAATCTTGTGATTGTTTTCATAGTTTCTGTCTTGAGATGTGTCTGTTCGTGCAAATGTAGCTTTAATATTTGTATAACATATTTGCTCGTAAAGTGGATGTAATTACAATTTGCAGCAGCCGTAGTCACGGGGAGACCACGGCTGCTGCAAAGCATCCGAAACGTCGGGCCGAAGTTAAAAATCATTTTCAAATAAGTTTAACTAATATATCGCGTTTTAAATCGTTAAAGTGTTTTATTTAATGTGTACTATTCGCGTAAACTATAGACAGTACTTAGCCTCTGCTTTCTTATAGCCCTTTGCCGATGGCTCGGGCTAGTAATATTCCCTCGGCTGTAATTTTCAACTTACCGCACTTATATCATCATCATCATCAACGCAACTTCTGTGATAAAACTTACGTAAGTCGTCAAATTTTATCACAGAGGAATTAAAAATTTTAATTATATATTCTGTACGTGTGTAACTATAAAATGAATAAATACAAAAATAACACTAAAAAAAATTAAACAAAGAGTCGGTGAAATGTGACAGGTGCCGCCGCCTCTGTAGCAAAATAGTTAAACGTGTTCAGCATTGCGCGAGAGGTCCTAGGTCCGAATCTCGGGGAAATAATAGATTGTTTTAGTCAGGCAGGACACAGAAGTCTGATGAAAAACTTCCACGTAAAAGAATTTATCAGTGAAATAGACACAGAAATTTGTTCGCCCCACGCCCCCCGGGGGGAAACGGACCTATGATTTTATAAAGTGAGCTCCCACTTTATAAAATCATAGGTCTTTTATAATCTAGTATAGTGAGTTAGCGGTTTATGCAAAAGATCTATAAGTAAAGTTTCCAAATGTAACACGAGCGTCCGCGACAAAGGTTAATTAATTGAATTGCAGCGGAGCGGCGCGTGGGCACTCATCGCGCACTAATTCGCAAATTAGCCGACAGAGCAGCCTTTGTTCACGCCATTATGTCACCGATGTCACATTTATCTTGAATCGCTTAGCACCAGCTAATGTGCTGCGTTCATTATCAACGGAATTAGCCGGTCTATTAATTGTAAATATAGGCTAGATGCACAACGAAATTTCAGTCAGAAGATAATTGATCAAGTATTTACAATTATTCATTTCCTCGTTCCTAACCGATTAGCTACATATGCGTAGTTTGTATATATATACTCTATTATCCCAAAAATTATTCTTTGTATTTCTATAAATGTTTTCTTTATTTTTTTTTTGTAGATACGCCATTCAAAAACATAGGGGTGTTGAAAGCAAAAAAACTGAAGCGGCAAACAAAATAATGATCTAACGATTAGGAATGCAAACTCGTTCAATGAAAAACAAAACGTTATCAAACGCTCACGTAATGGATTGTTATTTCCGCCTTTTAAACAAAACAATTGTTCACGAATAAATTAAAACAATCGTTGAGTAACAAAAATGTTTATTGCACTGACAAACCTTCCATTAGTGGATAGTGCCTTTTCTGATGTCGAATGTTGTAATTAGAATTTACTTTTGTCTATCAAAATATTATTAATTGGTTTTAGCGTTGGAAAATAGTGTAGGGTATGATTAGCTGGCTTCAAGCTGTATATTTGCTTAATGGAAGGCGAGATAAAAGCCTGCGCTATCGCACGTATCGGAGCGTAATTAGAGGGGCGAAGCCGCCGCAGCGAGCCTCTTCCTTTACATGCCACTTAAACCTACACTGCCTTCTCACACTTAACTCATTATATAAGGCGTCAAGATTTGCCGGGCCAATCGCAACGTATTGAGCTAAAAGTTTATTTCAAACGTGGTTAGAACAATTTTTTTTATGAAAACATTTAATTCAGATTCTTCTATGTACTATCTCTATAATTTTTGTGTGATTTGCCTCTGTGTTTTCCAATCCGTAGAATTTATTGTCTATTTGTAATAGAAGTTTTTCATACCGTTAGGTACCTACCTACGTAGATGTAACCTTTTAACTTTCTATTTTTCATAGAAGGAAAAACAGCAAAGCGTTCATATTTCCATGGCTATGAATTCAAGTTTCACATAATTCCATTACTGGGCAAAAGATCTAACTTTCATATTTATAGTAATTGAAATGACATCATAATTCGCGGGATTGTTGGTATACCCAGTGGTAGCAATCCAAGGCTAATGAGCAGGGGGTCGTGGGTTCGACCCCCACTGGGTCCGATATGTTTCTAATCAATTTAATATTTTTCTGAACATGTTGAATTCGCCTGCAAATCTGGTGTTAAACGGATGATAAGAATATCGAAATTCCATCCGGGTCACGAACCACAGACCACAGATGTAAAAGCCGTGAAGCTCCAGCTTCAGTCTGTGAATTATCGAATATCAAAAATAGGTTGACAGCATGTTTTGTATAGATCCGATATGTTTGCTTCTGTTTGGTTATTGTTTATGTTTATATGGTAGGTTATTTCAGGTTCCCTCAAGGAAGGTTTCAGGAGCCCCATGCCTGTCCGACCTCTTCTATCACATCTAGATTCTTAATCAGATTAGACCAGCTGTTCTATTTAAACACTAACACATGCTCAAGTCCCCCTAATAGGTACGCGATAGTGTTGCTTTTAGTGAAATTGCTTTATAAATATTCAAGAAAGCGAAAAAACTTAATAACACGGTATCGGCGGACGTTAATTGCAAATTGTTCGTGCATTAGCGTGGCTTGTCAAATTATTTTTATTTCAATTTACACTTGATGTATGTATATTGAAGACCATAGGGTATGGACATCAACAATTTCTTTACCTATGTAATATTATTTTATGAAAGAATACTTTTTTCGATCCCGTTGATAGATAAGAATAATAAAATTTTCAACATGTTTCTAATGTACTTATTTATAATTTTTCTGAAACATCTTGGACTTCGTCTGGTAATCTGGATAATAAATGGGTGATAGGAATATCGAAATTCCGGAAACCATCATAAGCCAGAATAGATCAACGTGTTAAGATGTCATATAAGGTATTTATCTACCATCAAGGGAGCTCCATGCTTGTCTCTACTCCTCTATGATAAAAAAAAAAACGAAAATATATGTATAAGTTTCCTTTGACGAAAGTACGCTGTACGAGGTTATTGTTACGTTATGCATAAGTTATTATATTTTGTAGTCAGGAGGTTCGTGGTTTTTATTGATGGTATGCTGTCAATGAGAAGGACCACCAAGCTCAATGGTCAAAAATGTTACGTAGCAAAGCTTTAAGCACAGGTTTTGCCGCCAATCCCGTGAAAAATTTTTATTTCGGTCGGGCATGACAAAAAACTACTTGTTCGTAAATAAAAGGAACAGTGAAATGGACACAGTGAGAATTCCAAGAGCGAAAAGGAATTTCACTACTTTTAGCAATCGACTGCATGTAAACATGCGTTTGAGTTTCCTGCAATTTATTGGGTTCGTTATATATAAATCTATTTTTTATACAGCATTTATACAATTAAGTATATAAGCCGGACATAAGAAATAAAAAAATCTTACCCATTAAACTAGATACTTCTAAATCACTGTTCTTAAGGCGTAAAGAGTGAGTAAGTAAAGAATCTTTAATATTAATAAATATTTTCTCGTGTTTTCATGCAGCCGATAAATATCTCTCATGCGTGCGAGTACCGCTCTGCGACTACAAACAACCAAACATTATGGCACCCAGAGCCCGCACGAGTTCCAACTATCAGAAATAATAAACATTTTATTTATAAATTAATCAATTTTCAAAATTGTATTATGTGACGCGCTTTGTAAAACAATCAGACGTTTAATGTTTCACGGTCTTACTGTCTTATACAAAACAATTGCACGTGCCAAACTATTACCCTGAATCTAAAGTAATCAATTCTTGATTGTCTATAGATTCAAGGTAATTACTAATTAATGTTTTTATGTATGTGTTAGGTACAGTTATACTATAAAATCCCTTTATATCACGAACCTTATTTATATAAAAACAAACTCAAATAT